GACGGTTGCTGATAGGGTTGAGCTATACCTTCGATTGATTAAAGTTAGACATTAACACCGTTAGATACTGGCTCACTGGTCTAGAGGTTTAGCGTTCGCACGCATGACCGAAGGTTCTGGGCTCGATATTTGTGAGCTGGGGTAGTGGATATGCACTACTGATGAATCACATACTAGGACTTGACGGCAGTCCACTGTTTCTAGGTTTTTAATGTTGTTCAAACAGTGATTGATACCTGATTTCAATAAATACACATGATTTCCAAACATTTCTAGGCTTACTGGGGTAAAGGTTTCTTCTGTTCTTCTTCTGGCTTTCCCTTAAAGACCTAGGTGGCACTTTTAGTAGCCCTAGCGCCAAAGGTTGTAGTGTGTATTAGCCATCCTAGGAACAGACTTAACAAGTTTTTATCGACCAAAAACTCTGATTTTCATATTTTATTTACACTAACCCATTTGTCAGTTTTAAATAAACTGAAATGAATTAATATTTGACGCTAACTTATCCCTCAACACAATTTACCAAACCATAAAATTAAACTCTTGTAACTAATACCCGTAACTAGTTTACTAGCTTGTACAATTTCTTTTACCCTAATCCCTTTTCATTTCTGACTGAACATATTTTCTGTTAGTGGTCAATATGAATATTTAATTGTCTTGCCTCGGTAACATGAGTATCGATCAATAAAATCCAGTCATTAAGTCGCAAAAGTTTGTACTCAACTTTTTTTTTTAACTGAGTGATGATTAGTACAACTACGTAAAACATTCAAACTAACGTGCATGAGTTTATACCTAGGACCAGTTAATAAATAGTTTTCAGTACATACAGTATTCACTTCTTTCCATGTTAGAAGTGTTTATGAATAACTATGATGATCAGTTTGCACCTTGAAAAGTAAGATGTAATGCATTTCCTTATTCTGTGTTGGGTAGAAAAATATTATTATTTGAAAAAAAGAGTACTGAAGTCTTGAAGTACATGTATTCTTCTTGAAAGTCAAGTACTGTTTTCAAATAAAAAACACATAATATATAATAGAGTCAATCGGAAATTAATTTCAAAACCTTATTTACGAATATATTCTAGATATGATATTCTATATATTTACGTAGCCCGTAAAAATATATTGCTTTCTGTGTGAAAAAAATATTGCTTAAAAGACTACAATAATTTGTTCAACTTGATGATTTATAGTGATTTGAATATATTTTTTTTTGAAACCATGAATCGATCAATGTTAGACTACCATTAGAAACCTGCAAGCACTGGACGGCCGTTTCGTCCTGGTATGGGACTCATCAGAGGCAGTGCGCATCCACAACTCCTGCACCCCGTAGGAATCATGGTTTTAAAAAAAATTTAACAATCTTCACAACCCCATAATGCAGATTTAAATATTTTAAAAAGCCAAAATAACTCACTAAAACACAACAATCTATTATAAATTTTATCTATTTTTAGTTTTATTGAAGATCAAAAGATTTACTTGTAGAATTCTTAGTTCAATATTTCATAGCATATCTTTTAAAAACTTAATATCCCACTGACCGTTATATTTGTAGGTTATTGGTATTCGATTATATATGGATTGTTCATGTATCGTCAGACAACCGAGTAAGCAATGCTATCGTTGGGAAACGGGTACTAGGTAGGGATAGCAGATTAATAGATGAAGTATTGAGACATCATCAGTTGAGGTGGTTGGGACATGTGTTACCTATGCCCAACAACCGACTGCCGCGACGAGCTATGTTTTGTGGTATAGGAGTAGGTTGAAAGAAAGCTAGTGGTGGGCAAACCGAAACATGGCAGAAATTCATGAAGTCACTGACAAGTGGACTGAGTCATGTTGGTAGATGTAGGCTGCCTGATTGGGGTCCAGAAGATGAAAGTGATCGATGGTTAGAGACCCTGAATGACATTGCTCAAAATCGTTTTTATTTTAAGTTTATTTCATTAGATTTTACTTCTCGAATAACATATTCGAACCCTAATCTCTCCGATTACTTCTAATACATCTACTACTTTTACTATTATGGGATTTGAACTGACAATTACACCTCTATGCTAATGTGGTATGGCAACCTGAACTTATGTACTTATGTATAAAGTTCCATGCTGTAACTGACTGACTGTATAACTATTTGCAATTACGGAAATTGATATAAAAGTAAAGGATGATTAGTTGCAAACTCATGCAGTAGCTTTTTTCTTCCATACTGTGCATTATTTCGCCAATAAAAAAAAAACCCGACATTCAAGGCAGTGTTTGTCTTTTGATGATGTCATTAGTCATTTTGCACGGCTGAGTGAAACAATTAATTTGTACCCGTAAGCATATATATATATATATATATTGCGTTTTGCCTTATTAAACGATAGGTTTCACTGAAGTATCGCACTAAAAAAAATATATGAACATATTGAACGCCTAAACAGTATAATCTCAGTTAAAATGAATTATTGATTAGAAAATGAAAATCTATTACTGTGAAGTACTTTTCATGTATACTCGAATTCAATACAATTACAGTTTTTGTATCCATTTCGTAACGTAGAACTAATAATGCTAAAAAAATTGAGACAGTAAGAGCTATTTTTAATTCTCAGAAAATGGGTTAATACTTATTAGCACTAATAAATTAATTAAATGCCAGACCAGTGGTCCAAAGGTTAGGCGTTCACGCACAATACGAAAGGTCCCGGGTTCGAACCCTGAAAGATGCAGGAGTCGTGGATGCATACTGCCACTGATGACTCCCATACCAGGAAGAAACATTCGTCTAGAGCTTCCAGGTTTCTAATGGTGTGGTCTAACAATGATTGATTGATGATTCCAAAAAATGTGTGAAAACACTTATATCCATAACTCTAATTGAAAAAACTAATAATTGAATGTTCCATATCGATTGATTATCGATTAGTGATGAATGTCACGTTTGTCTGGAACTTAATTGAAAATATAATTCTATTTTTTAATTTGCAGTTAGGTCACTAGTGTAAGTGACTTTAAATTGCCTAGATTATGTTTTTAATACTAGATGGTTGAAGTCAGTTTTCAGCGAACCTAGGATTCTAGGTTTCGTGTTAGTTAGCACTCGTCAGCAAGTGTTATTTGCGATCGCGAATGAACTGATATCTCCTTGTGGTTCCAACAATGGTCACTTAGTCTTATAGACAGACGTTACCTCAGAGTTACTTGGATCTCGATTGATCTCCTCTCAGATTCAGATAGTTACACTGACTGATCACTGAGTAGTGACTAAGTTCCTAACTAAAAAATTCATTAGTTATCAATGAAAATTTAAAGTTGCCTATTTGAACTCTAGGTTCATATTTGAGTACTGTTTTTATTCCGTCTAAGGAAATTCACGGATTTTTTGATTCACAACTCGTTTTATTTAGTGCCTCATAACTACTGATCTATAAACCAAACCGAGTTTTATCAGTCACAGTCATCATACGTTATATCCCCACACTGCAATATCATCATATACATTCATTTTAAATCTGATTATATTATCTGCAAACTATGAGGAAATAGTACATTGCTTCTGATCTGACTATCATCTAACAATGAATATTATGTTCCTAAACAATAAACTTACATTCACAGACCATTCCTAGTAGTATATGAAAGTAGTAGTATAAAAGAGGTAATACTTCGTTAAAGTCTGCTTTTGTATTATTTATAAAAGTGAGTAAGTAGATTTATTTAATTTTTCAATAAAACAAAATCACTCGCCTAAATGAAGATAAAATTATTACGACTCAAGGATAAGCCTGCTTAGCTATATATACATCTCAGTAATGTGATCGACAGACATTCATTTGACCAGTCCTGGAATTTTGATGTTGAGATCATACGTTACCGTGGCGTAAACTATAAAATCTAACTATCTTCACAAAACTCTGTGACAACGTATTCGATACTAAAATCAGTAAATGATTCCCAAATTTCTAGTGAGAATCTATCACTAGTATTTCTCTCTAAATGAGGCAGTCGGTGGTTGGTTATTCGTAACATATGTCCCAACCACCTCAACTGATGAAGTAATAAGACTTCATCAGTTGATTTGCCATCCCTACCTAGTACTTGTTTCCTAACAACTGCATTGCTTACTCATTTGTCCCAGAATATACGGGCAATGCTTCGAAGACATTTATAATCCAATACTAATAGCCTATGAATGTCCTCTACTCTGACCGACCATGTTTCGCATCCATATAGTAGGATGGAGCGAATTGATGTGCAGTAGACTTGTCTTTTGTGTAGCAAACGGACATTTTGTCTGCACCATAGGTGACGCAACTTGGCAAAAGCCAATCGAGCCTTCTGTATTCGTGTTGAAATTTCGTCTGTCACCAGGCCGTCAGCACTGATGAGACTCCTCAGATAAGTGAACTGGTCGACACACTCGACTACTTCATTCCCTATCACTAGTTCAGGTGACAACGTAAGCCAATCTTAAAGCAACATTTTACATTTCCATACGAAACTAGTTCGTTTGAATGATTTTTTTTGTTTTTCAATCATAGAAGCTCTCAATATGACTTTAAAAAATTTAGCTAAACAAATATGTGTACTATAATAGATGAAATATGCTAATAAATTATTACACGATAAATGATTACCGAACGAACTGTATACAAACGTCAATTTCGGCCAATCAGGTGTACTTAATGTATATTTATCTACATCACAAAAGGTTATTTCGTTTGATTAAGGTCAAACAAACTCACAGCCTATTTCAATATATTCACCATTCGATCGATAATGTTGTTAAATGTAAGAAATCTGTTTTATTTTTATTTTTTTTAAATTTTAAACGAACATGTATGATAGTACTTAATTAGAAATAGCATTCTTTTTATAATTAGTAGTAAATTAATCAAATTTATTTTCCGTATATTCTTCTATTAAGCATAATTCTCATATGTCGTCTATATTACTGTATTTCAGAAGAATACAAAAACCATTTGATTAAAAGAAATGTCATCTATTTCGGATAAACATATAACATCTTCAAAAAATATTGATCAGAATACATCAACTGATAAAAATTGTACTACTTTTGATTGGCCATTTCTATTTGCTCAGCCATCACCATCATCATTGTCATTATTAAACAATCATCAAACTACTACACCATGTATTGTCAATTCAACTGCATCCTGTTTGAATGGTCTTAGTAGTTTTGCTCAGAAATCATTACCAAATATAGAAATGTTAAACTTTCCAATGAATATTAATTTTTTGCCTTATTTTGATGATCAACAAAAATTGCAACAATTACAAATACAAACAAAACAAAATGGTAAACAATGTCAACCGATTTCAATGGAACATCATACATTTGCCAATAAAATGGAAGAATATTTAACTGGTACTAATGTTAATGCTTTGAATATGAATATTTTTAATGGTTTACAAGATATTAATGTATGGAATAATTTAAGAATGTTACCTGATATGCTTGGTAAGTGAAGTATTTAAACATTTATTTTCAATTAGAGTTATGGAGATTAGTGTTTGTTACACTTTGTTTTTGAAATCATCAATCAATCAGTCATTGTTAGACCTCACCATTATAAACCTGGAAGCACTGAAGCACGGCCGTTTCGTCCTTATATGGGACTCGTCAGTAGCAGTGTGCATCCATGACTCCTGCATCTTGCAGGATTTGAATGTGGGACCTTCGGTATTGTGCGCGAACGCCTAACCTTTGGACCAGTGGGCCGGCATCCAACAATGTTAATGTCTAACTCTGATTGATCAAGGGATTTTGCACGACCTCACCGATTTGTTTTTGGCAGTTACTGCCTATACCCGACAGGCTTGAACTCCACTGGTCACATTTAAATCAATGCGTAAAGAATTCTTTTATGTTTCAAATGATGTGAATATATAGCTATCATTTTGATGATCTTGAGATTTACGCATAAAATTCGTTCGTACATACTGAGCATGATATATCAAAATGAATAAATTTATATCATGTATTCTACCATATAATTGTATTCATACCTTTGAGTTTCACAGGTTAATAGCTGAAAATGGCCATTTTTATTGATTTTAAACTTACTAGTTAGTTTAGTTTTTTTTTAAAGTTTATATTTTGCCTTTGTGGGGGGGCGGCGGTGTAAAGTACTGGAACTGACCAGTTTGTACTGATAAATGTACTTCTTCAGAAGATTACCTCTGAAGAGCTATGTAGTCATAAGTTCGTCATTCAAGTTGGATAATGGCTAGCGACGGTTTGAGTCTCAGAGTGAACGCGAATACTAGAATTCAATTACATTCGGCTGAAGAGTACCGAATAAGACGAAACCTATGACCTGGTTTCAACTGCTAGTCAATATCCACCCTTAAAAGTACTTACTTACTTGCTTACTTACGCCTGTTAACCCCATTGGTGCATAGGCCGCCCACCAGTTTTCTCCAACCAACTCTGTCCTCAGCTTCCCTTTCCAGTTCCACACAATTTTCGTTCATTCTTCTCATATCTTTCTCTATTTCTCGGCCTAATGTGTTCCTTGGCCTTCCTCTTTTCCTTTTGTCTTGATATTATTTCAATCGTAGAAATGCAGCCCTTGCTTTGCCAATCCGAGCCCTCACATCTGCATCGGATCCACCTTGGTTGTCGATGATGCTGCTCAGATATGTAAAGGTGTTAACGTCCTCCAAGGCATCTCCATCAAGAGTGATTTGTTTGGCGCATATTGTGTTGCATCGGAGAATTTTGCTTTTTCCTTTACGTATATTGAGACCTGCTGCTGCTACACTGGGCTTGGGACCGGCAGTAGCCTCGAGGTTCTCTACTGGCGGAGTTACCCTTAAAAGTGTTTGTTCTTTATTTGTTTTCAGTAATAAATAGGTATTGTTTTTTTTTAACTTAGAAAGTATATATGACCTAAATGTGAACAATTTTTTATTTCCAGGTTATACAAATCCACCAATGAGAACATCTGAAAATACTTCCAGTGGACTAAGCATACCAGATATACAACAATTAGCATTTTTGCATCAAATCTATAGTCAACTAAATACAGGACAATCCAGCTGTTCTTTCAATATTGATTCTATATCACAATCGGATAAATTACACCCCGAAATCAAAGATGCTAATAATAATAATAATCTTCCAGGAAATTATCATACAAATACGATTTCCTCTTCCTCTCAAAATGTTATCATCGGTTCGACAGATTTCAATTCTAAATCATTATCAACAACTCCGCATTTAACAAACAATGAGAATTTAATTTTAGCCAATCAATTATTGAATAGTTTTTATTCTGTTCAAAATGAAAACCAGAAACAATCACAACAGCAACAACAACAACAAAATAACACATATTGTTCAGACAATATTTCCAACTCATTCAAATATTCCAATCCAATACATTTAAATAGTACAATGTCTTCTTCTACGGATAAATTATATTGTCCCATTGGATCAACTAGTCAAATCCTATTGAACAATACTATGCCTGTAACAAATCATATTAATTCATTCAATGATAAAACTAGTAGCACATCTTCTGCAAATAATAATAATAATAGTAATAATAATAATAATAATAATAGTTTGAATTATGCTGAAGCTTTAATGATTCTAATGAATGCTATGTATAGTAATTATAAAACTAATCAAACTTCAGGTAAATGCACATGTTTATGATTTATTTTGAGATTTAAAAAAGCAGGAAACTATTTCAATTGTTGTTGTTGTTTTTTGTCATGAGATTAGGCGTTCGCGGGATGCAAGAGTCGTGGCTGCACACTGTCATTGATGAGTCCCACACCAGGACGAAACAGCCGTCTTTCAGTGCTTCCAGGTTTCCGAATGGTGTGGTCTAACATTGATCGATTCATAGTTACAAAAAATGTGTAACTTAACAATCTTAACAATACCGTAATGCAAATTACCTGTGCTCGCTAGTCACTAGCTTCGTGAGGAATCTTCTCCGAGTTCTAGTGGAAAGACGTGACCAGTAAAGTTCAACCTGTTCTGGTGTAGACAGTAACTACTACTGAAGACTGTGTATGAGGTTGCGCAACTCCGTCCTTTGCTTCCAGGTTTATAATGGTAGTCTAACATTGATCGATTCACGGTTTCAAAAAAGAAAGTGTAACTTAACAATCTTCACAACCCCGTAATGCATAAAAAAAATTCTTTACGCATTTATTTAAATGTGACTAGTGGAATTCAACCCTGTCAGGTGTAGGCAGTAACTACCAAACACAAATGGGTGAGGTCATACAAAATCCCTTGATCAATCAGAGTTAAACATTAACACCATTGAATACCGGCTCAATGGTCCGATGGTTCGGCGTTCGCTCACAATACCGAAGGTCCTGAGTTCGAATCCTGCGAGGTGCAGGAGTCGTGGATGGGCACTGCTACTGATGAGTGCCATACCAGGACGAAACGGTCGTCTGTCAGTGCTTCCAGGTTTCTGAATGGTGTGGTCTAACATTGATCGATTCATGGTTTCAATGTTCAATGATTCATTTTGTTAAATGTCTTTTCTTTCTCCCTTTATCTCCTCTTCATTATCATATTAATAGCTTCAAATGAATTCACCAATGGTTTACACTTACCACAAACTGATATCATCAATTACAATATGAATAATAATCAACAACAATTAATCAATTCATCTACTATGACAAATACATGTTGTTTAAATACAGAAGAACCAAAAGAATCATTTAATGATGTTCTTAGATTTTTAAGTCAATGTTTAAGTAATTCATCGAATCATAATGATAAAGTAAGTTCAAAAAAAAGAGGAGGAGTATACTTTTATGATCTTTTAATTGACTGTCTAATTAAATAATTGGATATGTTTCTTTGAAATTATATCATTGCTTAATTACTTTCTGTGACAAAATATATTTCTTTGTAAGCTGTTCACATAACAGTTTCTAGTGATAAGAGATAAAAAGATATTGTTTGGGGAGGTTAGATCCCCAGAATTCACTTGATAGAGGTTTAAATTTTGGATTTTATTCATGGGTTGATTAGTTAACCTTGAGATTACATTTCCCACTAGGGAAATCCTTGGTTGTGATTAGTTACTGTGTCATTTTAGTGTGTTATTTTCGTGACTCTCCCAATGACGTTTCTATAGAGTATAAATAAACGTAATTTGAGTGCTTGAATTCATTGTGTGCTAGCTGGGTGTTTGTAGAATACACTTTCTACGCTATATCAAAATTTCTTGCTGGTACAATTGGGAAAATCGGATCACAGTTGCCTACCTGGACGCTAATTCATTGTTTCGATCTCGTTATTCGTAATAGTTTCAAGCATACCTAGAGACGAGCATAACACTGATACTGTTCATAGTTGCATGATTGTCATTTTCATACACTATTTTTGCGGCTCTCCTAAAGACGTTTCTATGATGTATAAATAAACCCGATTTGTGTACTTGAGATCATTGTATTTTCTGGGTGCTTATAGAATACACTTTTTACGCTACATCAAGACTTTTTCTTCAGTTAGTTGGGTAAACAGATCAGAGTAGCCTATCGTGTCACTGGTTCATTGTCTCATTCTCGTTTATCGACTAAGCTGAAATCGTAATAGTTTCAAGCATATCAAGTGACGAGCATAACATATATCATAATAAAAATCAATTAAATTCTTAGAAATTACATTTCAATGTTCAATTAAAAAAGTCAACTTATTCACACTTCCATTTGAATTCAATTTAAAGTTTTAATTTTTGTTAGGTTCGCCACTAGGTACGCTTGAATCTATTACGGGTTCACCTTAGTCGATAAACGCGAATGAGACAATTACCAGCGTCCAGGTAGGCTATCTTGATCCGAAAAGGTTAAAGAGAAGTCCTGATAAGTGTTGAAAGTATATTCTACAAACACCCAGCAAGCACAATGCATTCAAACACACAAATCTCGTTTATTTATACATCATAGAAACATCCTTGGGACAGTCACAAAAATAGCACACTAAAATACACAGCAGCCAATCACAGCCGAAGATTTTCCTGATAGGAAATGTGATCTCAAGGTCAACTGATCAGTCCATGCTCGCAAACGTGAAATCCAAAATAAGACATTTATCAGGCGAGTTCTGGGGATCTAACATCCCCAACAACTTTCAACACTTCTAAGGTTCAAATCAGGTGAACATAAATCAAATATAATTAGTCTATCTAATTCAAGTTCATTCAATATATAGTTTGGAAAAAGTTTATTGCTGATGTACATAAGACAATGGAGACCGGAAAAATACACAGGAAAACATAAGCCCATATTATATATATATATATATATATATATATATATATATATATATATATATATTCTGTTGTATTTTTAGTGACAAGTTGTTGAAGTACATCTTGTGTTCACGTTTGTTTACACAGTAAATTCTAAGGCCAACACAGATAATTTAGCCCTATTGTCAAGTTTCAAGTTAAGTTGTTAACTTATAATTTTTTCAATTTATATTCCTTCATTAGACATTATCACATCAACAACCTACTGTTGCATCTATGAATCAACCACAAAAACTAACAGGTCTTTCATGTACAAAGCCTCCTACTTCAACAACAACAACAACCAAATTATCTGGACGACAAAAAGCTACTGCCAATAATAATCAACCATTAAATCAATCAACCACACCGACAACAACTCATCGTGGCAGAGGTAGACCACCGAAATTAGCCAATGCACAATATCAAGCACAGAGTAAACAACAACAACAACATCACAAAGCAAGTCATTTAACAACCAATAATGAGAAACAGCCACAGGTTAGTATAGTGTGATTCACTTCCTCACTGTGTGTTGGTCATATATCATGGGAATTGAAATCAATTATGATCTCTATACAGTAATGAAATGGTGCTCTTAATTTATGCATTCTGGATGCTTAAAATGCTGAGCATAGAATTTGATTGTTTATTGTCTGTGTATCTGGTAGTAATCACTCTCTGTAGAATATGTTTTCTGAATGTTCTGATGTTCTAGTTTTGCTCGAAAGTAAGTAAGTAAGTAAGGATTATCACATCTAGTATACAATATCGCTCTTCCAACTATATGTTAATATTTTACCGAATATTATTTTGAAACTGTTGTGTTTTGACATACGTCACGAACAGTAGTTCCACTAACGCCATTACTGTATTCATCACTGGGGTCGATAGATCACGCCGATTCTCATGGCCACAATCATTTTATTAGAAAAGTCGAAATACATAGGATTTGTCTCATTACCACAATCATTTCGTGTCACAACTCCTGTGACACAACATACGACTACGGTTTTTGATTTCAGTTGGTGTTGAACTAGAACAGTTTAGAATCAAGCTGAATAGCACTTAAGCAGGTGTTTACTCGTAATGTACAGATAGTAAAAGGTGTGACAGCAAACCAGTAAGTAAGTAATTCACTCTATAGTTGTTACTCATGCTTCACGCTTCCTTTTTCAAGCCTCGTTGTAAAGGACTCGTAAATTTGTTTGTATCTCTCCAAACTGAGGTCTTCCTTGTTACTTCATAAATATAGTTTTCTAGACAATACAACGTTTTATATCCATACTAGTTAAAAAAAAAAGGAAACTTTTTAAATAAAACTCCTGAAAGCATCTTGAGGCATAAGGTACTAGGCTGGTTTAGAAAATCGGTTGATGTGGTTATTGAGATTCATCGATCGAGACTGCTATGATATGTGTTATATATATGCTTAATCACCGCTTACCTCTGTCAGTGATGTTTGCTGGTGTACGAATAGGCCCTAAAAAAAGCTTGGGGTGGTCAAAAAAAATACATGGGATCAATATTTATGATTTCAATGACTGTGGATCTGAGCCATGTTAGTTGATGTACCTTGCAATAACTGCTGTCGGTCGCCACTTCATTTTCCCCTCAATTTTGAATTCTAGTAATCTTTCATGTACGCCTTTCTATGTCGTGTTTTAGAAACGTATTCTCATTGTTTGGCTTATCTTCATTGACAATGCTACTAGTTTCTTCCCGTCTATTCAGTTACACATCTCTCTAAATTCATCTCATCATCTCAACAGGACATTGATAATTTGTGCAAAAACACATCTGTACCCAGGCTGTACGTTGTTAATGACCGACTTATACAGTGCATTATCCTATTTGACAGTCATATAAGTTTCCTCTCTTGTGTTAGTATAATTTGATCACTCTTTAACCTTTCATCCTTTTTTTTTAGGCCAACAATAGAGGAAATCCAACTGTTATATCTGATAGTATCTCTCATCCTGATCATAATTCTTCTCAAACAAAACCAGAACTCAACTTATCATCTTCTAAATCCGAAGGCATTCCACATAATCATGCTGATATGAATGATATGAAAATGTTCCCAAATTCGATCAGCTTCAATGAATCCAAAATTGAAAAAGAATCAGATTCACAAGAAAAAAAGTTGTATAGCACAATGCCTGGCAAAAATGAATCTAGTGTAGAAGAAACTATCAATGATGTGTTGAAAAGTATTGCGAATTGTAAAGATGATCTAGCAACTTTAGCTAGTTATTTAGCATACAATACACTTGGAATTAGTTCTACTAGAGAATGTTGTAAAGAACACACTGAGGTTGATGACAATGTTTCACGTATTGTAAATATGAATACAACTACAGATTCAACTTGTAGACTATCATCTGGTAAGTGTGATTGTTTTCTGTGAACTCTAATATAACACTACTTAATTCCTTAGTTTGAATATTCATTACACTTACAGGAATTTCCTACCTGATTCCTAGTAGTAACAAGATTGTTTTCATACAAGATATTACGTATTTGATGTGTTACCTGTTCTGGAGATGTATCAGGGCTTTAAGTCTCGCCCACTGGTTCCGGTTACTTACATCTTCCACTAAACTCTGGGAAATTACTTTGTAAAAAAAAAAGTTCAGAGACTGTTTCTATTTTTACATAGATGTGAGGACATTTATCGTTTCACTTCTCCAACTAACTCTGTCTTGGGCTTCTTTTCCCAGTTCTGTCCAAGTTTTGTTCATTCTTCTCATATCTTTCTCTATTTCTCGGTGTAATGTGTTCTTCGGCATTCCTCTTTTCCTTTAACCTCGAGGGTTCCATAGAGAGCTTGTCTTGTGACACAATCGGATGCTTTCCACAATATATATCCTATCCACTTCCAGCGCTTCTTTATGATTTCTTCCTCTACTAGAATTCACTTTGTTCTTTCCCACGGTAGATTGTTGCTGATGGTGTCTGGCCAACGAATCCGAAGTATTTGTTTATTGATGATCTTTCGGCCCATTTACATTAAGCATAAGATCACCATTTATTTAAAAACTTTTATGCAAAGACTTTAGCCTTATTAGGTGATTATGTCATCACAAACTCATGAAGTAAACGGACTGATTTTATTTTTGTCTAATTTAACTGTATAGTGCGATAAATATTCAAACCTATGTTTGATCCTATTTTATGTTAAGTGAAGTATATAACTTATCAATGGCTAAAAGTTTATATTCTTTTTGAAGTGACTGTCTATCTCACGCATGAGTCATTGTCTTTCTGTTTTTTTTTTCTGTCTATAGATAGAAGTAATCAATATTCTGCATGCCATGATCAATCAAGTTCACATGTCCCAATTAAATCCGAGTAAGTTCAGTTCAATAGTGTAATTCAGTTTTTCTGACGAAGTTTATGTGATAATAATAATAATAATACTGTCCAATTACTACAATAGAATTGGATATAAACAACAACAATTCTAACCTTTGACCTTTTAGCTTTAAAGATGAATAGTTTAACTCTTTACAATTTAAATAATAATACAAAGAAATTTAATATATTCACAGTAGTATATACACTTGTGCAGATTTATACCAATAGTTGTTAATCTACGAGTAATAATAATAGTAATAATAATAATAATAATAATAATAATAATGTATGATAATCTTATTTCTAATATACAGCAATTTCTTGTCTAATAATGGAAATGTTTAATTTCAATTATGAAAATTAAGAGATTGAAGAATGCGACTTATCAGACTTAACCCATTCAAATCTGTAGAAAATAGATACACCACTGGAGAGGATAATTTTCACTGAAGTACTATCGTATACTATCAGAATTGTTATAAAACTTCATTTTATTAATGCGGCACTAAATTATTTGATAATCCAATGATTGATTGATGATTTCAAAAATGTGTAAATACACAAAACCTCCAAAACTCTGCCCCAAAATATCGTAAAATGTGCTCATTAGTGAGTAGCTTCGTGAGGAAATTCTCGGAGTTCTAGTTAAGAAGACGTGATCGATGGAGGTCATCCCTGTCGGGTGTATGCAGTAACTATCAAACACAAATGGGTGAGGTCGCGCGAAATCCCTAGATCAATCAGAGTTACACATAAACATCGTTGGATGCCGGTTCATTGGTCCGATAGTTAGTCGTTCTCGCACAATACCGAAGGTCCCGGGCTCGAATGCTGTGGGGCGCAGGAGTCGTGGATGTGCACCGCTGATGAGTCGCATACCAGGACGAAACGGCCGTCCAGTGCTTCCAGGTTTCTAATGGTATGGTCTAACAATGATTGATTGATGACTTCATATATGTGAAAAAAGAATCCAATTACAAAACTGCTTATCACTTTTTTGGTGGAGTTTCGTTCACTAATCCAAATGATGTAGTCACGAAGTTTTCATTGTTCTTCTAAACAATATTATTAACAGTTCGTAGCAATGAAGTTGTTTAGAAAAACTATAAAAGTTTCACGAATAACGAAACATCTGAACTCATCAATCAATCATTGTTATACTACCATTAGAAACCTGGAAGCACTGGATAGCCGTTTCGTCCTGGTATGCGACTCAACAGTGGCAGTGCGCATCCACGAATCCTGCGAGTGGCAGGATGTGTGGATACGAAACTAGAAAACGCCACCATCTCACTCACTGTCTGTCAAGTTGGTCAAAAATGAACACCTTTTTTTTGCACAATGCAAGCAATGTATTCTAAATCAATACTGTATAAAAAAAAAATCATTCATCTATCGTTTGTCCAATATATTAATGTTCATCATCCAGATGCAATAAGATAGATTTTTATAATCTAATGAAACAGTCATGTAAGTATGAACTTCAGTAACTATCTGCGCTAAATAAACAAACATTTTATAAATTGTTCATATTAAATTAATATGAATTTTAAATTACACTTATCCTATGTATAATATCCACATTAAAAACGGGAAAAAGTTACTGGTGTATTTTGTTTATAACTTTACTGATGGTTTCTTTTAAATAAACCTGGTGATTAAGCTCTGTGAGGAAGTATCTCCGAGTAGTCGTGACCAGTAGAGTTCAACCGTGTTCGGGTGTGAAGCAGTGCTCAGTGAAGACAGTGGATGAGGTTGCTCAAAAACCGTGGATTGATCGGAGTTAGCTGCCGGCTCATTGGTCCAGAGATTGAGCGTTCGCACGCAAGATCGAAGGTCCTGGGCTCGAATCCTGTGAGTATCGGGAGTCGTGGATGAGTACTGTTGATGAGTCCTATACAAGGACGAAACGGCCATCCAGTTTTTCCAGGTTTCTAGCGGTGGTCTTATATTGACCGGTTAATGAATATATATATATTATATATATATATATATATATATATATATATATATATATACTTACTTACGCCTGTAACCCCTAACAGAGCATAGGCCGACCACCAGTTTTCTCCAACCAACTCTGTCCTGAGCTCCCCTTTCCAGTTCTGTCCAAGTTTTGTTCATTCTTCTCATGTCTTTCTCTATTTCTTGGAGTAATGTGTTCCTTGACCTTCCTCTTTTCCTTTGACCTTGAGGGTTCCATGTGAGTGCTTGTCTTGTGACACACTTGGGTGCTTTGTGCAGTGTGTGTCTTATCCACTTCCATCGCTTCTTCCTAATTTCCTCCTCCGCTGGAAAACATGTGCAGTACAAAGTGATAGTGATTGTAATAATAATAATATTGATAATAACTTGCTTGAAAATTTTGTTTATTGACACTTTTTGCTAAGGTGTAACGGACTATTATTTTGTACATTTCGTTGTAGATGGAATCTAGAAGATGTTAAAGAAATCGGCATGTCAGGAGGAGCTTTATTTCTGAAAGCTGTAGGACAAGATCGTCATGATCAGAATAATACTCAAGAGGTGAGTTCATATCAAAAATAAGAATACTCATTGACATTAAAACGACAACAAACTAAACCTAATATTTACCAACGACTGCCAAATCACCCATAACTGATTATTGTAATAGCTAAGAAGGCAAACACATCTATTTTTTTGAGTTTTTGAATTGTCCAATGGATTATTTTAAATTGTTCATGTACTTCATATGCGAGTACAGAATTACCTGCAATGCGCCTGTGCAAGGTTGTAGCCGTTACCTTAATATTGTAATCATATTCACCTTTTATGATAATTTACTAAAATTACATTGATTAGAACATTTGTTCATTGCCATATAGATCAGATGAGAAAAAGGATTAGAAGCAACAGATAATGGTTCGAGTAGTAAGCCATCCTGCTGACTGTACTGGCGAAGACGAAAGTCATGAGCTTACTTCAGGTAACGGCATCTCCAGTGATAATGTCTTATCTTAGAGGTAGAGAATCAGTCAGTCAGTCAGATGCAACGTAGAACTTGGTACGTAAGTACATCAGTTCATGTTGCCATACCACATCAGCACAGAGAAGTAATTGTCAATTCAAATCCAATAGTAGTAGAGGTAGTAAGGGAATTAGAAGTAATCGGAGAGGTTAGGGTTAGAACACACCCCTCTGCAGTCAGCAGTACGACTTCGCCCCCAGACCTTGGGTAGCTGCTTTTAGTCTCATCGTTCTCCAATCGACCTGCCTGGCATGGTAGGACCTGCAGGAACATGTGTTCCAGCCAGTATAGCTCGGTTGGGTCATCACGATAGGCAAGCCCGACCACCACGTCAAGGTAGCAGCTACGGTCGGGAGAGGTAGAGAACAGTGATAAAATGTCGATCGTAGAAACTGCTGGGGATGTTAGATCCCCAAAACTCACTTGAAAATGGTCCTCACTTTCGATTTTATGTTTTAGAGCATGGGCCGATCAACTGACCTTCAGATCACATTTCTCACCCCGAAATTCCTTGAATGTTTTTGGTTGATGCATTATTTAAAAAAAACTAGTTTTGAGGTAAAAGCTTCGAAATAAATCATTTCTTGATGTGTTACCTCTAATATTTTCAGACATTACCAGCAACATCTGGAATCCGCGAAGGAAGTCAAATATTCTGTTTCTGTTATGATCGTCACTTGATATGCTCGAAACTATTACGAGTTCAACTTATTTAGTAAACGAGAGAGGGGCAAGTGACCCAGTGACATGATAGGCTACTGTAATCCAACAGCCCCAATACCCCACTAAGTAGATGAAGAAGTCTTAATGTGGCGTAGAAAGTATATTCTACAAGCACCAAGAACATATGAGGTCGACAAGTACACAAATAGAGTTTATTTATAGATGGTAGATACGTCCTTGGGAGAGTCATAAAAGTAGCGTACTCGAATAATACACTAATCAATAACAGTCAAGGATTTCCGAGTGGGAAATGTAATCTCAAAGTCAACTGATCAGTCCATGCGTTAAAACGTAAAATACGAAATGAGAACCTTTATGAAGTGAGTTTTGGGGATCCAAACTCTTCAACAATGTTTATTTACATACTGTGCAGGAGGGGGTTTGATGAGAGATTTTCAACATTTTCTCAAAATGAACTTATGTAACAAGATTCAGTCGACTACTTTGTTGTACTTCGTTACTTTTGTTAATATTGGGTTAAGTGGATTTGTGTATGAAATCATCAATCAATCATTGTTAGACCACCATTAGAAACGTGGAAGCACTTGACGGCCGTTTCGTTCTAGTATGGGACTCATCAGCAGTTCGCATCCACGATTGATGATTTCAAATGTGTAAAAACACAAACCTTCTAAGCTCTACCTGATATTTTGTATATGTTGTTTCTGCTGACAAAAAAAAGTAATTCTGTCTGCTTATGAATTAATCTTTTTTCAGGTATCTAACACAACTGGAAATTATTTCAATCAATCTGCAACTACAGAAATAAAATTGAATAATTGTACATTGTCAGCACAATGCAATTTAAGCACTGTTGTTGATTCAAAAGGTTAGTCATTAAATATCTATAAATTGATTGGTTTGTTTTATAAAATCATTCTAATCTTTGCTATTGTCATTTACTAACAGAAAATTCTCCCGTACAACAAAGTATTCTTGAAGAATTACGAAGTTGACTTTTCACAGCACTGAATTTCTGTAGCTATATAAGCATTTGCACTTTGGAAGCTTTAAACACTTGTTTCATCCTATTGTGAACTCCTTAACAATGTCCATTCATAATCTCACTGGGGATTTAACCTAGGAATTTCAGGTCTTGCTGTGTAAACGCTTAACTGTTCGAATATGAAGTTAGTATTGATTAGTTGGTATGCTTAATTTCAACTAATTCGTGATATTTTACAATCATCATTAGTTACCGTTGGAATTATTTGTCTCACATTTTACATCATTGGACCCCATTGAACATGGCTGTCTATTAGAACTGAAGAAATTACTTGTCAAATTTAAGTATTAATAAGTGTAAGAGAACTTTTACTACTAGACACTGTAGAAATAATTCAGTTTCAAGTTACTTATCATAAATTTCATAGACTGTTACAGAAACTGTTCACCTTACTCTTATCCATAGATTCGAGGAATGTTATGATATTTAGAAGAGAACCTTTAGTTTCACTGTTAAATTTATATGGATTTTCCGCACAAAAGTGATTGTTTGGTATTCGGTCATCTTATCTCAAAAAACTTCAATTTATCAGTCTGAATGTTATCAACTTATACATAACAATGTAAACAATCTAAGGGAAATTTTTTTTAGATCACTCGAACGGTCTTCCAATGTATATAAGGTTAAATCAATTGAAATTATTCAGAATTTCATTGTATATGAGGGCTGTTACGATTAGAATCGACAGATAGGTAGTGAGAATGTCATCGCCATTACTTTCAAAATATTTTTTAATTCTGACAAGTCGTCATGGGTCCTGTTAAGAGGTATTAGTATATAAATTCTTCTTTATCTGGAAATACTGTGACTATTTACTAATGTTGATTCCAGTCGAATATAAACATTACGTATTTCGAAGAACTACAGTTTATTTTTTCAAAAAAAATAAGATTCGACACTTCAATTCATTTTGCCTTGTATTAGCACCTGAACTAGTGAAAGAAAGTGAAGCAGTTGAGTGTGTCGACCGCTTCACTTATCTCGAGAGTCTCATCAGTGCTGATGGCCTGATGACTGACAAAATCTCAGCACGGATACAGAAAGCTCGATTGGCTTTTGCCAAATTGCTTTACTTATGGCGTAGGCGAGATATCCGTTTGCTAACCAAGTAACAGAGTACTGCGCATCATTTCGCTCAGTCCTACTTTATGGCTGTGAATTATGGCCAGTCAGAGTTGAAGATATTCATAAGCTGCTGGTTTTCGACCGCACATGTCTCCGATGCATTGTTCGTATATCTTGGGACAACCAAGTGAACAATACTGTTGTTAGGACACGAGTACTAGGTAGGGATGGCAAATCAATGGATGAAATATTAAAACCTCATCAGTAGATGTGGTTGGGACATGTGTTACAAATGCCCAACCACCGACTGTCTCGATGAGCTATGTTTTGTGGTGTAGGAATAGGTTGGAAGAAAGCTAGGGGCGGCCAGACAAAAACATGGTACAAATCCATGAAGTCACTGACAAGTGAACTGAGTCATGTTGGTAGGTGTGGACTACCTGGTTGGGGTCCGCGAGATGATAATAATCGATGGTTAGAGAATCTGAATGACATAGCTTTAAACCGTTTGCAATGGCGTTGGTACATTCATTCATTGTGTTTTCTCAAATCCTAACCTTTTGAGTTCCTCATCACTTTATCTTTTTAAGTTTATTTCACTAGATTATACTTATTGAATAATATCGTTGAACCATATTTACTCCGATTACTTCTATTACTTTAACTACCTTTGCTGTTATGCGAAATGAATAGACAATTGCATCTCTGTGCTGATGTGATATGGCAACTTGAATTGATGTACGTCCATAAGTAAGTACGAAATTCTATGTTGTTATTGACTGACTTACTTCATTCTGTTGAAGTTCCTAAAATGTTCCCTCATCGATTTTCAGCTTGTATACCACCTCAAACTGGAAGTCAACAAGAGGTTACCTCCTTCCATGATACAAATTATTCATTCTGTTCATCCAAAGAAAGCATTATCTCTTCTATTACTCCAGAATATTCATCTTTTACTTCAAATAATTCTATTATGGATTTCAATCAACTGAAAACATATCCATATAATGTTTTTCAAATTTTACCTAAACCAGATATATGTACAAACACTACAAGAAATCAAGAAGTCGACGTACAAAATCAACATTTCCATGAAACGACAAATGAGCCGACAAGTCATGAATTATATAACAGTACAGCCGAAAATATACTTAACTCAGTAAGTTTACTCATTACAACATTCTTCTATAATCATAACAAACCCACCGTATCAACAACAATATCTAGGTGTCAGTTTTTCGCGGTTTATCAAGTATAAAACATTGAACAAATAAGTTTCATTGTTCAATATTGAAGGCAAATATTTTTATATACTCAGTTTTAATGACTGTTTTAAAATTTTTGTTCTGAAAATTTGAATTTATGCAAATTTATTGAAATAGAGTTCAGTACAATCGACAGGTAAATAATTGTCAAAACAAAAAAAAATTAACTCATATTATCCGCCCAGTGATTTTTAGTATCATTAAAATGAATCAGCACAAATATTTTCATATTCTTTGGCGTGAAATTCAAGTTATTCTGATCGTGTTTCAATTAATTACACTGTTGCAACTATAGTTCACTCTCAATGAGGTTAAAAAAATATAGTGTGGTGTTGTAGTGTAGTGAGAATCAATCAGAATGAAGGAGAATTATTTGTTTTCGAAATTTTCAACGAAATCCAAAAATCAATCAGTTTCATATTCCTGCGAGGTGCAGGAGTCGTGGGTGCGCACTGCCACTGATGAGTCCCATATCAGGGACTTCCAGGTTTCTAAAAGGTGGTCGAACAATGATTGAATGATGATTTCAAATGTGTAAAAACACTAATCTCCATAACTCTAATTACAGAGACAACTTCATCTACTCCATAGAAGGTTTAAACTTCTCTGTGAGAATTATTTCTACTAACAAAGAGTGAAAATGACAATGTTTAACGCATCCAGTGCTCACTATTCATCAATACGTATTGAACACAATACGTGAATCGATCAGTTGATGTTTCAGTTTGTTCTGTAGTTTTGGTTTACTGTGGTAGCAGTTTCAGGGTTAATGCTGGTCCCATGGTCGAGTAAAGGAGGAGTGTTAGGCATGATGTAGGCAACGTGATCACGTGTATAAAATCAACTCGCTAAATATACGCACTGAAATTTGTAAAACCATTATGCTGTAACGATAGATTTATTGTAAAACACTTGTAATTCATATAGTCTCTTCGTGGATAAAGTGATTAGTGACTTTAGAATGACTCATTCCTTTTTAAGAATCAACGTACTAATACCATACTTTTAAACAAGAACATCATATTTTAGATATATTGTTGATTGCACATTTGAAATTATGAATCGATCAATGTTAGACCACCATTTGAAACCTGGAAGCACTGAAAGACGGCCGTTTCGTCCTGATATGGGACTCATCAGCAGTGCGCATCCACGACTCCTGCACCTCACAGGATTCGAACCCAGGACCTTCGGTATTGTGCGCGAACGTCTAACCTCTGGACCGGTGAGCTAGTATATAACTGGTGTCTAAATTCGATCAGTTCACGGAGTGGCGCTCCCTCATACACTATCTTCGGTAGTTACTGTCTACACCCGAACAGGGTTGAGCTTCACTCGTCACGACTTCCCACTTGAACTCGAAGGAGATTTCTCGTTCAGCTAGCAACTACTGAGCACAAGTAATTGCATTACGGATTTGTGAAGATTGTTAAGTTACACATTTTTGAAACCATGAATCGATCAATATTAGACCATCATTAAAAACCTAGAGGCACTGAAAGACGGCCGTTTCGACCTGGTATGGGACTCATCAACAGTGCGTATTGATCAATTCATGATTTCAAATGTGTCATTTCACATTCTTCATAACCCCGTAATGCAATATTGTTGCTTGTCAGAATACTTACTTACGCCTATTACCTCCAATGGAGCATAGGCCACCCACCAGATTTCTCCAATCAACTCTGTCCTCAGCTTCCCTTTCCAGTTCCACACAATTTTTGTTCATTCCTCTCATATCTTTCTCTTGGCGCAATGTGTTCCTTGGACTTCCTCTTTTCCTTTGACCTTGAGGGTTCCATGTGAGGGCTTGTCTCGTGATGCAGTTAGGTGCTTTTCGTAGTGTGTGTCCTATCCACCAACTCCACCGCTTCTTCCTGATTTCCTCCTCCACTGGAATCTGGTTCGTTCTCTTCCACAGTCGATTGTTCCTGATGGTGTCTGGCCAACGAACCCCAAGTATTTTGCGTAGACAACTGTTAATGAATGATGGCTTTGGTAGTTCTCCAATTTTCCCCTCTATACAGTAGAACTGTCTTGACATTTGTATTGAAAATCCTGATTTTGTTGTTGATTGATATTTGTTTGGAGTTCCAGATATTTTTCAACTGTAGAAATGCAGCCCTTGCTTTGCCAATCCACTCCCTCACATCTGCATCGGATCCACCTTGATTGTCGATGATGCTGCCCAGATATGTAAATGTGTGAACCTCCTCCAAGGCATCTCCATCAAGCGTGATGTGGTTGGTGCATGTTGTGTTGTATCGGAGAATTTCGGTTTTTCCTTTATGTATGTTGAGACCTACTGTTGCTGCTGCTACACTAGTTGTCTTCTCTTGCATTTATTGTTGCGTGCACTGTCAGAATACTACTACTACTACATTTCAGTGAATATTTTTTTTGTTTTCATAACAATAATTAATCCTATCTATGTATATATTTATATAAATAATTCATTTTATTATTATTATTAGGAAAAAGAATATTTGAAAAATTTCTTCATTAAATTTGTTCAATGGCAAGAACATTTACAAAAAGAAAAAGATGAATTGTTAAAGAAAGAAGAAAAACATTGTAAAGAAATGGTAAGTTCGATTTGTTTTGGACATTGAACATTGATTATTATTATTATTTCAAATGTGTGTAAAAACACAAAATCTCCAAAAACTCTGCCCTAAAATATCGTAACAGTGCTCCTCACTAGTGTGACTAGCTTCGTGAGGAATCTTCTCGGAGTTCTAGTTGAGAAGACGTGACTAATGGAGTTCAACCCTGTCGGGTATGTGTAGGCAGTAACTGCCAAACACAAATGGGTGAGGTCGCGCAAAAATCCGTAGATCAATCAGAGTTGGACATTAATTAACACTGTTGGATGCCGGGCCAGTGGTCCAATGGTTAGGCGTTCATGTAGAATACCGAAGGTCTCGGGTTCGAATCCTGCGAGGTGCAGGAGTCGTGGATGCGCACTGTTGATTAATCCCATACCAGGACGAAACGGCTGTCCAGTGCTTCCAGGTTTCTAATGGTGTGGTCTAACAATGATTGATTGATGATTTCAAATGTGTAAAAACACAAAACACTGCCCAAAATAAAGAACATTTTACTGTTTGTTTGTTTTTTTTTCGTTACATAAAGTAATTTTGATTGAAACAGATTTTCACCGAGATTGATTACAGCTTTAGTTTGTATTTGATTGCACATATTAATCTGCATTAAGATTCCTGCTGAAAATCAGTGAATATGAGGAAGTTGTTTTTTCCAAATGTTGTGTTCCTTCAACTACATCAGAGATTGTACATAAAGAACTGCAGGTCTGGTATGGCAAACTCTAATGAAGTAAAGGCTTATTGAGAGGGGAATAGTTTCCACCAGTCGGATTAGATGATGATTGTCTGGCTATCTAGTTTCACCGAACACTAAAACCCAAGACATTAGTCTCGGTATCTGAACGAACCTCTTGTTCATAAATAAGCGCTACTCAACAATTACACTACTCGGTCAGTTGCAACGCAGAACTTCGTACGTATGTACATAAGTTCATGCTGCCATACCACAGCACAGAGACCCAAATGTCAAATCCAATCCCATAGTGATATAGATAGTAGAGGTATTAATGTTAATAAAGAAGACTAGGGTTCGAAGATATTATTCAAGAAGTATGATTCAGTGAGAAAAGTTTAGAAAGTCAAAACTAGAGGTGTTGAAGAATCTAGAAAATTACACTACTATGTCAAATGTAAGCTGTACTTAATTTATTAAAATGATCTTGTTGATATTATGTTTCTACTTACCCTTATCAATGATGTATTTTGATGTTAATACAGTTAAGGCTGTGTATTTACGTCTCTGTGTGAAATATTATTACGAATACTAAGATGCATTAGTAAGGATTCGGTATTCTTTGTTATTGATATTGAGGAGTACTATTAGCAAGTTTGGTTTCAAATCTCAATATAAACATTAAGTTCAAGGTTTATGTATTCAAGGAGTTCGAAATAGGCAAACGACGCGATCTGTATTGAAGTGTCAGTCGCATACTTATTATAGAATACGTTTTGTTTTTGTGAAAACCTTTACTTTTTCTGTATATTCATGCTACTGTCGTGCAACTTCAATATCGCTCTGAAAAAAATATCCATGAACTATTCACTCATTTGACTTAAATCGTATCTTATAGAATGAAAATGTAAGAGTTATAGAAATATTAGAAAATGGACATGAGGAAAATATTTGGATGTGTTAAAACATTACCTTTATAGCACATTGAAATCATCAATCAATCATTGTTAGATCACATCATTAGAAACCTGGAAGCACTGAAAAACGGCCGTTTCGTTATGGTATGGGATTCATCACTGGCAGTGCACATCCACGACTCCTGCAACTAGCAGGATTCGAACCCTAGACATTTGGTCTTGTGCGCAAACGTCTAACCTCTGGACTACTGAGCCGACATCCAACGGTGTTAATGTCTAACTCTGATCAATCTACATTTATAAGCAAACAAGATGATTTTTAAAGATATTACATAATAGTAAAAGATATTAGTAAATAAACATCAGTGTAATGCATTACTTATTACTCAGTAACATATGGCTTGTATAAATGTTTGTGAAGCATATAATTGTTTGGGACGTTATATTTCGCAGAACTCAGTTGATAAAGGTCCTAATTTTAGATTTTATTCATGGGCTGATCAGTTGACCTTGTGGTCACATTTCCCATCACGAAAACCACTGACTGTCATTGGTTTATGTATTATTTGAGTACTCTATTTTTGTGGCTCTCCCAAGGACGTTTCTATCATGTATAAATAAACTTGATTTGAGTGCTAGTGGACCTCATATTTTCTGGGTGCTTGTAGAATACACTTTCTGTCCCATATGAAGACCATTTGATATCGATGGCAGAGCCGGGAAAAATCGAATCGAAATAGCCTATCGTGTCACTGGATCACCAGTCTTCGCTTTCGTTTACCGACTAAGGTGAACTCGTATTAGCATTCAAGCATATCATTTGACTTGCATCATAACAATATAAACTGAATATTTCTGTAAGCGACTATGACAATAAACGGATATATGGGTACATTAAAAGAAAGGAATCCTTTACAGTCAATAGCAGTAAGCTTTCTAGCATCTTGAACGTAAGATGAAACTCTGAACACAGTTTATCTACATTCCAACTATTCATTGATCAATAATCATGTGGCAATTTAAACATACTACATAACATATTCTTAAATTTTCAATAGATAAGATTTGTTTTTTGAGCGAATATTTCATTATTCTAAGCTTTGTTTTTTTTTTACTTTTTTTTATTCAATAGAAAATTCAAGAACTCATTGAACAAGAAATAAAGAAACCAGTGGAAGATCTACGTTTGATTGATTCAAAAGTAAGTTATTGCATAATAATAATAATAATAATATTTCTTATTGTTGTATTTTTCGTAAATAATTTTTATTTAGTATGAAAAAAAATGCCATCACGTAAACAGACTTAATAGAGCAGCTCGAAATTCAAATTGTTCGTAAGTTGATCATCATGACTAAGGTGAAGGGTCAGTTAAAGATTCAGAATGATAATGTTTAACGTATCACTTACTTACCTACTTACGCCTGTTAACCACAATGGAGGATAGGCCACCCACCAGTTTTCTCCAACCAACTCTGTCCTGGGCTTCCTTCGCCAGTTCTGTCCAATGTTTGCTCATTCCTCTCATATCTTTCTCTATTTCTCGGCGTAGTGTGTTCCTTGGCCTTCCTCTTTTCCTTTGACCTTGAGGGTTCCATGTGAGGGCTTGTCTTGTGACGCAGTTAGGTGCTTTTCGTAGTGTGTGTCCTATCCACTTCCACCGCTTCTTCCTGATTTCCTCCTCCACTGGAATCTGGTTTGTTTTCCCCCACAGTACGTTGTTGCTGATAGTGTCTGGTCAACGAATCCGAAGTATTACGTAGACAACTGTTAATAAACACTTGTATTTTCTGGGTGATGACTCAATATTTATAAATGTACATTTTACACAATATATGAATCAATCCGCTCTTGTTTTAATTTGCTCAGAGAGAAATCACTTTCTTATTCATTCATTAAGTAATTGTTGAGTGACTGATGAAGTAATAAGAATAATGAAATAACTAGTGAATTCTTTATTTTAGTGTAACAGCTAGCAACAATAATGTGCTCACTAGTGTGACTAGCTTCGTGAGGAAATTCTCGGAGTTCTAGTTGAGAAGACGTGACCAGTGGAGTCCAACCCTGTCGGGTGTAGGCAGTAGTTGCCAAACACAAATGGGTGAGGTCGCGCAAAATCCTTAGATCAATCAGAGTTAGACATTAACACCGTTAGATGCCGGCCCAGTTATCCAATGGTTGGGCGTTTGCGCATAAAACCGAAGGTTCCGGGTTTGAATCATGCGAGGTGCAGTATTCGTGGGTGCGCACTGCCACTGATGAGTCCTATACCAAGATGAAACGGCCGTCTCTCAGTGCTACCAGGTTTCTAATGGTGGTCTAACAATGATTGATTGATGATTTCAAAAAATGCGTACCTCTAATTGAAAATAATTCTTTACTCTTCAACCAACTTATCAATCAATATTTGATAGGCGATGATAAATTTCTTAGAAAAGGAGTCAGAAACATTAGTAGAGTGAATAAATTCAATTTTAGGGTAATAAAGTTATGCAATATGAATATATTGGAAAATTGAGAATAACTTTTTGTAAAGCAATAAAACCTTTTAAAACCATTAAACTGTAACAATATGTAAATCATAAAACACTTGTGACTGATGATACAATCTCTTCGTGGATAAAGTGAAAATCATCGTTGAATGATTCAGTCATTTTTAGAATCAAGTAACATTGTAGCATAGCCCTTTAAGTTTGTCTTCGTTTTCAAAGAACGCCGATGAATGGCAGTAAAAACTAAGTAACTGAACAGATAGCGTATTTGCATCCTAAATGATTTTCTCTGTTAACCTATAGACTGGTTTGCATGTAGATTCATTTAATAAGTCCTACAAACGATAAGACAGTTTTCTTGAACTCTACTGCTATTTACAATATGAAATATCTGTAAAAACAATTTTGATGTAAGTTTAACATTCTATTTGTGAATTAATAATAGATATCAGATTGAATATATTTCTTCATCCTAGTATGGGACCTAATATGGCAGAAAGTCATGAAGTCAGTGACAAGTGGACTGAGTTATGTTGGCACATGTAGGCTACCTGGTTAGTGACCTTGAACGACATGGCTCAAAAGTGTTTTGCAATCACGCAAGTGCATCCACTCTTTATGTTCTCTCAAATTCTAATCTTCTGGATTCGTCAACACATCTACGTTTGTTTTTCTAAACTTATCTCACTGAATTATACTTCTTCAATAATATCTTCAAATCCTAATCTTCTCGATTACCAGTAATACTTCTACTATCTTTACCACTGTGGGATTTGAATTGACAGTTGCGTCTCTATGGTAACGTAGTATGGCAACCGGAACTGATGTACTTACATACAAAGTTCTACTTTGTAACTTATTGACTTACTGACTGAGTATGGGACTCATCATCTAGTAAGAAGACGTGACCAGTAAGGTTCAACCCTGTCGTGTGTGGAAGACAATGTGTGAAGTTCCTCTAAAATCCTTAGATTGATCAGAGTTACACATGAACACTGCTGGATGCCGGCTCAGTGGTCCGGAGGTTAGGCATTCGCGCTCAAGACCGAGGGTCCTGGGTTTCAACCCTTTAAGTAGCTGGAGTTATGGATGCAAACTGCTGATGATCCCCATACCAGGATGAAATGGCCATCCAGTGCTTCCATATTTCTAATTATCATAAATATAGATAATTCCAATATCTAGTGGCAATTTATACCACACAACTTATATATATTCATTTTATAACATCTATCACATGTATCGTTGTTTACATTGTGTGCTTTAGTGATTTTGAAATGAAGTAAAACGTATGTTCATAACAGACGATGACTGTCACATTTTTGAATTTAGGATAAAATTCTAACTAGAATTTTGATTAAATGTTTTATCCCAATGGTAAAATGAACAACCAATAGTTAAGGTATCGATTTCTGTGTTATATTGTCATCTGTTTTATTTAACTGCAACTTCTAAATCATCAGTCAATCAATCAGTCAGTAGCCACGTAGAAATTCATAGGTACGTATATCAGTTGGAGTTGCCATACTACATTAGCACAGAAATGCAGTTGTCAATTCAAATCTCATAGTAGTAGAGATAGTAGAAGTAATAACAGTATTCGGAGAGATTAGGGTTCAAAGATGTTATTCAAGAAGTTTAGTTCAGTGAGATAACTTTAGAAGGAGAAAGATGGAGATGATGAGGGATTGTGAAGATCAGGATCTGAGGGAACACAAAGAGTGGATGCACCTGAGCCATTGCAAACGGTTTTGAACCATGTCATTCAAGGTCTCTAACCATCGATTACTATCATCTCGCCGACCCCAACCAGTTAGTCGACACCTACCAACGTGACTCAGTCCATTAGTCAGTGATTTCATGGATTACTGTCATGTTTTTGTCTGGTCGCCCTAACTTTCTTCCAACCTATTCCTACACCACAATACATAGCTTGTCTAGGCAGTCGGTGGTTAGGTGATACGCAACACATGTTCCAACCATCTAAAATGATGAAGTTTCACTACTTCATTTATTGATCTGCCATCCTTACTTAGTACCTGTTTCTTAACTATAGCATTGCTTACTCGGTTGTCGCAGGATGCACGATCAACGCTTCGGAGGAGACACCAATGATCGAAAACTAGTAACATACAAATATCTTCTACTCTGACTGACCATGTTTCACAGCCATAAAATAGGATGGAGCGAACTGCTGTGCAGTAAACTTGTCCTTTAGTCAACAAATTTCCAAATATTTTTTCTCTCTGGCTATTGAGTACTACACATTTATCTTTTACACATTTGAAATCATCAATCAATCATTGTTAGACTAACAACAGAAACCTGGAAGCACTGAAAGACGGCCGTTTAGTCCTGGTATGGGATTCATCAGCAGTGCGCATACACGACTCCTACACCTCGCAGGATTCGATGCCGGCCTAGTGGTCCGATGTTTAGGCGCTCGCGCACAATACAGAAGGTCCCGGTTTCAAATCCTGTGAGGTGCAGGAGTTGTGGCTGCGCACTGCTGATGAATCCCATACCAGGACGAAACGGCCATCTTTCAGTGCTTCCAGGTTTCTAATGTTGGTCTAACCATGATTGATTGATGATTTCAAATGTGTAAAAACACAAAACCTCCAAAACTCTGCCCGATAAATTTATCTTTTAGTTGACTGCGCATACTAGTGTCAACGAAATAGAGATATCTATAATAAAAAATGTGAATAGTTCACATCTCGTTTCTCGTACATTAAAACAGTTTTCAATAACTCAATCATTATTATTATTATGATGATGATTATTATCTTCACTTTTGTGTTGTTGCTGTTTTCTTCTTATTTTCAACTAAAATGAAATGTTTTTTATTTTTTTTCTTTAGCCAATACCAAAGCTAGATCCTATTCCAGCCAATAGAATGACTAGAAAAATGTTTGGAAATTGTCTAATGACTATTGAATTCTTACATGCATTCTCCGATGTATTGTGTATAGGTGAGTTAGTTCGTTAGTTAGTTAGTTAGTTAATTGGCTAATAAGAGTTCTATTGTTGAAAAAAATAATCTGCTTCGTTCACTTTTATTATTGATTCATTTATCCCGATCGATAATCGAGTGTGTATGCGCTGTTGTGGAAAAAAAATACAGTTTAGGGAGTAGTTTGACTTTGTCAAAAAAAAATATTTTTAGGGAAAATTTTCCTGTCATTACAGAATGAAGAGGGCAGTGTCAAGTGTTTCTTTCCAAATTTATTCTACGCAGTAGTCAAATTAATGAGTTTTAATGTTTAGAGTAATATCCTTAAACATTAACACCGTTGGATGTCGGTCCAGTGGTTCAGAGGTTAGGCATTCGCGCGCAGGCCAGAAGGTCCTCGGTTCGAATCCTGCGAGGTTCATGAGTCGTGGATATGCACTGCTGATGAATCCCATACCAGAACGAAACAGCCATCCAGTCCTTCCAGGTTTCTAATGGTGGTCTAACAATGATTGATTGATTGATTTCAAATGTGTAAAAACAATGATCTCCACAAATCTAATTGCATTGCGGGGTTGTTGTGAAGATTGTTAAGTTTTATTTGTAACCTGGTTTCTGATGGTGGTCTAACATTGATCGATTCATGGTTACAAATAAAACTTAACAATCTTCACAACAACCCCGCAATCCAATTACATGTGTCCACTAGTGACTAGCTTGGTCAGGAATCTTCTCCGAGTTCTAGTGGGAAGTCGTGACCAGTGAAGTTCAAACCTGTTCGGATGTATACAGGTTATGAGGTTGCGCAACTCCGTGAATTTGATCAAGTTAGACATTAACACCGTCAGATACCTGCTCAGTGGTCCGATGGTTAGGCGTTCGCGCACAATACCGAAGGTCCTGGGCTCTAATCCTGCGAGGTGCATGAGTCGTAGATACGTACTGCTGATGAATCCCATACCAGAACGAAACAGCCATCCAGTGCTTCCAGGTTTATAATGGTGGTCTAACATCGATCGATTCATGGTTACAAATAAATCTAATTGTAAAATCCTTAAGAAATCACTTTACTGATGATTATATGAATAACAGATGAGCTGGTGACGTTGGAATACTAAAATATCTAAGTTCTTTGCAGGTAGACAACATAAAAACCCTGATGTTGGATCTCGTGCTTGTTAAGGCTTGACGTTACTAAGACTCATGAGAGAAATGATGCTCTCTAGAGAATATGAACCTGAGTTATGCTATTTCCCATAGTCTGAGACATTTTCATTGTGTTTTTCAAGCATCAACTGTCCTCGACCACTTTCAGTCATATAATAATATCCAATTTAGCCCAGTCTAGGTAAACATTGCCTAACTGGATTGATAGAAAGAACTCAACTAATCTTACGGGCAGTAAAAAAAATTCATGATTGTAAAGTGAAACCATCAATTTTAATCGTAATAACTAATAAATTGTTTTTAGAAAGATATAAATAAAGGAAGGCTAGCTAATAAAAACAATCAAGTAGTAATATAAATATTGATTTTTCTTTCTCTCATAATATTTTAATTACATTCCATCATTATCACATATCCATACTTGAATTAAATTCTTAAGCCAATGCAAAAAATAACACACAAACAAACAGACACACAAACACACAAATAACAAAGAGATCAGGTGTACAGTGCTGTGTTGTGTTGTGGTGTGGTGTGTTGTGTCTACTTTTTTATATGTGTATATAATGTGAATTGTGTTCACTACTACCTTTCGGCCGTTTTCTTTTTTTTTTTTAAATACTAAACTAAATAATCTCAGTTAATAAAATGTTCGTCTGTCATTTCATTCGCTCACTCTCTCTCTCTCTCTCTCTCTCGTATATTCATCATTCCCATTAGTCTATTTGAATTTTTAGAAATGGATAGATTTCTTCATTTTATAGGCAAGCCGCTTGAAATAACAATGCAACGAAATAGTGTGTGTGTATTTATATGTCTATGTCTGTGCACATTTTAACACGGTACATACACACATTTTTTTACATACAAAAAATAAGTGGGGATATTACACTCTAGAGGTGAACATACAAAAAATAAATAAGCATTAATGACAACTTGATATTCGTGAAAAATTAAGATGATAAGGACATATTTTTTGTTTTAAAGAAAAAAAAATCTCTTTGTGTTTGTTTGTTTGCCTAACACTTGCAGGCAGTATGTAAAAGGAGACAGTTTTTGTACAAAACACACTACTACACACTACTATTTAATTTACAAATAGACATACACATATATTTGATAAGAATTGACATATTATAATAATTTTTGATAACAGTTTAAAAATCAGCCTGTTTATTGTTTGTTTGTAGAACACTGAAGAAATTTGTCTAGTATAAATATAATCAAAGAGGCAGTTAAGCGTATGACGAATGATTGATTTGAATTGTCAAGTTCACTGAAATAATGTTGACCTATGTTAGGAGCCTGAAAACACAACCCCCTACTCACGGGACTCGAACTCTGGATCTTCGTTTTTGTACGCGAACACTTAACCTCCATAACATTGAGCCGGCATCCAATGATGTTAATGTCTAACTCTCATCAATCTAAAGATTTCATGCAGCCTCACTTATTGTCTTCGGTTGGTAACTGTCTTCACCCGAACAGGGTTGAACTCCACCGATCATAGCTTCTCACTAGAACTGCGAAAATTTGTTCATTCGTCAGTACATTTTATAATTTTTACTATAGAGTTACGGAGATTATTAAGTTTTATTAAAATCATGAATGATAAGTCTCATACTAGGGTGCAAACGGGCGTTCTGTGCTTTCATGTTTGTAATGATGGTCTAACATTGATCGATTCAAGATTTCAGTCGATCATTGCTAGACCACCATATATATTCCAAGTTATGCCTACTACTTACTTCTATATACTCTATGACTACATCAATTTCAATGATTATCCTTTTGAGAAAAAGATACAGACAAGTGATCAAGAAGATTTGTAATTTAAGGGAACAGATTTAACTGGAAGAAAATGTGTTTGTAGTGAAGGAGAACACAGGTGAGGGCAACCGAATTGTATATTCCTCAAAATTACAGAGTTAATTGGTAAAATAGGAAACACCATATCGTAAATCGTTAATTTGCAAAATATCAATCCATCATATCGAACTGGACTGTTCCTGTTGCAAAACATCAATCCATTGTCTGACATTTCACCACTGTTCATGCGTTTCATACAAATCCCATTGTGTTCCCGCTCTTCGTTTCTTGATCTTCCCACATCATCTGCTGCCAGATATTACGTTTTTACTCGCGTCATATACTACTTATAAGTAGCGCGCACCACATGTTGATAAATAAATTAATTGAGAAACTATTGAGCCTAGACAATAGAAATTCAACAAAATCACAGGCATACTATTATTATCATTGTAAACCGTCAATCAGATTTAAATACACTTTATCTCCAGTAGTGTTGATTTTGACACAAAATAAATAACATCAATTTATATCTACCATCTTTAAATGTATCTTACATTTCTAACTGATTTCTTTCTAGATCCTGAGATGATTCCAAATATGGGTGAATTACAATCGGCATTGATTGATCGAGATCCACAATGTCAACGATTTCTAGTATATTTAATGATTGGATTACTTAAACTTGCTGTTGAAGACCCAGGATTGCCCAATTCACGACTAGTAAGTTTGCTCTAGAAAAATCTATTTTTGAAACCAACACATTCCAAGTTATTTAACTTACTTAGTAACGAAATCTGTATGAATAGACCGTCTGGAATTAGTAGCCTAGTGGATAACCCGTTGGGTCGCTGAAGTGTAAAGTACTGGATTAAAGTTTCAATGTAAAGCATCACTTTGGAGATGTCGGTACATCCAACAGATAGATTCTAAATAGGATGAAACGAATGTCCTGTATTTTACTGCTAGATATATACTAAATAAATAGTCATTATGTTGAAAGCACACTGTTTTTGTTCCATCCTCCTAGTCCATGTCGCCTGGTAAAGTCTTCGAATCCGGTGTTGTTCATCCCCAACCCTGGTGTTTAGATCTCCCACCAGAATGGTCAAATCGTTTGTTGGACATTTCTTGACGATTGACTACAGCCTCTCATTGTTTTCGCTGGTGCGAACATCGCACTGAATGTCTTTCATTGTGATTCCCTCTTTTATTGTTGTTGTCAAGGAAGATTTGATGATCTGATAATGGGTTCATGAAATTTTCACCTGAAAAGTACTTCGCATGCTACTCGTCGAGTGTTTGAGGCATTTTATTCAATCTAACTAGAGTATAACACCTATCCTGAAGCTAATCTTTTTTTGGGGGGCAGAGTTTTGGAGGTTTTTTTTGCGTTTTTACACATTAGAAATCATCAATCAATTATTGTTAGACCACCATTGGAAACCTGGAAGCACTGGACGGCCGTTTCGTCCTGGTATGGGACTCATCAGCAGTGCGCATCCACGACTCCTGCTCCCCGTAGGATTCGAACCCGGGACCTTCGGCATTGTAGGCGAACGCCTTACCATCGGACCACTGGGCCGACATCCAAAGGTGTTAATGTCTAACTCTGATTGATCTAGGGATTTTGCGCGACCTCACCCATTTGTGTTTGGTAGTTACTGCCTACACCCGACAGGGTTGAACTCCATTGGTCACGTCTTCTCAATCTTTTTTGTCCAAACTCCGTCCAATGGATTTGAATTTTTCCATATAGGCACCACTAGGTTGTATTTTCTCATTTCAGCAGTAACTCGAATAGTTTTCTAGCCTCCCACATAGTGCAAACATTCCATTTATCTATATTAATTGTTGGTGTAGTTGTGAGAATTTGCATCGACATTATGATTATCAATGAAACTCTGCTTTCATCATGAAGTGTGATAATCCTTCTAAATGAATACCTTTCAGCTGTCAGGCCAGAATTTAAATGATGGCCTTTTTATAGCGAGTTGATTTTCAACGGTATAAGGTCGCCAACTCCCTCCTTCATTAATCGAGCATGGGACCGGCAGTAACCCTGAAAGTGTTCCAAGCTCAATTAGTCATCATCTAATACAATTTCATATCAGTGCTTACATAATTGATTTGACTGAATGCCTTGATCTAATGAAAAACAAATGCCTATATATGTTTGTCATAATATATGAAAGTTGAGATCTTGCAGCACTGTCAGTAGATTACTGATCTCGTCACCTGAAATCCGATTTCATGATGAATCTTTTCATCATTACTCTGTTGATGAAATAGGGACCTTGAAGTCATGCTCACAGAAAAAAAAGTATAGACAATTTGTGAGTGGTATTCACCATTGATTGGCCTCATTTGAGTAGTACTAAGAACCGAGAAGGATAACTATCTTATTTTGTTATGTGACTGATAAGTGTTACTCCTCCAGGATCCCACTACAGTTTTACAAATAGAAATTGTGAACCAGTCATTGTTAGGACACCGTTAAAAACCTGGAAACATTGGATGACCATCAAGTCCTAGTATGGGACTCACATCAGCAATGCACATCTACGACTCCCACTCACGGGAATCAAACCCAGAATCTTCCGTCTTGCGTGCGAACACTTCAGCTCTAGACCACTGAGCCAACATCCAACGGTGTTAATGTCTAACTGTGATCAATCCAATTTAATGCCCATTCATACTATAAATGTTAATGAAAATTATAAAAAATGTACTCACTAGTGACTAACTTCGTGAATAAATTCTCCGAGTTCTAGCGAGAAGCTGTGATCGATGTAGTTCAACCCTGTTCTGGTGAAGACAGTTACCAACCGAAGACAATGAATGAAGCTGCACGAAATCCTTAGATTGACGAGAGTTAGACATTGTGGTGGATAAATTTACTGCGTGTTCTGAAGATCGGTAATTAGCTCGTCATGACAATCGTTACAAACTAGCTTCTGACGGTTTAAAAATCAGAAGGTGAACTCTTAGTGAGGAATACGTTTATTTGGGACACACCACAAAGCGAATCGGAGAAACAGCGAATAAAACGAAAGAAGCGACGTGAATTGGAAAAGGCTAGTGAGCCAACTCCCAGGATTACAATGCGAACGTATGGGCGAAGGGAGAGAATGAACGGGCGAACCGCGTTGGAGAAGGCTAATGAGCCAACTCAAAGAAATAGACTATGACTAAGAATATATAGTCAGACCATAATAAGACAGACATGTGACCAACGACATAGGCATGCACACACATGAATAAAAGTGACGAATAGTTGACAAGGTCAAAAGACAAGTGGGACACGTCATGTGAGCTCATCATACAAACCAGACAATAATAAGAACGAATGGTACCAATAAATTGTTGCAATACAAATGGCTTGGTTAAATAAATTAATCGGAAGGGCTTAACCAAATTGAATGTAAGCGAACTCGAACACCGTTGTGTATCGGCTAAGTGATCTAGACAGTAAGCGTTCGCGCGTAAGATGGAAGATCCTGGGTTCGATTCCTGTGAGTAGGAGTGGTGGATGCGCACTGCTTATGTGACTCCCATACTAGGACTTGATGGTCATCCAATGTTTCCAGGTTTTTAATAGTTCTCTAACAATGATTGGTTTACGATATCAATGTAAAACAATTATCTCCATAACTCTATGAGCATTTCATTTCCATTTCATACTTATTTTTTAATTTTTACAAACAGGTTACTCAATTACTTGGTCAAAGATTAAATGAAATAGAATTCAATGAACAAACACTAAGTGTTCTGCTTCGTGCATTTATTATCAGTCGAAATGGTTATGAAGATGACATGTCCGATTGGCTTCATCCACCAATGCAATTTGTTCATCTTACTGGTGAACAACAAGCCGCTTTGTTAGCTTTTATCTGTGATGAATTAATTTGTTCAAGTCGTCTTATATCAACTGAAATTGATCGTACAATTGAACGACAATCTTTGTTGAAACGTGAAAAATGGATTATTGATTCGAAAATACGAAGGTAATGTATGCGATATCATAATATATGAATGCTAATTTTTTAATTAAAACTGATTCCGTGATAACAGTCAGTGAATTCTTACATAATTATTTGAATGATGGATATTTAATGGTTCTACAGTTGAAAAATATCTGTAACTCCAAACAACTTTCAACCAAAAACCAAAATCACGATTTTCAATACAAATATCAAGACAGTTCTACTGTATGTGTGGCGGAAACTTGGAGAACTGCCAAAGCCATCATCCACAAGATACAAGTGTTTATTAACAGTCGTCTGCGCAAAGTACTTCGGATTCGTTGGCCAGACACCATCAAAAACAACGTACTGTGGGAGAGGACAAACCTGATTGCAGTGGAGGAGGAAATCAGGAATAAGCGGTGGAAGTAGATAGGACACACACTACGAAAAGCAGCGAACTGCGTCACAAGACAAACCCTCACATGGAACCCTCAAGGTAAAAGGAAAAGAGGAAGGCCACAGAACACATTACTGTGAGAAATAGAGAAAGATATGACAGGAATGAACAAGAATTGGATAGAACTGGAAATGGTAGCTCAGGGTAGAGTTGGTTGTAGAAAACTGGTGGGCGGCCTATGCTCCATTGGGGTTAACAGGCGTAAGTAAGTAAGTAAGTATATTTAATGGTCGAAAACACAGTCGGACAAGAAATTACATTTGAAAGTAAACAGATATTAGATTGGTTTAAAGCAAACTAGAGATCAGAGAGTAAGTAAGCAATGACAAATAATTTACCCTAGAAAAGTTATATGATATCACCTCAGAATTTTTACACAGAGAGATGATTAGCATATTTTATTCTTCTTGATCTGCAACATAAAAATATTGACTTTCTTTCAAGAAGTTATTTATGCATTGATTGTGCTCTGTATACACTAATCCTCGTACATGATGCTTTTCAAGAATGAAGGTTAATTATTTTTCTAGAGTTTCGTTAAGTTAACAAAGCTAATCTTTCTTTACCTAAGAATATTGTTTGCATACATACCACCCCGTAGTGAATGTGTTTAGAGCAGTCCCTGGTAATTTTCTTAACTGTCTACTTATAAGTAGTAAATTCTTCAAGCTTTTTAGATGTACGAGGTTGATAATCACTTAAAAATGTAAAAAATCTTGATAAAGAAGAAGAGTTTCATGTTATTTCTGAATAATAAAACTATAATGAAAGTCTTAGTAGGTAGAATGATGTAAGACTTAATAATCTTTCCGAATATTTAAAAACAATTATCATATGCTTTAGTTTAAGTAGCGCGACTTTTGATTTTCTACCGGAAACAGTTTCATGAAAATTAGTTTTAACTTGTAGGTTGTATATTATTCATCATAGATTAATCGCATTTAAGACAATGGTGAAAATCAAGGAACATTGTATAGCATGTAGGATTCAAACTAAGGTTTGCACTGAGGAATAACTGTCTAGGTTGTTTAGATACGCGTATTGACCAGTTGAAATCAAAACAAGTGACTTGGGTAAGTGAAGGTTTTAACATTCATCATAAATATAAATATACATCATTACCTAAACAAATATTACCACTCAGTTATTCCACCAACAATTGTTCAATTAATCAAATCAACAGCAACAAATAAATGATATTCTATCCCTCCTGGATAGATCAGATTCCTTCAAAAGATAATATTTGGTTGCTTTATAACACAGAGTGTTTCCTATTCTGGAAGAGTGCTTCAATTCACAATCAAAATGCACAATTCCAGTCAAAGCAAGCAATCCAATCAAAAGAGGAACAAATCAATATGGCTGTCGCCATGACTAAGTATCAGCTTAAACAACATCAATGCAGTTCAGAAAGAAACATAGAAACTCAGTGAAGGTAAAAGAAATAGAAACTATAATAAAATACAAATGTTATCATCCCAAATGGGACCAAACAAACTAACAAAATGTACAACTGAATGAAATCAATTAGGACAAATTACAAATGTATACATGGAGGGATTTTCACAAACAAAGCCTTCAAAAAAAAATGGATCTTACATAGCAGATGTCTTATGATCAGTGATCTTGGATAGTCGTTGTGCTATATCGTGAGTTGATATAAGTTGAAATCGTTCTAATTATTAACTGGTTTAAGGTTTGATCTCTGATGAGATCAGAAATGCCCTCTTCAGAAGATCCCTATGCTTGCGAGAAACACTTATCTAATACTTCTTGAATTTCCATAGTAGATTGATGAGGAAGGACCAATGTGTTGTAATCTGTCATGTAACATTTAATCTCTTCTCTCTTTTTTTTTAGACTTCGTTTATTAATTGCTCAAAAATTAACAATCACAGGGAATTTTATCAATCATCATACATCAATTGAATATGAAAAGAAATCAATTGACACAGAATCAACTTCTTATCAACGGAATACATCATCAATAAAAGTTACATCAACACCTATAATTAACAATTCATTATCTGATGATAATGATGATGATAAAGATAATAATTGTAAAATAAGTGAACTTGAAATTCAAATTGAATCATTAATTCGAATTATAGAACAAAAACAAAAAGAACTTGATCAATGTTCATCAAAATTATCTGGATTATTTCTTGGACAAGATAGATATTATAATAATTATTATGTTTTAAAATATATGGGTGGTATTTACATTGAATCGGACTCTGACGAGACTACTATTCCAACAACAACTGAATGCAATCATGACTCTGTAACAGTTGAAGATAATGACATTGACAATAATTTGTCTAAACTTCCTGATTCTCATATTGATTACATTGTAAATGAGATAAGAATACGTCGTGAACTTGCTCAACAACGTCAACTTAAATTACCTATCTCTACAGCTAATGTTTATCCATGTCTAAATAGTCATGATCATTTGAATAGTGAAAAACTATCGTTAGATACTGAAACACACGGTACTGCTTTGAATCAAACAAAACAATATGATATAAATTCTGAAATTATATCAAACAATATACAATTGAAGAACTTTGATGATTTAAACAACAAGGATATAGCAGAAAATATGATTGATGATGTTTGCTCACAATCTCCGAATGATGTTCATTCTGATAATGAGAAAATGGTAGAAAATTCTAATGACTCATGTTCTAGCAAAGATCCTTCTGCAGTTGTCAAATGTGAATCTCCAACACATATATGTAACAATGAGTTAAATGAATTATCAACCGAGAAACACCCAGAAATTACTCTTCCTAAATGTCCTACAGAGCTTAATTCAACAAAAGATGATCATGTGAATTATCAGTCACCAATAATTTGTTCAGATGAGACAAGTCAACCATTAAACTCAAACGATGATCACAATTTACACAAAGAGAACAGTACAGAATCAAAAAATTATTCCGAATTCAAAGTTGACATTTGTAGTGAAGGTATTTACGACTCATCTATAAACATTGTACATCCAGAAAACGTAAATGATGTCCACTGCAAAATATCACCACCTTCTGTAATGAATGAGACTATGAATAATATAGATGTCCACGAGAATGAACAGAGTATGGAAAAAGATTGTCATAATAAACATGTAAGTGATATTTCTTCATACAAACAAGAAACTTTCGCAGATAACACTAAAGTTTACACTGTAGGACAACCATTAGATCTATCAACGAAACCTTTACTATCAAATCAATGTTTCAATAAACATTTATGCCATGAAATCATTTCTAATCATTCTAATTCAGAAATAATTAATGATTTGGATGATTTAACATTGACTAAAAGTGTTCTATTATTTATGAATCATGCTGGAATCACACCACAAACACCATCATCATCAACACCGTCATCAGTTGATAATAAACTTTATTCTGATTCATTGATTTCCATAATGAATTATTGTAAATATTTACTTCATTCAGCTATTACAGATGAATTGACGCATTCGAAAAATGTTACAAACTCTGATTGTAGCATAGGCATGAAATTACCATTGAAAGAATCATTAATCAAATTAAAAAATATAATTCCAATAGAAGTGAAAACAGAATTTCTTAATGATATCAAAATGACTAGTGAACAAAATAATTGTCACTCTTCTACAAATCATAGTCATCAACAATTTGATACAGATTTATTAGATTGTGTTAATAATGAATTAGAAAATAGGCGAATTCAAACTGTTAAAGAGAATTTGTCATGTTTTAAATCACATAATGAATATAGACAATCCAGTTGGTTTCAACTTGTCGATATGAATAAATTGAAAGATTTATTAAATGCTTTAACTTTACGTGGAGTTCGAGAGAAACAATTGGCTAAATCTATTCGACGTTCAAAAGATTTGATAGAATTATCGATGCATATGGCTTTGAAGAGAAGTGAGTTTAAGTCAATGTGTATTTTGTCATGGCTTTTTTTATCATTTGTACACATTTTTTGAAATCATCAATCAATCATTGTTAGATCACACCATTAGAAACCTGGAAGCACTGAAAGACGGCCGTTTCGTCCTGGTATGGGACTCATCAGTGGTAGTGCGCATCCACGACTCCTGCTCCTCGTAGGATTCGAACCCGAGACCTTCGGTCTTGTGAGCGAACGCCTAACCATTGGACTACTGGGTCGGAATCCAATGGTGTTAATGTCTAACTCTGATTAAGGGATTATGCACGACCTCAGCCATTTGTGTTTGGTAGTTACTGCCTACACCCGACAGGGCTGAACTCCATCGGTTACGTCTTCTCAACTTGTACTCCGAGAATTTCCTCACGAAGCTAGTCACTAGTGAGCACTGTTACGATATTTTGGGGCAGAGTTTTGGAGGTTTGTGTTTTTACACATTTGAAATCATCAATCAATCATTGTTAGACCACACCATTAGAAACCTGCAAGCACTGAAGGACGGCCGTTTTGTCCTGGTATGGAACTCATCAGTGGCATTGCGCATCCACAACTCCTTCATCTCGCAGGATTCCGACCCGGGGCCTTCGGTAATATTCGCGAACGTCTAACCTCTGGACCACTGCGCGGGCATCAAACAGTGTTATCATGTATAACAAAATTTGATATTAAAGCAAAATAAAGCAGCATGTGTTGGATGATTTTATCTAATGATATATTAAAAGATTCATGCTTGAATCAACCGGTTCATAGTTTTCAAAATCTGGTTTGATGTACCATTTTGTGAAGACGCACAACAGATGCTTTCATATATACGCACTGATTTAGTACTGAAATTTTACCTACCGGTGTGCATTCTCACAGTAAATCATTTTTCGTTAAGCAGAAAGTGTTTCCAAGTCGTCGTATCAATCAGCGATTATCTAGTGCTCCCGGGTTCCTAACGTTAGTCTAACATTGATCCGATTCACGATTTCATAAAGTAACTCAGCAATCTCCACAACCCTTTCATGCTGGGTTGACTGTTATAATCTTTCATGAATAATTTTGTAAAGTTTTAGGAACGCTATGATGTCTCTGCATTGTTAACGTTCTTCACTAGGTATGCTTTCAACTATGACGGGTCCACCTTAGTCGATAAACGCGAACGAGACAATGAACCAGCGTCTGGGTAGGCTATCCTGATCTGCTGACTAATGAAAAGTCTTGATGTAGCACCCAGAAAATACAATGATCTCAAGCACACAATTCTCGTTTATTTATACATCATAGAAACGTCTTTGGGAGAGGAAAAAAAATGGTGTTCTAAAATAACACATCAACCAATCACAGCCAAGGATTTTTTGAGTAGGAAATGTAATCTCAAGGTCAACTGATCAACTCATGCTCACAAACGTGAAATCCAAAATAAGGCATTTATCAAGTTGATTGTTGCAGTTGCAGCGTAGAACTACGTACGTATGTACATAAGTTCATGTTGCCATACCACCACATTAGCACAGAGACGCAGATGTCAAATCAAATCCCATAGTAATTAAGATAGAGGTATTAATGGTAATGAAGAATACTACGGTTCGGAGATATTATTCAAGAAGTATAATTCAGTGAGATAAGTTTAGAAAGACAAAGGTAGAGGTGCTGACGAATCCAGAAGATTAGGATTTGAGAGAGCACAACGAATGGATGCACTTGCACCATTGCGAACGATTCTGAGCCACATCGTTCAAGGTCTCCAACCATTGGTGACTTTCGTCTCGCGGACCCCAACCAGGTATCGAGCAGATTGTGGGGATCTAACGTCCCCAACATTTAGTAATCTGAATATTGTGTATATGTCTACACTGAAAATCAGTTTGTAATGTAAATTAGCTCACAATCTACTGGGTTGACTGTAAAGTTTTAGGAACGCTATGATGTCTCTGCATTCTGTATATCCTTGTTACCGAACTATGAGTCTAACATCATCTATAAATATTCCCATCCATTTTTTATTCTGTAAAGAGATTGATAAATGCTTTTTGTATGTTATCGTTTATAAGTATGTTTATTGCTTATAGGGAGATTTTATAAATTTTGTTAAAACTCTAAAGTCTGAAATGAATTCATCTTTTTTCTGTAGAGATGCTTATGCATAGATGAAATGGTTTAGTTATGGGTTTTTTGAATAGTCAGTCAGTCAGATGCAACGTAGAACTTCGTACGTAAGTACATCAGTTCATGTCGCCATACCACATCAGCACAGAGATGTAATTGTCAATTTAAATCCAATAGTAGAAGAGGTAGTAAAGGTATTAGAAGTAATCGGAGAGGTTAGGATTAGAAGATATTATTCAAGAAGTATGATTTAATGAGAAAAGTTTAGAAAGTCAAAACTAGAGGGGTTGAAGAATCCAGAAGATTAGGATTTGAGAGAACACAAAGAATAAATGCACCGGCGCCATTGCGAACGATTTTGAGCCATGTCATTCAAGGTTTCTAACCATCGATTATTATCATCTCGCGGACCCCAACCAGGTAGTCGACAATTACTGACATGGCTAAGTTTTTTGAATAGCTTTTTAATAGCTGCTCATATTATTGTTTTGTGCAAGAGTTGTGTAGATAATTATTAAAAAGTTGAATTATTTTCTTTAGATTCCGACTTCGAAGTTAAATCTTTACCATCTGCAAAATTGAACTCACGACTTATGCAAACTCGTACTCATCATCGGCGAGGCAGAGGTGGTGGCAGAGGTCATGAGACAACAAAAATTGGCTTTGGACATTATAACACTACAGCTTGCGGTGTGAATTCTTTACGTGCAAAATCTTCAAGTACTTTCATTTCATCTTTGTCATGGGAAGGAATCAATTTTAATGAAAGTAAAGAGATAGAACGTGCCCACTTATCAACCAATGATATTTTTCCTTCTGAAATTCTATGTTCAAGTGATGATGGTTCCAGTGATACTAATAATTCACGAACAGTCGACATGACTTCTGGTTATCATAGTTTTCCAGTTACATCACCAGTGGATTCATTTGAAATTATCAGTTCTAAGTATAAAGTTTTTGATGATAAAAGTTTGAAGGGTGAGGATGCTTCAATAGAATATGAGACATTTATGAGTGAATGTCAACTTCTGCATGATGTGGAAGCTCTTGAGGATAAAGTAATCTATGCCAGTTTGCAAACTAAAGAATGGAAGGTATAAACATGATGTTTTGAATTTAACCTTTCTTTATAATAATGCACTGTAACTCATTTATGTAGTTCAGTTTTGAACGATTAACAACATACTGATGGTTGTCAACAAAACATTTTTACTTTTACATTTAATTGGTGAACATAACGATCCAACAAATTCAGGGAATTTTCAGTTTATTAACCTTTTTTCATATTTCGATAAACTTTGATACTCAAATCGAATGAATGATACGTTGAATAAGATGTTCATAAACTTTTGCTTACTTGCGCCTGTTACCACCCACAGAGCACTGGCCACTGACTAGCAGTACTCCTTTCAAATGGCTTCCAAATGCTATTTAGTCTGTTGATATCTGTCTCCAACTTCCAACGCAATGTATTTTCTGGTCTTTCTTGTTTCCGTTTCCCTTCCAGATTTCAAGTTAGAGCTTGCCTTGTGACTCAGTTCGATGATTTACACAGCGTGCCCTATCAGAATTTAGCATCTTTTCCTGATTTCTACTTCGGCTGGAATCTGGTTTGTATTCTGTCACAGTTGGTTGCTGCTGATGGTATCAACGAACATATCCGGAGTATCTTGTATAGTATAGACAACTGTTTATAGATACTTGAATCTTTTGGATGATGGCTTTGGTAGTTCTCCAAGTCGCAGCCTTAGAGAACTGCCTTAATGTTCGTATTGAAGATTGCAACTTAGGGGTTATATGATAGTTGTTTTGAGTTCCATATGTTCTTCAATTGTGGGAATGTCGCCCATGATTAGTCAGCTCATGCTTTGAAATAGGAGTCAAATCTTCCTGGTTTATCGTTATCCTAATTACTAGTGGTTACTTAAGAACTAAATGTAATCAGAAATGACTACACTGATAAAAATAAAACTTTTATGCAAAATTTTACCCAACTACACTAAAAATATCCAAAAATCTAATTAATGTTAGGTAATATTGCAGACTGACAGTAGCTAAACAACCGCTAAAAACTGAGAAGTACTAGACAGTTATTCATTGAAGCTCAAGTGCAACTTCAGTAGGCTTGGAAGCCATGACCTTGAGGAGTTGTGGCGTATGCCTTTATTTACAGACTATTGAGGTAAATTCATGATATAAATCATTATGTTTAACGATTTCTGCAAACACTGTCTGCTACTAGTCTCTTGCGATTGATTGTGTGTTCAGTGGTCCTCAGATTTCTTAATGGGAAGCAATGGTTGGTAGGATTTTTAACTAATCCTCGTGTGAAAAGATTGTTTTAAAACAACTATACACCAATAGTTATAGTTATGAATAAATAATTCACAACTTATCAATTAAACATTAATAACCGCATGAATATGCAGACTCCATAAGATAAATAATGGATGCAGATTCGCATATATTAAATTCTAGTAATTAGAATATATATTCACTCATAATTTGAATGCACTCAAGGTCACAAAGAATATTGTGTTTTTGAATTGTATTCAGGTGTATAATAATACATAGATGAGCATGAATATGCATGCTGTATCGATGCTTAACCAAGTTATATGTGCATAGGTTTAACGGATAACGGATCGATATCAAGACGACACTCTATTGCAGTTGAAAATAAAAAAAATAAATTATCTGAATATCGATTCAATGAGCTGAAGATTAAGTGCGCTCACTGACTGGCCTGAAATTTCCCGGTTTTACTTTAGTCAGTCAGTTGCAACGTAGAACTACGTACGTATGTACATAAGTTCATGTTGCCATACCACATTAGCACAGAGACGCAAATGTCAAATCAAATCCCATAGTGATAAAGATAGAAGAGGTATTAATAGTAATGAAGAAGACTAGGGTTCGAAGATATTATTCAAGAAATATAATTCAGTGAGATAAGGTTAGAAAGACAAAGGTATACGTGTTGACGAATCCAGAAGTTTAGGATTTGAGAGAGCACAACGAATGGATGCACTTGCGCCATTGCAAACGATTTTGAGCCATGTCGTTCAATGTCTGTAACTATTGGTGACTTTCGTCTCGCGAACCCCAATCAGGTAGTCTACATCTACCAACATGACTCAGTTCACTTGTCAGTGACTTCATGGATTTCTGCCATGTTTTGGTCTGGCCGCCCCTAGCTTTCTTCCAACCTACTCCCGGTTTTGCTTTAGGATCTATGCTAATGATAAACCTGATATTGTGAACTAATTATTGTCACTTGATGATACTTATTAGATTTCATAGTCTATAAGTATCATGTACCTTGTGTACCTCTCTCTAATTTATCAATTTATCAAAATTTAAAACAATGTATTTAAACTGCACATAGATGTTTGCAATAATAAACTATCTGGGATTAATTTTCGCTTTTTCAACACATCAGATTTTGTTAATAATAAGTGAGAGTGCTTATAAAATCATACAAAGTTAACACTTACAACTTGTTCATCACGTAATATATGTGCTTGATAGTGTGCTAAATAGCTTTTCTACTTGTATGTGTACTCATTGACTTTAATAACTCTGATATCTCATTCTGCCGGATGTGATGTACAAGGAGAAACGTTTAAATGTAGTGGTTGGTGTGTGTATCTGACAGAATACCATTTGTTAGATTTCAGATATCCGTTCATAATCATATTATACTGACATTGAAAGATTCACCACACGCATAACTAATTATCTTCAACAATTTTCGCGAGATAGAAAAAATATTTCCTCAACGTCCGAGGGAAAGAATAATGAAGGACAGTAGTTTAGCATAAACACTAATTTTCGAAATCATGAATCGATAAATGTGATATGCTCGTCAATTGATATGCTTGAAACTATGACAAGTTCACCTTACGCGGAAAATGAGGGTGAAGACAAATGATGTAGTGACACGATAGGCTATTCTAATCCGTTTCCCCCGACTAATTGAAGCAAGAAGTCTTGAAAAGGCGTAGAAAGTGTATTCTACAAGCACCCAGGAAATATCTGGTTAACAAGATCACAAATCGAGCTTATTTATACATGATAGAAACGCCCTTAGGAGAGCCACAAAAATAGCGTACATCAACCAATAACAGTCAAGGATTTTCTAGGTGGGAAGTGTAATCTCAGGGTCAACTGAGCAGCTGTTGCGCGAAAACACAAAAAACCCGAAATTAGGACTTTTTCCAAGCGAAATCTGAGGATCTAACATCTCCAACAAAATGTTAGACCGCCGTTATCAACATGGAAGCATTTGAAGTCCGTTTCCTTCCGGGGTTCCGTCCCGACTTATCATAACTAATTCAAAAAATGGTAGCTATTGAAAAGTAATATGCAACTATTAAATATAATCATTCTATTAGTTACATAATATTCATCTAAACTAATTATGAGTATCATTCTAGTCACAGAGAAATGATCATTTAATCTTTATTTGACATTATAGATTTCAAATAAAACATCAGAAGATGAAACAATCTCTCTTATTCCTCGTACTGCAGCCAAAAAATCACGATTTGAATATTGGCCATTGGAATTAGCACGAAATCGTTTATTAGACATTGAACGTCATTTAGAACGACGTTATCTACTACCTCCATTTAATTCTGAAATTCATTTAAATATTGTTCCTGAACTAGAAACTACCACTGATATGTCATCTCTCCCGGAATCATGTGGTAATAATACAGAGTCTACAGACACGAAGTTAGAAACTGAAGGAAATGGCAATGATTTAAATTGTGATGATAAATATGAAGTTAACACTGAAGAGTCATCAATTCTACGAACTCGTCATGTTATCAATAAACCATTGAATTCAAACAATTCAATCGATAATAATAACGTTGATGCCAGTGATTTCTCACATGATACAAATCATCTAGATGATGATGAATTAACCGGTACATTATCGTGTGATAAAACAAATAACAACACAATTACTCAAGATTTAATAGATTGGCGCAATAATTTAAATCATGCCTCAGATGTTAACACAATACGTAGTTGTATGAATCAACTAGTCTTAGCAATTGCATGGGATAAATCAATAATGAAAGTAGTAAGCCCAAATATTTATATATATAAGAAGTTTATAAAATACTACTACTATGTGAAACATATTAGATTTATAAACATTAATGTATCATTATATTTGTAATTTGTTCATTTGCATTACGGGGTTGTGAAGATTGTTAAGTTACACATTTTCGAAACCATGAACCGATCAATGTTAGACCACCACCGTTTCGTTGGTCTATCGGTTAGGGCGTTCGCGCTCAATACCGAAGGTCCTGGGTTCGAATCCTGCGGGATGCAGGAGTCGTGGATGCGCACTGCTGAGGAGTCCCATACCAGGACGAAACGGCCGTCCAGTGCTTCCAGGTTTCTAATGGTGGTCTAACATTGATTGGTTCATGGTTTCAAAAATGTGTAATTTGTTAATTTGCCAGTGATGATAATTTTGTAATCAACAGCACAAATTGGTTGTGACTAGATAGCGATTGAAAAAGTAGGGAAGTACTAGGAAGAGATTGGTTTTTCCTACTACTTTGCGATCCTTAAACCGTGTGCATCCAATACCTTAAACCAGAGATGATTTCAAATTTTGTTGTGAATGACTGATTTTCATACCAGTGACTTGGAGTTGAATTAGTTTATTCAATTCGTGATATTCTGGGAGCATCATCTGTTACTTTTGATGGAAAACTGTTTCACTTACAACGCAACTGAACTCCATTGGTTATGGCTTTTCATTCCTGGAAATAGGTACTGAAATGAAAAATCTTGATAAACATTTCTATAGCATTTTGGGATTGATTTTCCATGACAAAAGTATACACAACAATCTTTTAAGTGGTTAAGCAATCATCAATGAGTTGATTTATTTTATAAAAACAGTCAGTTCTCTAAATCTCTCCAAATCCCTAGAGAGAATTAGACAATTGAGTTATAATAGACTATTTGAATCAAACTTATGAAACTTCAAAATAAAATTTGAGTAAAAACACTCTGCAACTTTATATGATAATTCCCAAGTTCAGGTAGTAAACGGATAAATTTCGGTGACAGAATATCGGTTGACCTATGGAATTCAACCTTGTTGGATGTAGACAGTTACCTACCAGAGACAATATTTGAGGTTTCGTAAAAATCCTTATGTTGATCAAAGTTAGATATGAAAACTGCTTGATGCCTTCTCGGTTGCGCGGAAATCCCTAGATTGATCAGAGTTAGCTATTAACACTGTTTGATGCCGGCTCAATGGTCCAGAGGTTAGACGTTTGCACACAAGATCCGAGAGTCCTGGGTTTGAATCTCGCGTGTAGTAGGAGTTGTGGATGCGCACTGCTGAATGAGTCCCATACCAGGACGAAACGGCCTTCCTGTGCTTCCAGTATTCCGCATGTTGGTCTAAAAATGATTAATTCATGATTTCAAGGTGAAACTACCTTATCGATTATACTCTAATGAATATGATAACTCAGTGACAGGAAAACTTTAAACTGTAGAAAAGTATTAATTTAATGTTCATTATGACATTATCTGTTAGAAGAAATTCCGTAACTGTCGTTCTTTTGAACGACAGTTAAGGGTGTTTTTCCCTGATTTAATCCTCCTTTATACGGGATAGGGATCGGCAGTATCTTCGGAGGGACTTCAAGCACAGTTAACATTGGTTAATTTTCCAATAGATATAAACTGTGATCAATTAATGAATTCTTTCTACTGTTAAGTTTCACATAAGTGAAGATTTCATTGCAGTTAGATAAATTTCTCTGATATAATTGTGATTTCTGTGATTGATCACTGAGCAAAGATCACAGCATATTATTACGGATGCACGTAAACACGTCATTGATGATATGCTTGAACCATTACGAGTGTACCTTGGTTGGAAAACGAGAGCGAAGATCGAGGATCCAGCGACGCAACATTCTACTCTAATCCGATTGTCTCAACCCCCCTATTGAGTAAAAGAAGAAGACTTGATATGAAATAGAACCTGTATTTTACAAGCATCCAGGCAGAATGAGGTCCGAGTCTAGAAGAGAATCAGGATCCCACAGACTAGGGATCCAGGTCCGGGTCATGAAAACGTTACAGATAATGCATATTTATACAGTTAGGTCGAATAAGAAACAACACATATCAAGCTAAAATTTCTACTTAGATGGTTAGTAGCAAAAATTAAGTCAACCAAGTGATTTCAAACATTTCACGTGTACAATTTGTAATCTGTTTACTAAATTTTGTTAAACTGAAACTAAATGAAATGTTTTATTTTATCAATTTTTTCTACTTATCAAGCTTTGTCAAATATGTAGACGTGATAATAATGAAGCTTGTCTGCTACTATGTGATGGATGTGATCGTGGTTATCATACTTATTGTTTTCGTCCACAATTATCTAATATACCAATAGGGGATTGGTTTTGTTATGATTGTTTATCGAAAGCAACTTCAAAACATTTGTGTTATATATGCGGTGGTCGATCAGAAATTGATGAATCTCAACCACCACAACAACAACACCAACCAATTGACAATAATCATTCATCCAGTTCAGAAATGAAACAACTAGCCATTTGTTATCATTGTTCACGAGCTGTACATACTAGTTGTGCACGACCAACATTTGTACGTATACCGAAACGTTGGTATTGTTCAAATTGTATATTTTTAAAATATATTAAAACAAAAGATGAACATTCTAGTGGTCAATTTTCACAGAAGAAATCACGTAGAAAACGAAAAATTCATGAAGATGCGAATGTTGACATTGACAATTCAATGGTATGTACAAAATTAATCAATAATTATGAATAATTGATTTGTTCTTATTTGAAAAGCACAATTGTCAAACAAATCATTTTCAGGATTATTTTAAATTCTTTTTAAAACAAAAAACCATTTATGGTCATTGAATTCAAACTTTGATATCATTGACAAGTGAACTGAGTCATGTTGACAGATTTAGGTAGGCTACTTGATTGGGGTCTACGAGACGAAAATCACCAATGGTTGGAGACCTTGAACGATATGGCTCAAAATTGTTTTGCAATGGCGCAGGTGCATCCACCACCCGTCGTGTTCTCTCAAATTCTAATCTTCTGGATTTGTCAACACTTCTACCTTTGTCTTTCTAAACTTATTTCACTGAATTATACTTCTTGAATAATATCTTCAAACCCTAGTCTTCTTCATTAGCAGTAATTCTTTGACTATTTCTACCACTATGAGATTTGAATTGACAATTGCTTCTCTGTGCTAATGTGATATGGCAACAACCTGAACTGATGTAATGATGTACGATATTCTACGTTGTAAATGACTGACTGATTGACGGACTTTATTCAACTCTTTATAATGCTCTCTCTATTTGTTATGGTAATCAGATTAGGTCATTTTTAAACTATACTTTTGAATAATATCAAAAGTTTGCATGATAAACTGCTTTGTTACATAAAATTTGAAGAGGAAACTTTATCATCAAATCAATAGGTATTCATTGTGATTGGTAAAATTAGAAATGAGATTAAATTGTCTAGACTACTTGAATTTGGAACGGATGTGGGGCTAGAATTTGCATTAAAAAGTTTGCACAAATGATAAAAACAATTCAAGCTGATCGCAAGTGAATAAAGCTAAGATTTACTTAAACAGTTATCAACGTTATCAATGCTGCTTTACAATCAACTTGAGAAGAAATTTACAGCTGTTCACTCATTACTGTGATAAAAAGCTATTCTTCTTGTTCAAATTTTAATTGGTTGGCAAAAATGTGAATGTCAACCTACTGAAGTTCATATGGGAAAGCATTTATTCACAAAGGCAAACACTTTCAGAACAAATTTTTTCATACTGAGAAATATCATTTGTCAATAAGAGATAGACACTATTTGGTGCTACATGTTTTAGGCGTTGTTTTCAATTACTAGCTATTAGTTCTATCTAAAAACTTTGATCACCTATTTCAATATCAAACCTTACTTACTTACTCCTGTTACCCACAATGAAGAATAGGTCGCCCACCATTTTTCTCCAACCAACTCTGTCCTGGGCTTCCTTCTCCAGTTCTGTCCAATTCTTTTTCATTCTTCTCATGTCCTTCTTTATTTCTCGCCGTAATGTGTTCCTTGGCATTCCTCTTTTCCTTTTGCCTCGAGGGTTCCATGTGAGGGCTTGTCTTGTGACGCAGTTAGGTGCTTTTCGTAGTGTGTCCTATCCACTTCCACAGCTTCTTCCTGATTTCCTCATCCACTGGAATCTGGTTTGTTCTCTCCCACGGTACGTTGTTGCTGATGATGTCTGGCCAACGAATACGAAGTATTTTGCGTAGACAACTGTTAATAAACACTTGTATCTTGTGGATGATGGCTTTGGTATTTCTCCAAGTTTCCGCTCCATACAGTAGAACTGTCTTGACATTTGTATTGAAAATCGTGATTTTGGTTTTTGTTTGAAAGTTGTTTTGGAGTTCCAGATATTTTTCAACTGTACACATCAAACCTAATCATCCATAATAAACTGATTAGTTTGCTAAAATCTTCAAAAATGTTTTTCTAAGTTAATTTCTAAACTTTAAAAACCTCCAGACTATGTTAGCAAAGAGATTTTGCAAAGACATAATATCTACAAACAAACGTTGTTAGATTTTTCAAACTGATTTACTTTATTTAACATCATAGTTCACATATGACCTATTCACCTTGAGATGATTTCCAATCAACTCACATGTGTACATGTGTTCGTTCCTGTTCCTAAATGATCATTCAGAGTGTGGTGCTGTGGTGCGAGCTACTTATAAGTAGTGTATGACGTGAGCGTCAACGTAATGTCTAGCAGCAGAAGATGGGGGAAGATCAAGAAAGGAAGAGTTAGAAAACAATGGAATTTGTATGAAAAGCATGAATAGTGACAATGGATTGATGTTTTGCAACAGGAACAGTCAGTCCAGTTCGATATGATGGACTGATATTTTGCAAATGAACGATTTACGATATGGTTTTCCGATTTTACTGAGTAACTCTGTGATTTTCGTTAAATATAATCCGGTTGCCCACACCTGTGTTCTCGTTCACTACAAGAGTACTGTGCAAAAGATAATCTCGCTAAATAATACTAATCTAAAATACTGAACGAGTTATTTGAAATACTAATGTAAACTATATTTCTAAACTGTATGTACATATTAACTAAAACAGATTATTGAACCCAATTGTCCTCAATTACACTAGATACATTTTACATTATCTGTTGTACGCACACATATTTGATTATCCTGACTAAATAAAAACTAATTTCCCCAACAACAATCTCATTTTCTGCCAATTCGCGTATATTATTCACAAAATAAGCTTTGTGCGTTGTATATATTGTGAAAAATGAGCTTTTCAAATTCAAACAAAGTATAAACACTAAACACTAAATATAATAAATATATAAAGTTGTAACAGAGAGAGAGACTGAGAGAAAAAAAAATCAATTCATGTTAGGCAGACACAAATGATTTTGATAAAACCCTAAGCCTTATTTTGATAATTAACCTACAAAAGGCAATGGTCATATTTTTAGCTACAATTGTATGCGCGCAACTAAACGATTAGAAATTTATCAAGTTTTGTTTAAAATAATATCGTAATGAAACAGATATATAAAATAATTTTTAAACAATGGACAAAGTTTAGAAGAGATAGGCTGACAGACGACGAATAAACAGACAAATGATTATTCTAAATCTCTCTCTCTTTCTCTATCTATCTATCTATCGATATATCCTTATTCTATCTATCTACTAGTATCTTGTTTTGTGTTCAGTTACAATAAATATCAATATTTTATCTCTATCTTTCAAATATTATTATTATCAATGGTAATTTATTTTTGCCTTTCAAAAATTATTTGAAAAAAAAGTAGAAAAAAATAGAAGAAGCAAGAAGTAAGTTTGTATTATAATAAATTATTATTAAGAAGGACAGTAAAACATGGATAATCACACTGGTATGTTCAATTTTCAACACACAAAAAAAAAGAAAATGCGCGCTACACAATGAACGGTCGTTCACTGAGCTGGATATTGTCAACAGTAACTAATCAAGATTGAGGTTAACAGAACAAGCTATAGGTCAAAAACATGGAGAAATTCAAATGTTTCACTTCGGCTATTTGAAGTTTGTGCTGTTGATGATGATGTTGCTATTCAGCAGGAGAACATTGAAAACTTCACAATCAAAAACATTCAGCTCAGAGAACGAAACACCCACCACAATTATTCACCTGAGCTATAAATTTTCTCCACTGTCATAGATTTAGTTTTATTTGAAATGACATCAGAGTGAAGATGTCACAGAAGACATTATTGTAAAGCATAAAAATGCAGGTCTAATGATTGTTCTCTGTATATCGTTTAATATGAAGCATAGTGAACTAGAATTCGCAGTTTTTTTTAGACTGACGGCTACAGAGTAAGTTGTTTGATAGGATTCAAGTTAGGAGTAAGGATATAACAGGACCATATTTGTCACTCTATTTCAGATTCATCCATTATCTTTAATTGATGATGTCTCTTGATATAGTTAAGCTTAATAAAATAAAGAATTAGCTATCCTGTTTTGGTAACTCTCTTCAGTAGAAAGATACTAAATATCTTTGACCTAAAAGCGGCATTTGACTCTGTTGGTCGTGAGGTTCTGTGGCAGTGTCTGTCATTCAAAGGTGTACCAGAGAACTACATTAACCTCATACAAGCTCTCTACTCGAACACCACTGGTCGAGTGAGAGCTTATGGCGAACTGTCACCGGAATTCTTTACTTCAAGTGGTGTCCGTCAGGGATGTCCACTTTCTCCATTCTTGTTTAATTTTATCATACACATGCTCTTAGAAATAACCTTATCCTCGTCTGAATTTTCAGGAGTGGACCTTCTATCAGGTGGCTCGCTTAATGACTTAGAATATGCCGATGATATCGTACTACTTGTTGAAGACGCTGACAAAATGCAGTCTTCTGACTACCCTAAGCAACAATGCAAGCATGTTCGGGATGCGGTTATGCCCCTCGAAATGTAAAATGTTGCTTCAAGATTGGGTTTCATCGGCACCTGAACTAGCGATAGGGAGTGAAGTAGTCGAACGTGTAGACCGCTTCACTTATCTTGGGAGTCTCATCAGTGCCGATGGCCTGGTGACTGACGAAATCTCAGCACGGATACAGAAGGCTTGATTGGCTTATGCCAACCTGCGTCACTTATGGCGTAGGCGAGATATCCGTTTGCTGACTAAAGGACGAGTGTACTGCGCAGTAGTTCGCTCCGTCTTACTTTATGGCTGTGAAACATGGCCAGTGAGAGTAGAAGATATTCGTAGGTTACTGGTTTTCGATCATAGATGTTTAAGAAGCATTGCTCGTATATCGTGGGACACCCGAGTGAGCAACGCTGTTATTAGGAATCGGGTGCTAGGTAAGAATGGCAGATCAATAGATGAAGTAATGAAACTTCATCAGTTGATGTGGTTGGGACATGTGTTGCGTATGCCTAACCACCGACTGCCTCGAAGAGCTTTGTTTTGTGGTGTAGGAGTGGGTTGGAAGAAAGTTAGGGGCGGCCAAACCAAAACATGGCAGAAATCCATGAAGTCACTGACAAGTGGATTGTGTCATGTTGGTAATTGTCGACTACCTGGTTGGGGTCCGCGAGATGATAATAATCGATGGTTAGAGACCTTGAATGACATGGCTCATAATCGTTCGCAATGGCGCCGGTGCATTTATTCTTTGTGTTTTCTCAAATCCTAATCTTCTGCATTCTTCAACTTTGTAAGCTTTTCCCACTGAATCATATTTCTTGAATAATATCTTCTAATCCTAACCTCTCCGATTACTTCTAATACCTTTACTACCTCTTCTACTATTGGATTTGAATTGACAATTATATCTCTGTGTTGATGTGGTATGGCGACATGAACTGATGTACTTACGTACGAAGTCCTACGTTGCATCTGACTGACTACTAAATATCTTTGATATAGTACGTAACTTTTGACGGTATAATTGATCATTGTGTGAAAAAGACCTTTTTTTAAATGTATATATCCACATGTTGTTTTTACAGAAAATTCTACAAACTAAATGTTTAAATTAATTTTAGATGAAAAGGCGTAAAATCTGTTCCACTTTAAGATTAGATCATTCATGTTTGAATTTTTACGATAGTTCAAGCATGAGTCATTTTTCAAATCCAAGTAAAAAATATCAAGGTTGGTGGAGAAAAGTTCGTAAATATAGGAAAACTACCGAGAATAATGATAATGGAATTATTACAATTGCCAAATCCAAGACTAGAAAACATAGACCCAGAGTACATACTGATTCAGAAGATAAGAAACGAAAACCTAATCCCACTGAAGAATTAAATCATTATACATTACCTAGAAAACCTGGTCGAAAACCAAATTATCATTTAACTGCATTACCTACAAAACCGAAACGTCATTATCATCGTCGATCTATGTTACTTGTATCAAAAGATAAATCATCTGAATCTCAAAATAGTCCTCCTCGTGGTCGCCGTCGTTGTTGTCGCACTCTATGTCAAGAAATAACAAATAACAATGATGACAAATCTTCTACCATTGATTCCTCTGAATCTATACAACCTTTATGTCAAATTGACCAACCAATGAAATCCAATGAACTTGAATGGTGTCGGTAAGTTTTATGCTACAAGTTTTATCCTACAAGTATTGTTGTCAACTTTAAGCCTTTGAGATGATCATTATAAAATGTCTATTGTTAGTCAATAAGTCAAAGTCTAAAACGATGAAACTGTTAGGATACAGTAAGTAGACATCCAACTTTTATCTACTGATTGAAATTAAGTAGTGAGTGTACTAACAACACATTTTTTTAAACACTTTAAAAAGTATCACATAACATTAATCTACTTCATACAGAGATGCTAACTCAGTGTATACGTCTAAAAGTTTGAAATTGAATTTAGTTAAATGATCACTTTCTAACTTATCTAATAACTTGGCTAACTTTTTAAGTCATAGTGTAGTGAACGAGAACACAGGTGGGGCAATCGGATTGTATTTAACGAAAATTACAGAGTTACTCAGTAAAAACGGAAAACCATATCGTAAATTGTTCATTTGCAAAATATCAGTTCATCATATCGAACTGGACTGTTCCTGTTGCCAAACATCAATCCATTGTCATTACTATTCATGCGTTTCATACAAATTCCATTGTATTCTAACTCTTCCTTTCTTGATCTTCCCCCATCTTCTGCTGCCAGACATTACGTTGACACTCGCGTCATATACTACTTATAAGTAGCTCACACCACAATAGCTTTAAATCAAAGCTTTGATGTAATCCATACTTGAAACAAGTCACTTATAATTATCGGTCATTGTTGTATTTCTGAAAATTTCAGGGCATCAATATATATTCTACTAATAAATAGCAGCCAATTATCAGTTTGTAAAAAGTTGTAATTATTCTGTCTATGACTTTTTTTGTGTATTTATCTAGAAGAGCCACAGAAGATTTGCTAAATCATGAAGCATCTTGGGCATTTCGTAAACCAGTTAATTTGAAACAAATTCCTATTTATCGAAAAATAATTAAACATCCGATGGATTTATCAACAATATGGAGAAAAGTACAAAATCCTGCGTAAGTATAAGCATAATTTTCATTGAATCAACATTTGAAAAGAAATAGATCTTGTGTTAGTGTATTTTTACAGACAGACAGATAGACAAACAGACAGATACAATGCAGAACTTCGTGTGTAAGTACATCAGTTCAAGTTGTTGTCATATCACAACATTAGCACAGAGAGATGCAATTGTCAGTTCAAATCTAAGAATGATAGCGAAAGCTTTTTCATAAAACAAAAAGTTATGTAATTAACTATAAAAGTAGCGTTAAATGTTACTTGATGTTATACCTCAGTGTTTGCATGTATGATAGTGCTTCCAGATACTCAGGGCTGCTTATTCAGCGTATATATATATATATATATATATATATATATATATATATATATGAGTGTTTTATTACTATTTGATAATATTTAGTTGTGAATGATTTGAGAACTTAAACTGAAAGCAAATTAACTAGCACTACTTACAACAATGTCTCTCCTTTTGTTGAGTGTGAGTCTTCAAATAAACAACTGACTCATCATACTAAAGATTGATCTGTTAGATGAATGAGTTAAACAAGACACACTATGTTCAATGAGTATTGAATATTATTATCAGGAAATTAATTTTCGTTAGCATGGTTTATATTTAATCATTGTTTTGTTACATCTTATGGCCTAATATTTAACTAATTACTGAATTGTAATGTAATTTGTAATCGTTTCGATTATTGTGTTGTTGATATTTTGATCAGATTTGATTGACATATATGAGTCCTGAATGTACTGTCTTGCTATGACCATTATAGCACAAGTTGATAAAGAATAGATGGAACATGGTTAGTTCCAGGGTGAAATGCAAATACATCTAGCTGATAAGTTAGAAAAAGGATGAAATGTGCATCCTGAATTTCATTGCAAACTACATTCCATTTATTCTATATCGATTTGTGTCATAATGACCATAGCTATAGATAATCTCCACAGAATTCACATATATACTAATCATGAATAATCAAAACATTGACGAAATAATCCAAACCATTTTGAGCTTTGGAGATTTGTGTTTTTACACATTTGAAATCATCAATCAATCAGTCATTGTTAGACCACACCATTAGAAACCTGGAAGCACTGAAAAACGGCCGTTTCGTCCTAATATGGGACTCATCAGTGGCAGTGCGCATCCACGACTCCTGCACCTCGCAGGGTTCGAACCCAGGACCTTCGGTATTGTGCGCGTGTGTAAATATCATAAGCTTCTTTAATTATTAGAATTGGTTAAATATTGAATGTGATATGAATATCTAGGACTGTTAATCAAAACAATCCTAACTTTTGTAAATGTCATAAAATGACTAGTATGAGAGATACACTTGACTGAGTTTATAGGTCATTTAAAATTATTAATTTCATAAACGGAATAAATAGGCTTGATGTGAGATGTGGAGAAAAATAGTGAAAATTAAAACAAGTTAGCTTATTGTATTGAATAATATAAGTTTAGTGAATGGTAAGCGGTGAAACGAGATAAATGCTTTTTCTGTTTAAAATGTCAATGATAGTAATATTGATGAATAGCAATGAAATGAGATAAATTAAAAGTATGGGAATCTGGACAGGAAAGGCTTATTTTATAACCGCAATAAGCTAGTCAAAGTGTGAAAAAAGGGCTAAACACATTTCTTCAATGATCTTGAAGAAATATTTTGAAGTTAGTACTAAAAAAGTGAGATAAAAAGTTCAATAATCAGTAAGTTACATCAAACATCTTTAGTTTGTACGATTTACTCGTTAAAATTAATTTTCCAGTTAATAATCCTACCTTTTAACTTTTCTGCTAGTGTTAGTATCATTTGTAACCATGAATCGATCAATGTTAGACCACCATTAGAAACCTGGAAGCACTGAAAGACGGCCGTTTCGTCCAGTGCGCATCCACGACTCCTGCACCCCGCAGGGTTCGAACCCAGGACCTTCGGTATTGTGCGCGAACGCCCTAACCGTTAGACCACTGGGCCGGTATCTAATGCTGTTAATGTCTAACTTGATCAAATTCACGGAGTTGCGCAACCTCATACCCTGTATACATCCGAACAGGTTTGAACTTCACTGGTTGCGACTTATTATCACATATGTATTTTGCTAGAATTTTCAAAAATACTACTGAAAACTAGTTTCTTACTCTTTATTTTCAACCTTGATTGTAGAAATTTTTGTTTATGACTAGAATTATATCCAGAAATTCACTCTATCAATAACTATTCTTTTATTCATCGAAACTTTTGGGATTATCTATTCTGTATATTCACTTACACTTTTTAATTTTAGAGCATATGCCACTTTCAGTAATTGGGTTAATGATGTTCGTCTTATTTTTTCAAACTGTGAATTCTTTAATGAAGATGACTCAGAAGTTGGACGTGCTGGACATGTAATGCGAGCTTATTTTGAATCACATTGGTCTAAATTTGATGAGAATGTGAATTTAAATGATCATGAAGTAGATGATAAAAAGAAACAAATCACTACCGATATTATTCCAGAGAGATTTGTGCCAGTTTGTGAAAGTTCCACTGAAACGAAACATGTCAATACTGCATCTGTACAGAATAGTAGTGATATTGACAAATGAGCATAATCTGTATTGACAAAATGAGAAGTTTATAAAATAATTATGAAGACGATACTTTCGTTTATTCAAAAATATCATCAATTAGAGGAAAGGTCTGATTATTTATCATTCGAAAACTTCAATTTCCATCTGCCATCACCTGTTTAGGTCGTTATTACTGATATTTTCACCTAGAATTCAGTTATACATACTATTAATAATAATGTCCATATTACCCGTGAACGACATGATGGTATGCACCATTCAGTAACAGAAAACTGATGTTTGCTTACAATTTAAAGATGGTGATGGCGAAAGAAACTTCTTGTTTTCTCCTTTCTTCATATGACCCTGATTTTACTATAAAACAGGCCAGGGAACATTTCTCATCAACACTTCTTCGCATTACCTCTACTAATATGTCAATAAATTGAGAATTATTTACGTTCACCTACTCAGTATGTATTGTACATAAATTTTGTTTATATTTCGAAACAATAAAGTTTTTCAGACTAGATTTTTGTTCAAAGTACAGTATTCAATAGTCATTTGCACAAATTTGTCCAACCACTCAGTAAAAATAAACGTTACTGTAATTAGAAAAAGAGAATTTATCACTCGTATTACAGAGTATAACTTTGTATATGCATTTGGTTACTGCTAGTGTTACTTATGTAAAGATAGGCAAAATGAGCTTTAAGTGGCTAATTTCTTCCTTTTGAATACTTCTCATTAAGAAGAAAGCCCTTAATCTGCTGAAGTAGATTCTAGTTGATTTGAAGCAAAGGTAGGACGTTTAGGAGGTAGATTTTCTGCCGACTGGCATTTATTAGTAAGGTGTATCTCTAATACTGGGGTGACATGCGCTTTCTGTGGTGCTCGAGTCAGTTTCTTAACCAAACAGTCAACTCCCCAGTTCTAACCACTTAGGACCTATTATGGGATGTATCCTAGGTTAGTCCTCTCTCTAGATTGCTTTCAGTCACTTTGCATCAAAATTTAACATAAGTGATGTTGATTTATTTAAACAAGTGATCAGATTATAACTTGATCAAAAGGAACAGGTTAATTCGATGGACTAGAAAACTTAGTAGCTTGTACTACTTTCATGCAGACTTATATAAGTTGAAAATTACTCCATGATTACAAAACAATTCATTGGTTTTCCCTAGTGCCCTGATAAATATGTTGGTTCCTAATCAGTAACAAAAGGCTTGAATTACTGATTTTCACCTTTATGCTTAGTAAAAGTTTTACTGTTATATGGAAGTAAGAGAAATAGAAATCTAAGCGGATAATGTAGCAAAGTAAATTTTGTTCACATGTTCATTCATTTGGAAGTTGAGGATAACATTCAGTTGCAGTTAAAGCTATACCATCAGTTAAAAATTGGAGATCGATCGGTAAAAGCTGAGCAATGTTTAGTGGCTAATTAGGTGTTGAACTTTCATTGCTACCAAGTGAATCTGATTTCGAAAGTTTTGTTCCCGATTTCAGTGACAAGTTGCATTGGATACTTCTCTGCTCGTTCAAAAGTTTCTTGTTATAACGGTGATATTGTAAGTGTTTTTCATTCCGCGGTTTACTACAAGAATACGATAAACAGAATCGTCTGGGTGACCGAGTTTATATTACCACTGGTTCGAATACTCAAACAGTTCAAAAAACAGAGATTGGATAAAATATCCAATATCTTTTTCGCGAGGTAGTATAAACCAGATTATTCCTTTGCTCTCGATTCTCGTCCTTTCGGTACAGTTCCAGGTGTTTGATAGTGTCCAATGACCCTCACCTGTTCGTTCACCAGCCCTTCTATTACCTTCCATAGTACTGGTAGTAATAAGACTGATCTGTAACATGCTGGGTCCTTCCTATCTCCTTCTATGAAGATTGCAGAGAGAGTAGCTTGTTTCCATTCAGCTGGGAGTTAGTGTGACTACAGTGAACGCCTGAACAGGTCACATCAGTGAAAAGAGGGCTTCTGCACATTGTTTCAAGACCATGGGACGAATACTGTCACAGCTTGTGGGTAAGGATTCTGGTTTCCTCAGTACTTAGTCAGGAGTGATACGGATGTTCCCTGAGCCTTCAGCTGGCACTGTGTTTGCGTAGTACTCTGAACGTGTGGGTGCTTGGTTTAACTGATCAGTAAAGTTTTTGTTGAAGATCTCAGCCATCTCTAGGTTGGTGAGGTCTTCCCCTTTCGGTCCTTTGAGAGAACACAAACCCTGATTCGTAGGTTTTCTTATAGTCATGAACCTAAACAGATGATTATGGTTTGCATGTATTTGGACATCTATTTCAATCTGAAGGCGTTTTCTATCACTTCATGTCATTTTAGGGGTAAGATTCATGACTGATACGCTCGTCAGTTAATATGCTTGGACTATCACGAGTTCATCCAACTCGGTAATATGAGCGAAGACAAATAATGTAGTGACACGATGGGCTATTCTAATCCGTTTGATCCGACCCGTCTAACTACATCAAGAAGTCTTGACAAGTCTTAGAAGGTGTATTCTACAAGCACCCAGAAAACACGAGGTTGACAAACACACATATCGAGTTTATTTGTACTATATAGAAACGTCGTTGTGAGAGACACAAAAATAGCGTACTAAAATATTCCATCAACCAATGACCGTCAAGGATTTTCCGGGTGAGAAATTAAAGCAGTAGGTCAACTAAGCAACTTGTGCGCAAAAACATAAAAATTCAAAATTAGGAACTTTTTCTAAGTGAGTTCTGGGGATCTAACGTCCTCAACAATGACCAAGTATATGGCCGGAGTAAGCTAGAGGTAATATGTTATCCCATATAATTATTAGTAGTCACTATCAGTGAGTCTGGTGTGAAGAATCATAACGGGTAACGAAACTACATATTCAAATGTGTTACGGGAGAAATGAAGACATTTTGCTGATCAAAACCTTTATATATAAATATCATTAATTTCACTGTGTTTTTTGGGTATATTTGTTTTACTTAACTTATGAACTTGTTTGAATTATTATTTTCGGACATTGTGGACTCCTGTTTGTCTTGGTTGTTCGTTTGCAGTTTTTTGCTCCAAGAATCTATAAAATAGAAGGTAATTGTAATTATTATAATTATTGTTGTTAGAACGTCGTCTATTTGTAATAAACAAACACATTTTGGTCGATTATTTGTGAATTGGCAATAAACTTTGGTACCTACTTTGGAGTTTCGTTTTGACATAATATTTGGGATCGTGAATTGCAAATAGATCGACACACTGTGCTTCTAAGGATCAAGCAGCAAAAAATTGGACGTAGCAAACTGTCAGGAGGTTTGTTGCCTGTTTGTTCACGTTCGGTCACCGATTAGATTTGACTGTAACTACTGCACATCATTTTGTATTCCATTTCCATAGATAGGGTGAAGAAAATACTGACTAGGGTTCAGGACCTTAAATAGTTTCAAAAATTGCACATGAATTGCCACTACTACTTCCTGGGCTAGTCTGCGCTTTCGAAAGTAGTCACTAGCTGTTTCCCTTCTGAAAATTTATATCTGGCGTATTTCCTTCTGCAAATTATCTAACAGTCTACTTTTTTGTATACTGAGTAGCATACTCACTAATCGTGTTGCCACAATTTCTTACACTATAGAAACTAGGAGAACTATTGGTGGTCAAGATTTTGATCTTTGTAATGAATCGGATATCCTAGTTTCTGGTGACAAAATTGTATTAAACAGAAAAAAATTTATAACTTGGATCACTGGACCCAAACACCTCAACTGGTTCTCTAAGATACCAAGACGACAATTCCGTCTAGATTCCTAGTGTTTGGAAGATTAGTGGGCAATGAATAAATAGGAGAAAAAGGCATCCTAAGACCTGAATGATGCAGCTAACTGTTCAGAAACGGCCCAGTAGTGATAATTTTGTAGCCTGTTCTTTGGCTATTTTTGCACACAGTGTAGAACTATTAAGCCAACAATTAAGGCAAAAGAGATGCTAGAGGCATCATTGAAAAGAAACCTATCGATCTGCACTGGTATATCGAATTACATCAACCTAAAATCGACTAATTAAACTACCGTAGGAACCGGAAATCCAGTTTATACATCAAATGTATGAAGCCGCAGGTGAGCATTAGAAGCGAAAACATGGCTACAACATAGCCCTAAAATGCTGGTAAATCACGAATGATTTTGTTAGAAGTAATTCCATATTTTTGTTTTATGTTTCAAGGTTGGAGGTTAGTATAATGAAAAGTATGCACTTGTTTGATGAAACACAGTGGAAAAGTTGCTGCGTCAGTCTGTGCGATCTGTTTGAGGTCTACGATGTAGCGAATAGCAGAAACCCTTCATTAGGCATCCTAATAAAAGTCACAGATTACAGAAAACGTTCTACAGTCTCCATGTCTGAATGCTGTCAACTTCAGTAGACAGGGTAAAACTCACAAAGACTGGTTTGAAAAGCCGCTTGTCACCGCCATCATGAGCTCGGGACTGACCGAACACTGACACCGAGAAAAAGACGCAACATCGAATTTCGAAGTGATAGTAGGCTATTTCAAAACAGAGCCAAAATACATGCTAGAAAACTTACAAACCAAGGAGTTTTTGACCTCAGAGGTTCAAGTGGCGAAGATCTTTTCAACTAACCGATGTCTGAGATCTTTTCAGCTGACTTCGCTGACCTCACCGATTCACATAATATTCCTTGGCTTGGTGAACGCTTTCGACACGATGCCTGGTGTACTCATAAGCTGTGTAGGTTGCGAAGCTAAGTTCCGCTGATCAACCTCTACCTTGACTCCGAAACCACCTTGAGAATGAGAAGTTTCGTATCAAGGCAAGTGAAGTGCATGTGAGCTGGTGAGTCTAAACGTCTAGTGTTGCACATGGGATCATTTTAGGTTTACTCTTCTTCCTGAAATGCAATAACGACGGGTTAGATAAAATCAGCTCAGTGGTACTAATTTGTGCATACGACGCAAAGATTTGGCGGTCATAAGCAGTGAAGAGGATTCGTTAAATTGTAGCAGGAAATGGGTTAAAAATTAGCCAATCGTATGAGCCTTATATCCAACGCGACACAAGTAACCCAAATCCTCCATGAAAATTGTCGGAGCAATATCTCCTCCAAGCGTGATCGCGAACCGATGACCACAGACAGTTTTGACACCACTTGCAGCCGAAAAAATGCAAGTTTTCCCTTTGTGCGAAGACAATTTGGTCCAAATATATCGGAATTTCTCATAACTCATTTTTAAAATAAACTCACTGACACACGTTGAGGTTCACAATTCTTGCCTTACCCCTTCTTCTGGAATAGATCATATGAAGATCGACTGCAATATTTGTGACCGTTCCCGCTCAGTTATAGGCTTATAGCAATTCGTACGATATAATTCTTTGCGGGATAAAGGATGTTACCTGACGAACTCTGAGAATCAAACAAGATATCGATTCTAGAGGAGGAAGTATATTTGGTACCGGCCTCGTGATGTCGAAATAATATCGAGGCAAGAGGGCGTACAAACAGCTAACGTCCACGCAGGAGACGTGCGAAGAGGTGAATGGGAATAACACGCTTGGCGCGGGAGAGATAGTCTTTAGAACATATAAACAAGAGGTGTACAATGTATTAATTATCGTCACAATTCAGTACAATAATAAATGTTAATATTTCAGCAGTTGTGTTTTCTTCGTAAAAGTAAACCACCACAAGCTAAAGAGTGATAACTGGACAAAAACATATAAGGTGCTTCGAGTCACACGCAATAATCTAACTAGTATATCATCAATGAGCTTCTCGGAGTAACAGCAGAAAATCTCACAACAAAGCGCAAACGCCCAAATACAGGTTTACTTCACCTCAAAAAGGGTTGTCCCCATACGAAACGCCCTCGTGACCAGTGGCCACTCTCCACAGGTGGAGAGTTTCTGAATGAGAAGCATACTGAAAGAACAAGAATCGAGCTCTAAGAAATTAATCAGTTTATACAAGCTCGAGGGAAAGACATTGGACATATTGATCGGCAATAATGCTACTGTTTGTGTAGCCGGTCTCTACAAGCTGTGCGTTACAGTCGATGGACTTTTATGTAAATAAATATTTCAAACTTTATTCCTTCACAAGTAGTCTGGTCTTGTAAGTTGTCATTTAACGGTTTTTAAAATTTTTGATATTATTTATCTTCTGCATATTATTTGCACATTAGTTCAATTGTGAATGAGAATCTTGGCATTTTGCATCAATGCTTAAATCAAAGGAGACAGTCCGACTCATAACCTTGATTAACGCGGCAAGGGTAGCAAAAATAATTTTACGTGCTTACATTGTTTGTAACTATTTTCAAGTTGTGGAGTTTAAATGTAGTCATCTCTTAGGAATGTTATAACCTTTTTATGTCTCATAATAACTTGAACGTCACTTCTATTTATAGATTTTATCATTTAGAAATTAGATCTGTTTGTTTGATTACTAGCTGTAATTTATTTTTCTCAGATCTTTTTCACGTTTGAGTCAACTCTAAAACATTTATCAGTAGTTGCTTTCACCTGCATACGACACCAAAGATTTTCGAGAGCTTTAGTCTTGCAATGCTATGACTTGTTTAGTAGCTAACTAGGAAAGCAGTTATATTTTGTCTGGCCTATGGGTCAGTTTTTTCTTGAGTAAAGTATATACTTCATTGTTCGTTGTCGGTAAAACAAAGCACCCGTAGTTTTTGTGATATTATTGCAGTTGTTCATGTTAATTTCTTTTTTGTTATGTTTAGGTGACTTTATTCTTCCTATACCTAAATACTCCGGGTTCCTTAAATCACTTCTGGTCTATTTCACCATTCTACTGCTTATACAATGGATGGAAAAGACCGAGAAAATATTTTCAAGCTAATCAAGCGTGCAAAGGTAACTACATTTATTCTTCTGTAGTTGTGCAGTTCATATATATATATATATATATATATATATATATATATATATTCATATTCATATTCATATTCATGAATATTCGTTCGCTTATGATTCCTAATGTGAAGGAAATATTGACTTAGATTAAAGAAGGCAAAAATATGCTGAACATATTCAGGTGACCTTCGGATGATTAGGGAAAAGAGCAACGCAACCGCGCCAGTGTAATTGGTCGTCAGCCACATTCGTTAATTCTTATCACTTCGATGTTATCTGTCTGATAGTTAACGTTTTATTGTAAGTTGCTGCATGTCAAACAATTCACTTTTATGTCCTGATCTAAATTTATTACCTATTACTCCCAACGGAGTATGGGCTGCTGACCAGCATTCTCTAACCTACTCTGTTCTGGGCTTTCCTTCCTAGTTCTATTCGATTCGTGTCCATTCTTTTGATATGTGCTTCCAATTCTCGGCGTGATGTGTTCCTTGGTCTTCCTCTTTTCATTTGGCTTTCAAGACTCCAAGTTAAAGATTTTCTTGTAACGCTGTTGGATGCTTTCCTCATGTGTGTCCAATGCACCAATGCTTTTTCTTAATTTCTTCTGCTGCTGGAACCTGGTTTTTATCTCCCACAATAGGTTGTGAATGACGCTGTATGACCAACGAATCTGATTTATCTTGTGTAGACTACTGCTAATAAACAACTTTATCTTGTGGATGATGACATTTATAGTTCTCCAAGTTTCCGCTCTATGCAACAGAACTGTCTTGACATTTGTATTGAAAATTATGACTTTGGTGTTTTTTGACAGTTATTTTGAGTTCTAGATGTTCTTCGATTGTAGAAATGCTGCTCTTGCTTTACCAACCCGTGTCTTCACATATGAACCAGATTCCCTTTGTTTATCAATGATGGTGCCCAATTACGTAATGGTTTCTATATCTCCCAGAGCTTCCGTGTCAAGTGTGGTTTCGTTGGTGCATATTGTGATTTATTGGAGGATCTTGCTTATTCTTTGCGTATGTTGAGACATACTGCTGCAGAAGCTGCTGCTACATTGGTCGTCTTCTGCATATATTCAGATCGTCTATCTGGATCCGAGCCGTCCACTATATCTCGCTTTCCCTAAAATGTTAACGTCTTCATAATTCAGACAACAACCAACAATCGTAAAAATCCTGTATGATATTGACTATCTTGTTAGGTGCACCGTAGTATCGAAGAAGCCTCCATATTGTCATCCTTTCCACGTTGTCAACTGCTTTCTCATAGTCAAGACAGTTGATATACATAAGTGAGTTCCATTCAACTCAACTCGACCTTGCCCAACCGTAGCTGCTACCTTGATGTAGTGGTCAGGCTTGTCTATCGTGATGACCTAACCGAGCTATATTGGCTAGAACGTATGTCCCTGCAGGTCTTACCATGCCAGGCAGGTCGATTGGAGAACGGTGAGACTAAAAGCAGCAACTCAAGGTCTGAGGGTGAAGTCGTACTGCTGACTGTTTGGAGGTGTGACAACAGTAAAATCCTTCATGCACTTTTTAATAATCCTCTTCTCTCCACGACCAACCTTTTTTTCATTCCTTTATCACTGCGCCGCTGATGCAAACAGTCCTAGTGCACAAAAAATTATTTCTCGTCTGCTGAAACCCCACTCTAAACTACATGTTGGAGCTTTTAATGTTCGAACCTTGTGCCAAATAGGACTTTAGAATCTCGTACCATCGATGTATGCCGCGTCTCGAAATTGCGCATACAGGATCCAAGTAGTGTCATTTATTTGACCTCACCATGTCAAAATAAAGAACCATATCGATCTACGCTTTGTGTATCTGGAAGCCCCACTACTGCTTCCCGTTGCCTTGCTGGTGTGGGTATAGCATTACGTTCCAGGACAAAACTAGCTCTATTAGACTGAATCCTAGTAGATAGTTGCTTATGCGCTGTCCGACTAAACAGGACAGTGGTGGGTAGAGAAAGGAAGAGAGATGGAAAAGGCAGTGGCGATAGGCAACAGTAGACAACTATTCAGACTTATCGAGGAAACCGGTATTAGAAATCTATCTGTTAGTGATAATATCTCAGAAAAGTATGGCTGTATCATTCATTCTCAAACCAGGGGATGGGATCGATGGGCACAGCACTTCAGGGATCAGTTCGATTGGCCTTTAGCCACACTTCGGTTTCCCACGATCTCCAGTCAATCTGAATGGCAAATCGATGTACGTCGTCTGACTCTTTATGAAGCTGAGAAAGCTATAGGAAATCTAAAACGAAGTAGAGCAGCGGGTCCTAATAGACTAACTTCTGAGATTTTTAATGATGGTGGTCCATTTTTATGAGTTAGATTGACCGGGATCTTAGGTAAAATTTGGGAACTGGGCGTAATCCTATCCGACTGGTCTCAATCCATGATTGTCCCAATTTACAAGAAAGGACAAAAGTCCTCTTGTGACAATCACAGGGGGATCGATTTATTTATTATCGTGTCTAAATTGTTAGCCTCGATAATAATTAGATGCCTAAGTAGAGCTGGTAAAGAGCAAACTAGAGAAAACCAGGCTGGTTTCAGACCTGGACGTGACTGTATAGACCACATATTCACACTTCGTCAGGTCCTAGAGTATACACAGGTTCAGGTGTTCAACAATAATTGTATTCCTTGATCTTAAGGCGGCATTTGACTCTGTTGACCGTGAGGTTTTGTGGCAATGTCTGTTACTAAAAGGAGAACCAAAAAAGTACAATAACCTTATACAGACTCCACTCAAACACTACTGATCGAGACGAAGCTTATGGCCAACTGTTATCAAAAATGATTACCTCGAGTGGTATTCGTCAGGGTTGTTTACAATCTCCATTCTTATTCACCTTTAGTGTTGACTTGCTTTTACAGACGACACTTTCATCGTCTGAGTTTTCAGAAGTGGACCTTTACCAGAAGATTAACTTGTTGACCTAGAATATGCCGAAGATGCTAACAAAATAGGGAGTCTTATGACTGTCCTAACCAACATGTAACCATGTTTGGTATGCGATTCTCCCCGTCTAAATGCAAAATGTTGCTTCAGGATTGGGTTGCATCGGCACCTGAACTAGTGATGGCGAGTGAAGTAGTTGGGCGTGTTGACCACTTCACTTATCTCGGGAGTCTCATCAGTGCTGATGGCTTGGTGTGTGATAAAATCTCAGGGCGGATACAGAAAGCTCGGCTGGCTTTTACTGACGTGTATCATTTATGTCGTAGGCGAGATATCCGGTTTTAAAACAAAGGACGGGTTTACTGTGCAGAGGCTCGCTTCGTCCTACTCTATAGTTGTGAAACATGGCCAATAAGAGTCAAAAAAATTCGTAGGTTACTGGTTTTCGATCACAGCGGTCTCCGAAGCATTGCTCGTATATCATGGGACCAGAGAGCAACCAATGCTGGTGTTAAGAAACGAGCACAAGGCAGATCAACTGGTGAAGTAGTAAATCTTCATCAGTCGAGGTGGTTGGAACAGGTGTTACCCAACAAACGACTGCCTCGGTGAGCGATGTTGTCTGGTGTCGGGGTTCGCTGGAGAGAAATTAGGAGAAGCCAAACAAAGACTTGGCACAAATCTATGAAACGTTTCACAACTGCATTGAACCATGTCGTTGGGTGTAGACTACCTGGTTGGGGTTTGCGAGAGAATAGTAACCGGTGATCGGAGACGTTAAATGACATGGCTCAAAATCGTTAGCACTGGTGCAGATCTATCCATTCCTTGTGTTCTCTCGAATTCTGATCTTCTGAATCAATAATGACGTTTTTTAAAATGTATTTCACTGGGTTATCCTTCTCGTATCAAATCTTGGAACCTTAATCTTCTCCGTTACCTATAATACTTCTATTACCTTTACTACTATAGGATTTAAATTGACAATTCTATCTCTATGTGCTAATGTAGTATTGGCAACTTGAACGTGTGAAGTTCTGCGTTGTAGCTGACTGACAACTACGCCCGGGCAGTAAAAAATAAATTTATATAGCTGGTACGCTTACTGGGCAACTCTTACTACTAGATTGTATTTTCGTTTCTTCAAGCCAATTAACCACTGATTCTGTTTTTTTTTCAATCGTCCCATGTAATTTAATTTTGGAATATTTTATTATCAGGAATAACGGTGGATGGTGTAATTAATCAATCGATTTCTCTACATGTATATTCTTTTTCTGTCTCTCTTTCATTCTCTTACAGGAACTACAAAATGATGAAGAAAAGAGTCACCTAAGGTGAGTTCCTAACATAAGTAGGTAATTGTTAGGACGATTCCTATCATGAGCTAACTAAAATAAATGGAAAAACTTTAAACAATACGATAGTGTTAGTTTGTTACATAGTTTTTTGCTAGACCCTGTAAGAGTACATGTCATTTACTTCTACCAAATCTTGACTTATGACCTCAGGTTAGAACACTTTAGAAACTTTAGAATCATACTAAAGAGAAAAGTTATCCCTAGTCTTTAGTCTTGAAATAAATCTGTAAATTAGTCTTGTCAAATACCTTTCACAAATAAAAAAAATACAATGTTAAATCAATTCATTCAGTTCCTATTTGAACTTTTGTTGCTTATTTGATGAAAATCCTTGTTGCAGTAAAATGAAATGCTAATATTATTCTAAAATAGGCCTCATATGATTTTGAGATAGTGTTAGGATATTCATCCAATATCCTAAGAGAATTATTGGTCAAATCCTATTGGCCGATTTCTATTGGTCACAATTACGGTCGTTTTAATTCTCAAAGTCAAATACTTAAATGTTGTTTCTTATTGGTTGTTCTGACTATCAGTGTCACTTCAAATGTTACTTCCTATTGGTTGTCTTAACTGTCAATGCCACAGAATTCGATGCTGTTTCCTATTCGACCAAGATGTATAAATACGCATTATCTGTAACGTTTATTGACCACGACCAGGACCAGGGCTCGGTCCCGGATCCCTAGTCCGGGGTCCTGATTCTCTTCTGGATTCGGACCTCGTGCTTTCTGGATGCTTGTAGAATACACGTTCTACTCCATATCATGTCTACTTATTTTAACTAAATATGGGGGTTGTAATAATCGGATTTGAGTAACATGTCGTGTCACCGAATCCTCGCTCTCGTTTCCGACTAGGTAAACTCGTGATAGTTCAAGTTTATCAAGTTGACGTGTTTACGTGCAGGCGTAACAGATAGTGGAGAAGATTTGTAGCTCAGATGGATGATTGTGGTGGTGGTGGTGTTTGGTTCTCTCTCAAAAGGGGAATACAATCAAAACAAATATGCAAACAACGACAAGTTTTGAGGTCTACATCAGCCAAGAACAAGCTACAAGTCAAACGTGGAGAAATTCGAATGCTTCACTTCTCTCTGAAGTTTGTGCTGTTGATGATGATGTTGTTCAGCAGGAGAACAATGAAAGCTCCACAACCAAATAAAACCCTAACCCAGCTCAGAGAACCAAACACTACCATCATAAAGTAGGCCTCCTAATTCTACTCGCCAATTATCGTATGATAAGAAAATTTCATGTTGTACGAACATTACATGTCAAGTTCAAGTTACATTTTTTCAAATTTTCAAATTAAATCCAATACTTTGAATAGTTTGTATGATGATAAGATTCTTTCAATTCTACTAATGAATAATCATATTCATTATTCATTTGTCCTTTTCTTTTTTATGATCAATTTTTTCCACTATATAACTGATTTAGTTTTTACATCTATTTAAAATTAGAAAACGAACTGAAGGTCAACTGTTAAAATTTACAAATGTTATGAAAGGTTATCAATATCGTTGGTTTGTGATAGATCCGGATTCAGGAAGGATTGAATATTATGAGGTTAGTTGATGAATTGTGTTGTGTTGTGTCGTGTTGTGTTGTTAGAAATTGCAAACACGAAATTTCTCTCATCAAAATAATTTTTATTTATATAAGCATAAATGGTAAATTTTTTTATGCTTAACATTTCACGAGTTATTGAAAATCTTCATCAGAGAAAAGTTGTATCAGTCAATCAGTCAGTTAATTACAATGTAGAACTTCGTACGTAAGTACAACAGTTCCGGTTGCCATACCATATTAGCACAGAGACGTAACTGTCAGTTCAAATCCAAGAGTGATAGCGACAGTAGAATTATTAGCAGTAATGGAGAAGATTAGGGAGCGAAGATATGATATAATTCAGTGAGATAAATTTAGAAGGAGAAAGATAGAGATGATGAGGAATTCAGAAGGTTAGAATTAAAAAGCACACAAAGAGTGAATGCACTTGCGCCATTGCAAACGATTCTGAGCCATGTCGTTCAAGGTCTCTAACTATTGGTGAATTTTGTCTCGTAGACCCCAACCAGGTAGTCTACATCTACCAACATGACTCAGTCCACTTGTCAGTGACTTGATGGATTTGTGCTACGTTTTTTTTTGGCCGTCCCTAACTTTCTTCCAACCTACTCCTACACCACAAAACGTAGCTCTTTGCGGCAGTTGGTGGTTAGGCATACGTAAAACATGTCCTAACCACCTGAACTGATGAAGTTTCAATACTTAATCAATTGACCTGCCTTTCTTACCTAGAACTCGTTTCCTAACGATAGCATTGCTTACTCGGTAGTCCCAGGATACACGAGCAATGCCTCGGATACACCTATGATCGAAGACTAGTAACCTACAAATGTCCTCTACTCTTAACGGCCGTTTTTCGCATCCATATAGTAGGACAGAGCGAACTGCTACGCACTACACTCGTCCTTTGGTTAACAAGCGGATATCTCGTCTGCGCCATAAGTGACGCAGGTTGGCAAAAGCCAATCGAGAATATTAGGGATCGAACATATTATTCAAGAAGTATAGTTCAATGAGATAACTTTATAAAGAGAAAGGTAGAGATCATGAGGAATCCTGAAGATTAGAATTTCAGAGAACACAAAGAGAGGAGTGGATGCACCTGCGCCACTGCAAAAGATTTTGAGCCACGTCATTCAAGGTCTCTAACCACTGGTGACTTTCGTCTCACGGACCCTTACAAGGTAGTCGACACCTACCTATATCAGTTTTTGCTTTCATTTTTATTTTATTTGTAATATCTAATGTTTTCTCACCGATTTTATTATTTTACTTTAGAAAGAAGATCATAAACGATCACTGAAACCTCGTGGAACTCTAAATCTGGTAGTAAGTATCTTTATATGCAAGAATTTGGAATATTGTTCACGTTAAAAAGATTACAAACATGCATTTCTGATAATTTCTCATTGAGCTTGACATGTAAGAGGAATATTGATCAATAACATTCGGACAATTATAGTCAATAAAATTATAGTACATGCATACAAAGTTGGTAATCATGATGATGGTGAAAGTCTTATAAATTTTTAAGAGCTAGGGGAGGCCTAATCAATACATGGCAGAAATCCATGAAGTCACTGACAAGTGGACTGAGTCATGTTTGTAGGTGTCGATTAGCTGGTCGGGGTCTGCTAGGTGATAATAATCAATGGTTAGAGACCTTGAATGACATGGCTCAGAATCGTATACTATGGCGCAAGTGCATCCATTCTTTGTTTTTTCTCAAATCCTAACCTTCGGAGTTCTTCATCACTTTATCTATTTCTTTTAAGTTTATTTCATTAGATTATACTTCTTGAATGATATAATTGAACCCTAATCTCTCCGATTACTTCTAATAATTTTGCTACCTCTACAACTATGGGATTTGAAGTGACAATTACATCTATGTGCTAATATGGTATAGCAACTTGAACTGATGTACGTACGAAGTTCTACATTGCTGTTGATTGATTGTATTCCATAGTTACAAAACCATTGTGAAGTTCTTCAGGTGTGTACATTGTATGCTGTGAATTTGTATGTATGACGATGTAAAAGGAAGTCTTCACTATAAAACAATAAATAAATCCAACTGCTTTTAAAAGTTCAATCAATCATTTAGTGATTACATCGTTCAGAGAGTTATTTAAATCCAGCATGTGACACAATGTAAATATCATTTTTTAAAAACAAAGTTTATACTTAGTAACTGTTACGCATGCACGTAAACACGTCAATTTGATATGCTTGAACTACTACGAGTTTACCTTAGTCAGAAAACGAGAGCGAGGATTCGGCGACACGACATGCTACTCTAATCCGAGTGTCCTAACCCCTCATTGAATAAAAGAAGAAGACTTGATATGAAGTAGAACATGTCTTCTACAAGTATCCGGAAAGTACGAGGTCCGAGTCCAGAAGAGGATGAGGATCCCGGACTAGGGCTCCGGGTCCGGGTCATGAAACGTTACAGATAATGCATATTTATACAGTTAGGTCGAATAGGAAACAACACTGAGTTCTGTGACCTTGACAGTTAGGACGACCAATAGGAAACAACGTTGAAGTACGTGACGTTGATATCTAGGACGACCATAAAATTGACCATTAGGAATTGACCAATAGAATTAGACTTACAAAAATAATTCTTTTAGGATATTTTATGAATATCCTAATAGTAACTCACTAGGTTCATAGAAAAACTATTCAAAAAGTTTGACGATATCAAATTGAGTGATATTTTTTTAATGCTTGTTACTTTCACACCTAAAGTGCCTGTATGCTGTACAAATTTATAATTCTTGTCTTTGTTTACAATAAAACTACTTTCTTATTTTTTCTACAACTTCCAGTATGCCTCCATATGTCCTTCAGATGAAGATTCACAAACCTTTTTTATTAACGCTTCAAATGGTGATTTATTGAAACTGAAAGGTTTGTTTCATGGATAAACTGTATTTTGTAAAAGTATAATATCTGAGTACTAGCTTAAAAGACACACTTAAAATAACTTCATGATTTTGACACCCAGTTTTCAACCAATAAGCTTGCAAGTCTATATAAATCAAGAGTATTTTGCAGTGAAGAAATCTATTCAAACTTAATAGAGTTTTAGGAAGAGTAAAATTGTTACCAAGCTCGTCATGACGAAACGAATAATTCATTTCCATTGCGTCAGGCTTTACTGTTATTCAGTCAAACTAATAGTAAAACTATTTATTTATGAGTTTATTGGAAGCAAAGTAAATTAAAGCAGAAAACTAGATGATCTACGTGTTGTTGCACGTTGATTGGCTCTTTCGTATCCAATCAGCGCTAGCCGACACTGAGGACGCATTCTAGAATCTTCTCATGTAAGAAACTATAAATATACTAACATTTTGAACTTCTTACTTCCATCTAACCTTGTTACTGGAATATAATCTCTATTTCCTGTTCAACCGTGTTATGATTTTGGGAGGACGTATCTAGTGAATTGGTGTTCGAGAATACTAAGAAGCATTAAGAATAACTGAGTTGTAATAAAGAGTGAATTATAACATTAGCTTTTAAAGGTGATAATTATTTGCTGATTTTACATTTAAACTTGTTGTAATGCTGCTACGTATAGCTATTCAGTCCTAGCGGCGTCCAATTCAAATATCCCAATAGGACCCAAAATGCTATTTCCAAATCTCTAATATATCAGAACGCAACACCGTTGGATGGAGTTGTTTATTGGGTAGAGAACAGAAGAGAGGTAGGCAGGAAGAAACGGAATTGGAATCGGAATCATGAAGGCTTACAGATAGTGCGTATTTATACATTATGGTTGAATAGGAAAGAGCATCAAGGTCTGTGACAATGACAGTTTAGGACGACCAATAGGAATGAACACTTGAAATGACATTGACAGACCGGATGACCTATAAGACACAACATTGAAGTATTTGACTTTGACAGTTTAAACGACCATAATTTTGACCAATAGAATTCGGCCAATAGGATTATACTTCCAAAAATAGTAGTCTTAGGATATTCGGTGAATATCCTAACAAAACTGAAATTAGTAATAAAGACATTGATTTATGTTTAGTCGGATTCATGTGCATTAGTAAAGTAACCTAAGCTAACTAGTTGTTTTAAATGTTTCCTTGTAAACACTGATTCTGTTGTCATACTATGAATCTTCAAATATATGGATGTAAAACCTATTTTCCACACTACAATTATCTACTTTAATTTAATGGGTAGTTCAGGCTATATTATAACAAGGTAATTCGTTCATCTCATACCGGTTGAGGTTACTGTTCTATCTTATCAACAAAAATGGATTGAACTATGTCAAAAATGAGAGCATAGTAGAAGATAGGACGTTATTATAGACGCTATTATTTCGGTCCGTCAGTCAGTCATATATATCGTAAAAGCTGCCATATATACGTTTCGATACTGAGTGCATCTGCACCACTGAAACCGCTCCTAAGTCGTCACCCAACGTTTCCAACCACTAGTTACGATAATCGCTCGTTCCCCGACCAAAGAAGTTTGCATTTGCCAACGCGGCTCTATTCAGCTGTCAACGTCTTCTTGGACGGTATGTATTGATCCAGCTGCCTCTAGCTTTCTATCAACATACTTCTATATCGAAAGCACACTTCATTGAGATAGTTGGTAGTTAGACATACGTAATATATGTGTCAACTATCTCAATCTATGGAAATTCACTACCTCATCAACAAGTTTACTATTTTCACTTGGCATTTTGCACCTAACCACTTCATTAATCCCTCATTGGTCCCTGTATACACTACCAATAGTTCAAAAGCATCTACGATCAATTACTAGTAACCTATGAGTATCCTTCACTCCTAAAGACCATCTTTCACACCTTCAAAGTCAGCCCAAAAAACTACTGCACGGGAAACTCACCTATTCCACAACCAACATAATTTGTCAAAAGACAGCTGTGCTTTTTTTATTCGTGTCAAGATTTCGTCAGACACTAATTCATCAAGGCTAAAGAGACTTCCAAATGAGCAAATCAGTCAACGCCTTCAACTACTTTACTTCTTATCAATAATTTAGTGATTAACACAACACACAAAACACTTCTCAAACATGCTTAAATTGATGCTTAAACCAGTTAAAAGTCTTTGTATTTTGTCAGCACCTTCACTAAATAGGACGGTTATCTACGTATTATCCTTATTCCTAATATAAATACAAGCTCATTTACCGTTCTCTCAACCGGATATTTGTCTTAAAACAAATTCTTTGAGAATATGTACATGAAAATATGAAGCGTAAATGGCTTCCATAACAAGAACGATAATGTTGCTTTAATTTTCTTGATACATTTGTTTGAAATTAACAATGAATAACTTAACAAAATTAAGGCAAAACTGTTTGTCTTATCATGAACACTATATAATCTCTGTTATACATAATCATTCATTATTTGCTTGTACTTTATTTTAAAGTGTAATTGTATTTTCCCCTTTTTTCTTTAGCAATTGATGCTAAAGAGAGACAATATTGGGTAGATCGTCTTCGAGCAGTTTCTGAATATCATTCAGAGAAAGCTGAACAACACCCATTAGTAAGTAAAACTTTTATGAATGATATATTCACATCTGTTCCATCTGTGTGTTGTACTAGTAGGATTGGTCAGCTTCTGTGTTAGATTTGAAATTTTTTATTCCTGATGAATTTGCTGTTTAGACAACTAACTTTCAATATATCACAGGTTCTAGATTTGCTCTACTTATCATGACCCAACCGAGCTATATTGGGTGAAACACATTTTCCCTTTAAGTCCTACCGTACCACGCAGGTCGATTGAAGAACGGTAAGACCAAAGGCGAAGTCGTACTGAGGAGTGTGACAACAGTAAGGTGTTCCCCTCGGACGACCAGCGTCTGCAACGGCGCTTCCTTCTCACAGGGAAGGAAGGAATTAGAAAATGTTTACGCTAAAAATGTCTCATCTTACCCTACGGACTTTCATCTACAGTGGTAAGGCTTTTTGAAGAGCGGAGCTAACGCGTTGAAAGCTTCTCATGATTAGGCCGTACGCGTCCGTCTTCAAGCAGTCATTCCTCATATTCCTAATAGCACACGAGATCAACTCATTCTCGACTAAAAAACCCTTCTTCTACCTCTTAATAACTTTCCTATCTCCGACTAATCGTACCGGTAAATCTTTATCGCCTGACGCAGTTGATGCGGACGATCCGAGTACACACAGAGTTACTCCTGGTCTCCTGAAAGCTTGTTCTACACTACACGAATCTTTTAGTGTTCGAAGCTTGTACCCAAAAGGATAGCAGGCTCCTCTGACTATGACTGGAACCCCACGCCGTTGATGTATGCTGCATCTCCGAAACGCGCATATTGGATCCAACGTCAGCGATTCATTTGACTTCACCTTGTCAAAATAAAGATCTGTCGTGATTTATCCTTCGTATTTGGAAGCCCCATTGCTACTCCCCATAACCTTCCTGGTGTAGGTATATCATCAAGTTGGAAAGCAGAACTAGCTCTTTTAGACTGGATTTAAATATACAGTCGCTTATGCTCTTTCTGACTAAACAGGACAGTAAGAGCTCAAAGAGATAGGCACACTTACCATTGCCTGTTCGTTGTTTCTGCCTACGCTCCTACTGATTACAGCTGAGATAAGGTAAAAGATAAATTTTACGAAAAGCCTTCAAAAAATTAATCGCTCCGATGTATTATTAGTGGCTGATGACTTTAATGCCCGAATGGATTTTATGGTGTTCTGGATCATTGAACGGTGGCAACAATTTGCTGCAGCTACGCTCATCTGATCTCCTCTTTTGGACAAATACCAAGTTTAAACACAGGGAAAACCATCTTTCAACATGACAACCCGCAATATTGGCTCAACTAGACCACATTACTCTCAGATAGACAGAAGACTACCGCTCGTTCAAGAGCACATGTTTAAATTCAGATGATGCTCTAGTAAAAGCACGTATTTGTCTGCGGTTTACTAGATTTATGAGAGATACTTCAAGGGAAACCCCTTACAGTTCTATTTAGCGATAAAAAAAGCAAGAGTATATTTCAAGAGCAATTAGAAAAACACTTAGGTAAGTAATACCCACCCCAAGGCAGCTTGGAATAATATCGAAAAATCTATGGAAACAGCTGCGATATTTGCTAGTAAGTTTAAACTAATAGGTCGAGTAAGAACAGTAGATTTCAGTGGTATCTACTGAACTGTTAGGTGCTCGGAAACTCATCTTGTCTGGCTGCGGAGTCAGCTTAAGCGTAAGCTTGTAAAAAGCCTAAGCAACGATCGCGTAGACTGGGACAAATATGTGGGTTTTAGTTAGAAAAGATGTCTCTTCGATTGATGCTTTCTGAGTGTAGATTGTTTCATTCCTATTCTGTACTTAAATGGATCAATATAAATTATATTTCGTGCCTATTCGTCTGACTAATCACATAAAAATGATACATGAAGTGGGTTTATGGTGTAGTGCACAGCTTTGTTATTAATCATTCAGTCCTGACAATTTCATATTTATGTGACGCTTAAGGTTTATTATTCTTTATTGAATCATTCTTTTAAAAGATCGGTACTTTATCTGGCACTTCTACGGCTTCCAACCATACAGATCCACAAAATACCGGATCTCAAGCGTTAAATTCATGTAAGTTTTGTAGTTTGCCTTTCCAAGTTGATTCTTTTTATTGGATCAGCCTTAATAACAACCGTAAATAAACTGAAATTCGGTATGTAGACCACTAGATACTGAATCAGCTATCTAAGTGCACAGCACTCCACATAGGACCTACAAGTCCCGCGTTCGACCCCCCACGGGGTCATAAATGCACACTGTTGAGGAGTCCCACACTAGGACGAAGAAACTATTCAAATTCATTTTTTCTACCTTTAGTCCTAAAACCCATCGTGTCAATTAATTTACTGGTTTCTACAGCCGCAATTCAATATTATGTTTGTTGACAAGTATTGTTCGCTCAAATTAACTTCGTTTATGTTTTCTTGAAATCTTATACTTTAGTTTACTTTGTTTTTCATTTTTCAGCTAAGATTTCATATTCACAATCAAATGAAGTTAATCAAACTAATAATCAGACTGTCAGTGAAAATTTCCCCGTTGCAGAGTAAGTTTTTGCATTGCACTGTAAATCTACGACATATTCCGTACTTAAAATTTCTTAAAATCGTTTGGTTTCTTCTCTATACTAATCACAAATATATGACTCACTTTCAATATACTCTGGCGTACTTCTCCTATAGAGTAGAAAAACATGGGTGAAGCTAGAATTTATTGACGACCGTTAGGTGTCATGAAAGTAACCTTGAGTTCGGAAAAATTCTATTTCAATAATGTTATTCACATTTTGATCAATTGAAAGATTGGTCGCCTGTTGGGAACGACAGATCCCTTGAACTCACATGGAAAAGGTCCTAATTTTGTAATTTGTTTAAATTTTGAATTTTTATGTTTTCGCGCCCAAGACGCTTGGTTGCCCTTCGGCTTACATTTCCCACTCGGAAAATCCTTGACTGTCATTGACATTTTAACAATCGATTTTTGCTTCCAATTGTCATACAAAGATAATTTCAAAAAATTTTAATGAGTTTAACAAACTGTTATAATGACGCTAAGTAGCTATTCGGAATCCTATCGATGTCCAGATTCAGATATTCCGATACGACCCCAAGTACTGTTCCCAAATCTCTAATATATCAGAATACAACACCGTTGGATGAAGTTGTTTTCTGAAGTCGCGTACAGAAGAGATGAAGGAAGGAATAAATGGAGTTAGTAGTTTTACAGATGATACATATTTATACTGGTAGGTCAAATAAGAAACAACATGGAAGTCTGTGACATTGATAGTTAGGACATCCAATGAGAAACATCATTTGAAGTGACATTGACAATTAGCACGACCATCATATTGACCAATAGGAATCGACCAATAAAATTAGACTTCCAAAAATAATTCTCTCAGGATATTTGATGATGAATAACACAAACACACTTTCAGTTTGGTCAAATACATGAATTAAATTTTTGTCCTTAGATAAAACGCAATGAAAGTCTATGGTGGTTGGGTGATAAAACTAAGCATAAAACGCAAAATGTCAATACTGGTCCTTGAATAATAAATTAAAATCAAAGGGGAAAGAATGAATTCTAACTTAGGAAAATTGATTTTCTCCTATAGGGTTAGTATAACCTACCCTAAATACAAATGATACAGTTACAATATAATCACATGATCATCTCGTCTAACCTATCTTAGTAGTCAAGTCTACATCAAGATTAAAACTGTAGAAACTATTGTTTACTGATTCAAATTTTAATTAATCTATAGATTACGTAAGGGATACTCAGAAACGCGAAAAAATCATTGCCCAACATGAGACAAAGGGTCATTGAAGTGTTTGGGCCTATTTGCATCAAGCTAGGCTGCCACTTATACTATCCTACGCCATATATGTGTACACCATATGCTACACTGCTATATAGAGCTGAAGGTCTCTTATGAGACTAGACGTTCACTGTGAAGATTGTGGATGTCTTGGCTTTGCTTTGGTAAGGATTGCTAACAGTCCATATACAAAATTGGTTAGCAGGGAGACCGATTTCATTGATATAAGTGGTTGTTTTGCAACAGTCTCGAGGGCCATTGTCATTGAGGTGCTGTATTACATATCACCATTGCTAATGATAATGAGTTTGACAGTCATGTAAGCGGGATGAGTCGAAATGGCATGTTCATGCGGTGCATATTGATTGACGCGATCATGGATCGGAAGTATGTATACCAGTGTGTATATATAAATGGTGTGAATGGTCCACCAGGGTATCAGGTACCTGTGTGGTTGTACCACAGGATTGAGCTGAACTGTTCATGTAGTAATGGTAAAACGTGAGCAGTCTCTTTGGTTCTCCTGAAAACCAATGTAAAATTGCCCTTGACAATACAGGGTAAATTTATATTAATTGTGTGAATTGTATAATATAGATTACGTAAGAAAATAATTTACACTGTTGTTTAATGGTATGCATCTTTAGTAATTCGTGTTGCTTTGTTGTATGCCTGCATTTTAAGATGATGATTGAAATAAATGCTCGCTATTGTTGTTGTTACACATTTGAAATCATGAATCGATCAATGCTAGATCACCATTAGAAACCTGGAAGCACTGGATGGCCGTTTCGTCGTGGTTTGGGACTCATCAACTCAGCGGTCCAGAGGTTAGGCGTTCGCGCGCAAGACCGAAGGTCCTGGGTTTGAATCCTGTGAGGTGTAGGAGTTGTGGATGCGCACTGCCGATGTGTCCAATACCAGGTTGAAACAGCCTTCTAGTGCTTCCAAGTTTCTAGTGGTGGTTTAATATTGATCGATTCATGATTTCCAATGTGTAACTTAACAACGATCTTCATAACCCCGTAATGCAGTTGTTGTTGTTTTTGTCTTTGTTTTCACCTCCAAGTACTAGTACATTCCCTGTATTTTGTCCTGGTCGTCCGCCTGATCCACGAGTTCAACTTGGCGAATTATTCCGTCAATTAGAATTGGAAAATCATGCACTTTCCAGTGTTGTTGATGTATGTTATCCAAATTGTGTTTCACTGATTTTTTTTTCAAAAAAGGTGTAAAAATTGTTTACTATATACTTTTGTAAAAATCACTTTTCGAATCATACATTTTGTAGCTACTATCATCAGTTAGCTATGATCAACATTAGCGCTTTGTATCAGACAGACAGATACAACGCAGAACTTCGAAACGTAAGTACATCAGTTCAAGTTGCCATACCACACCAGCACAGAGACGCAACTGTCAGTTCAAATCCAGGAGTGATAGCGATAACAGAAGATAGAGTTGATGAGGAATTCAGAAGGTTAGAATTTAAGAGAACACAAAGAGTGGATGCACATGCGCCATCGCAAACGATTCTGAGCCATGTCATTCAAGGTCTCGTGAACGCTTTGTATCGGTTTCAGTTGTTGCACTTTAATGTCATCAAGTCAGTTATAATACACAATCAACAAAATATGACAGATAGAGCAGAAAATATTATCTAGTGCAATGGAACTCTAAACCCTTGAGGGATGATATACAATCAATAATTAATTCAAGCTTTTAACAAAGTTAGAAAATGATTAGTAATAATAATAATATCTGTTTTGGGGCAGAGTTTTGGAGGTTTGTGTTTTTTCACATTTGAAATCATCCATCAATCATTGTTAGACCACCATTAGAAACCTGGAAGCAGTGGACGGCCGTTTCGTCCTGATATGGGACTCATCAGCAGTGCGCTTTGATTGATGATTTCAAATGTGAAAACATAATAACTGTACTATTTTCTCCACTATTACGTCATATCATCCAAACAGTTTGAAATATTGATTACAAATGTTGTTTGTTTGGGAGTCAGTCATCTCAACCCCGAAGTCTGCATCAATCGATATGATTCCAAGGAACAGTCAACAACTTAATGAATTTATATTATTAAGTTTTGGTCTATTCACGCGTAGCCTTCTTTTTTCCAACTTATCCTGATATTACAAAAGTTAAATTTAGTGCTACCGCGTGTTTTAAAAGCCACACTATTTTACTCTGTATTATACTGTTATGCTTATTGTAAGATTTAATTTGTCCTACAGACGTACTTCTAGAACTGTAAACGCAGTATTGGCGAGCACAGAGTCAAACCAAGAGAAATTTGGTCCTAAACTTGATCTGTTTCTAAACCTAAAAACAATTAGATTAGTACAATAAATAAGGAAATTACAGTTACCAAATGAAACGAGCAAGCATACTGACCAATATAGCATATCTTATGGAAATGAATACAACTATGAGTCGCATCAATATAATAAGATAATAATGTCCTTCATTTAGTAGGTCGTTTACAACAGAGAAAGTTTACAGACACGTCAGATCAGATCACGTGATGGGCGCTTAAACTACAATTTGATTGGTTAGTTATGACATAACTACAATTAGTTATGGAAATAATCAACATTTACTGCTAGACATACCACTTTATTCAACTGGTCCCAGACGAACGCACGCATTGGAAGCAAATGATAATGTTATTCCAAGGAGTAAAGTCGATATATTAAGAAATTTTGGTGCACATATAAGATTTGTACACAGAAATATTCTAGTGTCGTTACAATCCATTCACCAGATATATGATTGATGTAAAAATAGACTAGTCAATGTCAGATCCGATAGGATCTTCCCCGGAGATTAACCAAAAATTCTATCGTGCTTACATGTAAAAAAAAGTCATTACTTTCTCACTACTTCCTCTTATCTGATTTCGGATGAATCATAGTAAAACTTTTATGTTTCATAAATTCAAAGCTCTGACTCAATTGATTTAAGCGTTTCCTATTCATAATTCTTCAGTAACCAGTTTAAATACAACTCCGTTTACTGTTATAGTTCGATTATTCAAGTCTTATCACTGATCCTTACGTAATATTGACTAGTTAAATAAATTCTTTATATCTGTTCTTTATTCAATTAGACAACCTCCATTCGAAGTCCAGAAATTACTGACGTATTTAAAGTAAGTTGTTTTTTCCATCATATACATTATTTTCTCCTGACTTTATAGTTTTGGACACTTATACAGTTTATACGAAATAGTAGATTTTATATCGACAATCTTGAATGACCTTAAAATAAGTAAAGTCCATTTTCAAATGATACATAAAGGCAAAAAGACAGGATTAACGTTTATAGCTATTGTTATATTAGGTCAGTTAGTCAGTCAACAACAACGTAGAACTTTGTACTTATGTATATCAGTTCAAGTTGCTTATACCACATCAGCATATAGATGCAATTGTCACTTCAAATCCGATAGTAGCAAAGGTAGTAGAAGTATTAGCAGTAATCGGAGAGATTAGGGTTCGACTATATTATTCAAGAAGTAAAATCTAGTGAAATAAACTTAAAAAGAAAAAGATAAAGTGTTGAGTAACTCTAATAGTTAGAATTTGAGAGAACACAAAGAATGGATGCATCTGCGCCATTGCAAACAGTTTTGAGCCATGTCATTCGAGATCTCTAACCATCAATTACTATCATCTCGCGAACCCCAACTAGGTAGTCTACAACTACCAACATGAATCAGTCCACTTTGTCAGTGCTTACTCGGCTGCCCCAGGATATACGAGCAATGCTTCAGAGACACCGATGATCGAAAACCAGTAATCTACGAATATCCTCTACTCTTACTGTCCGTGTTCCATAGCCATTAAATAGGACGGAGCGAGCTGCTGCTCAGTAGACTCGTCCTTTGGTTAGCAGACGGATATTTCGCCTAGACCATGAGTGACACAGGTTGGCAACATCCAGTTGAACCTTCTTTATCCGTGTTTAGATTTCGTCCAACACCAGGCTATCAGCACTGATGAGACTCCCATGATAAGTGAAGCGGTCAACATGCTCAACTGTTTCACTCCCTATCACTAGTTCACGTGGTGATACAAGCCAATCCTGAAGCAAAATTTTGCATTTCAACGGGGAGAATCACATCACGAACATGCTTGCATTGTTGTTCATAATCATGTTGATGAATAATTGTTTAGATAGTTTTTTTTCATTTTAAGAACACTTAAATTACCTCATATGCTTCATCATTTATGATAAGTTATTGCTTTTACGGTTGATTTTAAGTTCATCCTGTTACGCTCGTCTCTAGGTATGCTTAAAACGTTTCGGGTTCACCTTAGTCGAATAACGAGAACAAAATGAATCAGCGTAGGCTACTGTGATCCCTTGACCCAATTGTACCAGCAAGAAGTCTTGATATAGCGTAGAAAGTGTATTCTACAAACACCCAGCCAGCACACACAATGTATCCAAGCACTCAAATTGCGTTTATTTATACTCTATAGAGACGTCCTTAGGACAGTCACAAAAATAGCACACTAAAATGACACGGTAACCAATCACAGCCAAGGATTTTTCTGGTGGGAAATGTAATTTCAGGGTCAACTGATCGGTCCATGAATAAAATCCAAAATAAAGACATTTATCAAGTGAGTTCTAAGGATCTAACTTCCCCTCCCCCCAACACTAACCTAATATATTTTTGAAAACCCTGGATATTTCATCAATAATATTTTAAGATACTATGTCCTATTTCTATTGCACTTCAATAGGAGTTGAATAAATCATTGATTTTATGGTTGTGAAGTAAAGTTTGATTATCGTTTGAGTATCTTTTAAAATATGTTCTCCAATTTTTTCGCTCTTTCTAAACAAACAAACGAACACAAAAACAGAGTCTTCTTTTATCAAAAGCTACAAGTCAAGCAACATTAGCTTGTTTAAAACGTTGTATGGAATTGATTAAACATCAAGATATAAGCACTACAGTAGAAAATAATAATAAGGTGAGTGATTTTTTTTTTTAAATTTTTATTTATTGAAGAAGAAGAAAAACTTTTTTTAATCATAGATTGTGTTCTTCATAGAAAATTATGTGAGATTGTTGTGTTTTTTATCAAGTAAAATCATAAGTCAATCATTGTTAAACTATCCTTAGAAGCCTGGAAGCACTGGATGGCTGTTTCTGTTATGCATGCACATAATACACGTCAACTTGATATACTTGAACTATTACGAGTTTACCTTAGTCGAAAAACGAGAGAGAGGATCGAGGATCCGGCGATACGACATGCTACTGAAATCCGATTATTCCAACCCCAATATTGAGTAAAAGAAGACAAGACTTGATATGAAGTAGAGCCTGTATTCTACAAGGATCCAGAAAGTATGAGGTCCGAATCCAGAAGAGAATCAGGATCCCGGACTAGGGATACGGGTCCTGGTCATGGTCATAAAACGTTTCAGATAATGCATATTTATACATTTTGGTCGAATGAGAAACAGTATCGAAGTCTCTGACATTGACAGTTAAGTCAACCATTAGGAAGTAACATTTGAAGTGACATTGATAGTCAGGACAACATTGGAGCACGTGACATTGATATCTAGGACGACCATAAAATTGACCAGTAGGAATTAACCAATAAGAATTGACCGATAATTCTCTTAGGATATTAGATGAATATCCTAACAGTTTCGTCGTGGTATTGGACGACTCATCGGCAGTGCATATCCACGACTCCTGCACCTCGCAGGATTCGAACTACAGGACTTTCGGTCTTGTCAGTGAACGCCTAACATATAAAGATCTGCATACTATATATGTAAGTAAGGGCTATCGATATCATCCATTTGCCTAGATCGAATTAGATGGAACTGTTTTTCGAATTTGCCACCTAGTGATTGACAATAGTTGAACACCTTAGCTATTAAGCAATCACTTCATCGTTTGGAACCGATACTGATCATTAAAGAATAATATTTTGAGTAATTCAATGATCTTCACATAATGTACACTAATTCTTGTAGCAACAATTGGATCAACCATATGAAAATTATTTTATTCAATGACTTTACTGGCGATAGATTTTTATTAGCATTAAAAGTAGTTCAATAAAATGTGTTATGTTTGAAGTAAACGTTGCTGGTTATCATTTAATGGCTATTCAGATTGAATAACTCAATCGTTAGTAGTGCATTGACAAAAGATATTTGATATTCATGTGAACATCAACACTATAATCCAGGTATTATCCAGCTGACTGAAGTCACATAAGATGAAATGCTTGGTCTAGATTTCACTGCCTGATCCTGATATATGCTACTGCGCTACTGAGCTGAATTCTACTAACAAAATAACGACGTTATGGAATCGACCAAATTTGACTGACAAATCTCGGATAGAATAAAATACCTATTCCCTTTTATTTGTTGCTCAGTCAGTCAGTCAGTTAGGTGCAACGCAGAACTCCGTACGTAAGTACATCAGTTCATATTGCCGTACCACATCAGCACAGAGATGTAATCGTCAATTCAAATCCAATAGTAGTAGAGGTGGTAAAGGTATTAGAAGTAATTGGAGAGGTTAAGATTAGAAGATATTATTCACGAAGTATGATTCAGTGAGAAAAGTTTAGAAAGTCAAAACTAGAGGTGTTGAAGAATCCAGAAGATTAGGATTTGAGAGAACATAAAGAATAAATGCACCGGCGCCATTGCGAACGATTTTGAGCCATGTCATTCAGGCTATCTAACCATCGATTATTATCATCTCGCGGACCCCAACCAGGTAGGTAGTCGACAATTACCACCGACATGGCTAAGTCCACTAGTCAATGACTTCATGGATTTCTGCCATGATTTCTACTCGATTTCTACTAGAAACTATCAAGTAAAATGATATTGTAGTGGAATAGTAAGTATGTCCCCAATGTGCATTGTTTTTAATTGTTATGTTCTTTTTTTGTTTTTTGTTCAGACAAAATTCCATAATTCAAATAATATCGATAGTACAAATTCAAATTGTGGTTTATTCAATAGTACAGTTGATTTGCCTAATAATGCACAACAAATCAATGCTATGAACATGGCCAATGCATTTTCAAGGTAGATTTTGTTTTGATCTTATATTGCTTGTCTGTATTACTATTATTGTTATTATTATTATTACTATTGTTTAAGATGTTGAATTAGTGATTTTGAAGAGTAGCTGGTATTAATCATCCGTTATTTAGATTATTTTTATATCTTTTCTGTAGTAACACTTGCTTATATAATTCCCAGCTAATTCCTATTGCTTAGTATTCTCTGACCACAATACACTGGACAAGTTCCAAAGAATCAAATACACGGTAGAACAGAAAAAGATTATATTCCAAATAGCAAAGTTAAATAAAAATACGATGGTGAAGGCAAAAGTAGGTACAACGTTAGTTTCTTTATAGTATTTACATGAGATGCTTTTGGATAGTAATTCATGTGATCGACTGGATTAGATTTAGCCAATCAGCGTGCAGCTAACAACACGGGAACTTTCTAACCCGTTCTCCAAGAATCGATCAGGCGCTGATTGGATAGGGAATTAGCCAATCAGCGCGCAGCAACATAATCATGCTCTAATTCCATCTATTATGTCCCACTAACATTTTCTGAGTGAACCTTGTCAAGTTTGTCAGCTTTACTTATTTTGTTTACAGTGTAATGTTTCTTTTTTCAAGATGACACTATACTAGTTGGGTTTTTGTGTGTTTTTTAGAATTTTGCGTCTAAATGTGATTGATTGTCTTGAGCTCGTAACCTAAAGTATGTCATTGTTAACAAGACTGTTGGGGACTTTAAATCCCTAGAAGTCACTTGGAATAGGTCCTAATTTTGATTGTTTTTTTGTTTTCGCGCATAGGACGCTTAGTTGACCTTCAGCTTATATTTCTCAGTTGGAAAATCCTTTACTGTTTGTTATTGGTTGATGGATTATTTTAGTACGCTATTTTTCTGGCTCTCCCAAGGACATTGTTATCATTTTATAAATAAGCCTGATTTGTGTGCTTAGTGAGTGATCTCTTTATTTCTAGATGCTTGTAGAACCCGTTTTTCTATCTGTCTTATCAAGACTTGTTGCTATAAATAGTAGGGCCGGGGACAGTTGAATCAGAATAGCTTCACACAACACTATAGTAATAGTAATCATTGTGTTAAAAATTTAATTAGTGTGAACCATTTCACAATCTTTGACTTATTAATCTTATTCAGTAAACTAAGGCTTTTTTTTGTTGTACTAGTTCAAGTATTTCAAAATGACCTCATAGTTATTGTTGTTTAGGATAGAAAAATAAGATTCAAGTATGCTTTAGACAAGTATACATTGAAACTCTCTCTATATTGATCGATTTCCAATCAATGAATGAATGCTAGTGGATAGGTTGGAAAAATATTCAATATGCAAAGTTTACATTATGTTTTACTGACATTTTGTTCTGTCTGTTTCGCTTAGAGTATACTTATGTTTTTTGTTGTTGTCCAACTCTCATGTTTACCTTTTGGGAATTGGTGCGAGTAAAGTGTCCAAGATTTACTGGACGGTAGTAGAATACCGGGTTGAAACCAAGAGACTTAACAGCTAGCTATATTGGTGTGTATTTTTTTTCTTCAAAAAACTGTCTTGTTGTTACTATTGTTACTGTCATCAAACAAATTCTACTCCTTCCTAATGAGTTGTATTCCATGAGGGGGGGAATTCAGCCACTGTTTACCCCATTTTGTCAAATTCAATGGTGACAATCCTTGCTGTAGGATCCAAACTGAAGTTTGGACTGAGGAATAACTGTCTAGGTAGGTTAGATACGCGTCTTCACCCAGTTGATATCAAAATAAGTGATTTGGGTAAATGACTGTTCTAATATTCATCATAAATATGAATATACACATCATTAGCTAAACAAATATTACCACTCAGTTATTCCACCAACAATAATTGTTCACTTAATCAAATCCACAGTAGATAAATGTCATTCTATCCCTCCTGGATAGATCAGATTCGTTCGACAGATAATATTTAGTTGCTTTATAACACAGAGTGCTTCTTATTCTGGGAGAGTGCTTCAATTCACAATCAAAATGCGCAATTGTAGTTCGTGAAAGCACTTCAATCAAAAAAGGAACAAATCAATATGGCTGTCACCATGACTAAGTATCAGCTTAAACAACATAAATGCAATTCAGAAAGAAACATATAAACTGAGTGAAGGCAAAAGAAATAGAAACTATAATTAAAATACAAATATTATCATCTCAAAATGGAATGGAACAGACTCAACAAAATGTACAACTGAAGGAATCAATCAGAACAAATTACAAATGTATATACATGGAGAGATTTTCACAAAAACAAACCCTTCAAGAAATGGATCTTACACTTGCATCTTCTGGTAAAATAGGCCTTGGTAGTGGTGAGACCAATCACCTATATTTAGTAGATTTTAACCTCGTCACAAGTACTTCAGTTGGAACAGTTGGGTAATATCACCAGTCATTATTTATAAAGCATTTATATATTTAAAATCTTATAGCTTATAATAAAGTTGATTTGTCCTATTGCTGACAATACTACTTTCGGTTTTTCTACTTAAACTAACACATATGCTAAACATTGGGTTACAAAGGAAGCTTTGTGTATCCTAAGGATTTTTTTCTATAGTTCTTCAGTGGTCATTAGAATCTTCAGTATTTTGAGATGGTGGAGAAAATTTGTAGCTCAGATGGATGATTGTGGTGGTGTTTGGTTCTCTAAGCTGGATGTTTTGGTTGTGAAGCTTTCATTGTTCTTCTACTGAACAACATCATCAACAGCACAAACTTCAGATTCTTAATAAATTAATGTCGTTCACTACACAAAATGCAATCTTCTGATTACCCTGAGCAAGCATATTCGGGATGCGATTCTCCTCGTTGAAATGTAAAATTTTACTTCAGGATTAGGTTGCATTGGCACCTGAACTAGTGATAGGGAGTGAAACAGTTGAGCATGTTGATCGCTTTACTTGTCTGGGGAGTCTCATCAGTGCTGATGGACTGGTGTGTGACGAAATCTCAGCACGGACACAGAAAGCTTGATTGGCTACTGCCAACTTGCGTCATTTATGGCGTAGGCGAGATATCCGTTTGCTGACTGAAGGACGAGTCTGCTGCGCAGTAGTTCGCTTCGTCCTACTTTATGGCTGTGAAATATGGCCCGTGAGAGTAGAAGATATTCGTCGGTTATTGGTTTTCGATCATCGGTGTCTCCAAAACATTGCTATTGTATCATGGGTTAACTGAGTGAGCAATGCTATAGTTAGGAAACAGGTACTAGGTAAGGATGGCAGATCAGTAAATGAAGTATTGAAACTGTATCACTGGAGGTGGTTAGGACATGTGTTGTGCTTATACCTAACCACCGACTGCCTCGTCGAGCTATGTATTGTGGTATAGGAATAGGTTGGAAGAAAGCTAAGGGCGGTCAGTCCAGAACATGGCACAAATCCATGAATTCACTGACAAGTAGACTGAGCCATGTCGGTAGTTGTCGACTACCTGGTTGGGGCCCGCGAGATGATAATAATCGATGGTTAGAGACCTTGAACGACATGGCTCAGAGTCGTTCGCGATTGCGCAGGTGCATTCATTCTTTGTGTTCTGTCAAATCCTAACCTTCTGAATTCTTCATCACCTTTATCTTCTTCTTTTTAACTTTATTTCACTAAATTATACTTTTTGAATAATATCTTCTAATCCTAATCTCTCCTATTGTTGCTAATACTTTTATCACCTCTACTAATATGCGATTTAAAATCGACAATTACATCTCTGTGCTTATGTTGTATGGCAACTTGAACTGATGTATGTACGTACGTACGAAGTTCTTCGTCGCTGTTGACTGATTGATTGATTTATACTGATAATCAATAAATAGTGAAAGTGGGGGGGGGGCTGTTAGAAAACTGTCGAATTTTCCAGTTTTTTTTCATCTAATTAAATTTAATCAGTAGCACAAAGTTAATAATAAAATAGTCTTTGATAATTTTTCGAACTCAACTGGACAATTTATGGTCTATATTTCGCTTTTGACGAAATGTCAAAATGTTTTAATCTCTTGTGTTATTGACATACTTTTTTGATGCTCCCAATGAAACAATAAAACAAAGAAAAAAAAATTGAATCAATTACTATTTCTTTTTAACTAGATCCTCTTCATAGTACTACATTCATTATACATAATTCACAGTTGTATGTGCAACTATTATTAAATCAATTAAAAAGTCATTTAACGCTTGGTATATTTATTGTATTCATCACAGACTGTTCTTCTTTTGGGGCTATCGTTGAATATCCGGAGGTACTGAACAGCTTTCTCGTCTTAGTATGAAACTAGCTAGTAGTGTGTATTTTCCATTTCATTGGGGTTGATTATTTCACTCTCGGCACCAGGATTCTAGTTCTAGTGAGTCCTACACTCGAATGAAACAGCTCTCTATTTAATCATGCCTCAATCTGCCTACAACAACTTCAGCTGTAACAATCTATATTAAAATTTAGTGTTGTCTTCAATAAAAATAATGATAGTGTAGTGAAGGAGAACACAGGTGAGGGCAACCGAATTGTATTTAACGAAAATTACTGAGTTACTCAGTAAAATAGGAAAACTATATCGTAACCGTTAATTTGCAAATCTTCAATCCATCATCAATCCATTGTCTGACATTTCACTATTCATGCGTTTCATACAAATTCCATTGTGTTCCCACTCTTCCTTTCTTTATCTTCCCCCATCTTCTGCTGCTAGACATTACGTTTACACTCGCGTCATATACTACTTATAAGTAGCGCGCACCACAATAGTAAGCTGTGATAAGTTGAATAAGAATTTCTTATTTATTGAAACTGATTATACAAACATGAAAATAAAAAAAACATGTTTGTACATTTAAGTCGTGAGTGATGGCCATGATAAAAAAGAAGTCGTACAAACGTCTTTTTTAAAGCCAAAGTTCAAGTTTCTATACGTTGGGGGTTTCTATTGCTCCCACTATACGTAGGAGGCGAAATCTGAAAGTTGGGAAATCAGGTTGGATGAAATTTAAGCCTTTTGAAGATGACCATGAACCGAAGTTACCTGTTTATTTTATTTTGGGTCCGTGTGATCAGATCATATGACAGGTGAGCTGTTGTTGCATTGATCTGGTCCGAGCATCAATTATCTAGCCCAGACTATTTCTCCTCACCATCAGCCGATAGCCAGGATAGGACACAACATAGCAGACAAGTGACTATTAATCGTAATTCGCGTCTATGAATCATACAATTATACAAAGTAAAATGCCGACTGCATATAATCATCATTAAGGAATTACAATATGGGCACAAGTGTGCCGTAAGCGATAGCCGACTGAATGATAGGTTCGTAATAACTTAACAATAGTTAGGGATAGGTAAAACGTTCTAGCAATAGTTAGTGCGTTAAACAAAAGCTTACAAGTAGGGAATACTTGTATACGTATAACAAAGTATAAACAATAACTTCAGGTAGGACTACTGTTCAGAAAGTTCAACTTTGCTGAATTTTTATTCCAATACAATGGTAAACTAACTTCAAAAGTTACCCATGGTTTACCGATCTACTGATCAGTATCAAGTAATTAACATATGAAGAAAAAATTTTTTTTTCAATTCCTTTCTCCAATCGTTTATTCAAACATATACAGAAGTGAGATAATTAAATGGCCTTGTACTTGTCCACTCAAAATGACAGGAATAGGTGAATTGTTCAACATGTACAGTCAAAGGACAGAACATATCATCTTATCACTATGGCTTGAACTCGATAATGTTTGATCAATTGAAAAAGAACACACGAATAAAATAATTTTTAGTGATTAGGACAGAGGTCTCAGGAGATTGTTGAGTTTTTGTAGTTTATATCATGAGCTGACTTTACATAATCATTAAAAACCAAGAAGTACTGGATACCTGTAAGACTTGTGATGCTCGTCAGTTGATATGCTTAAAACTATTACGAGTTCACCTTAGTCGGTAAATCGAGAGTGAAGACAAATGATCCAGTGATACGATAGTCTCTACTCTAATCCGAGCGTTCCAAGCCCCCTAATAAGTAGAGGAAGAAGTCTTGATAAGACGTAAGAAGGTGTATTCTACAAGCATACAAGCATACTCAAATAACACATCAGCCAATGACAGCCAAGGATTTCCCGGGTGGAAAGTTTGATCTCAAGGTCAGCTGATCAGCACTCGAATGAAATCCAAAATCAAGACATTTATCAAGTGAGTTCTGGGGATCCAATGTCCCCTACAAGACTTGTGCGAAATATACATCTATATATAAAGCTCCAGGACCATGAGGTTTCGTGGTGAGTACTTGAACTTTCGATCAATGTATCCAATAACTTACATCACTAACTTCAACTGATTCACCATCTCAGCCAATCAATCACCTTCCAATACCATAAGTTGCTTAGTAACCCCAAGACCTAACAAGATTGCGCTCCGTCAATCAGTTTTCTCTTACTAGTGAGCACGTGATTATTACTTTTATTGTTATTATTATTTAAAATATTATAACATTGACTATCTTTTTATATACTACTACTACTAATACTACTACTACTACTTACTATTATTAGTGATAATGTTCAACTATCAGACGAAATGAAAAATATCCTCGCTACATTTCCATTACCTATAAAAGATATGCAAATTCATTGTATAGATATACCGAATGATAATGATGAAATCGATGCTAATAATCATGATGATCAAAACAATGCAGCTTTGATGAACAATGATCATAATAATAATGTGAATCATTTACAAAAGTCATTGACAAATTCAGCAAACGATGATGATAATGAAAATGGTGGCGATAGGGAAGATTATGAACATAATAAAACAATTGTTTTACATTTATTGTCTCAATTGAAAATGGGCACAGAATTAACTAAGGTGAGTGATGAACATGGTGTAATTTGTATAGTTATATAATATGTCTGTCTATACATTATTCTAATCAGTCAGTCAGTCAGTCAGTCTGTTACTACGTAGAACTTTGTACGTATGTACATCAGTTACGGTTGCCATATCGCATTAGTACAGAGATGCAAATGTCAGTTCAAATCCAATAGTGGTAGAGGTAATAGAAGTATTAGCAGTAATCGGAGAAGATTAGGGTTTGAAGATATGATTCGAGAAGTATAATTCAGTGAGATAACTTTAGAAAGAAAAAGATAGAGATGATGAAGAATACAGAAAGTTAGAATTTGGAAGCGGATGAGCTTGTGCCATTGCAAATGGTTTTGAGTCATGTCATTCAAGGTTTCTAACCATCGATTACTATCATCTCACAGCCCCCAACCAGGGAGTCTGCATCTACCAACATGACTCAGTCCAGTTGTCAATGACTTCGTGTATTTGTTCCATGTGTTGGTTTGGCTGCCCCTAGCTTTCTTCCAACCTATTCCTACAGCATAAAACATTGCTGGACGAGGCAGTCGTGGCTTGTGGATTGCTATCACATATCTCAACAAACTCAACTGATGACGTTTCACTACTTCATCAATTGATCTGCCATCCCTAACTAGTACTCGTTTCCTGACGACAGCATTGCTTACTCGGCTGTCTCTCAGAATATACGAGCAATGCTTCGGAGACGCCTATGATCGAAAACTAGGAACCTATGAATGTCCTCTATTCTGACCGGTCATGTTTTGCATCCGTATAGCTCAACTACTTCACTCCCTATCACTAATTCAGGTGCCGATACAAGCCAATCTTGAAGCAACAGTTTTCATCTCGAGGAGAAGAACTGCACCCCGAACATACTTGCATTGTTACTTAGAATAGTCAGAAGACTCTGCATTTTGTGAGCGTCTTCATCCAATAGGACTATGTCATAAGCATATTCTAAGTCAGCAAGCGTGTCTGCTGGTAGTAAGTCCACTCCTGAGGCGTCACACGATGATAATGTTAACTCTAGAAGCATATCTACGGCAAAGTTAAACAAGAATGGGAAGAGTGTGCTGCCCTGTCGGACACTCATTATCCTAACGTTAATTTTGGTAACTAAAGGGAATCTAGGATGTGTGTGTCTTATTTTATTTTGAACTCGTCAATCAGATGATGTGTACATACTTGCACTTTACAGTGTAAAAGCTCATCACACACTAAATGTCTTAATAAATACCTTTGAGTTCAAACACATCATGGATTTTATACTATTAGCTGTATACCAAAAATACATTAAAACCTTTGATACAACACTATATCGAAACGATTTGTTCAGCACACGTATATTGAAAACAATGGCTAATCAGTTATCGACCTGGTTATCAAATTTACCTACTTATATTTTTTGATTTAATCTCTATAGTTATAGAGTTATGGAGATTGCTGTTTTATCATTGAAATCATCAATCAGTCATTGTTAGACCACCGTTAGAACATGTGGAAGCACTGGACGGCTGTTTTTTTGTCCTAGTATTGGGACTCTTTATCGGTTGTGCACATCCACAACCCCCACTCGCGAGAATCGAACCTAGGGCCTTCGGTCTTGTATGCGAGTACCTAACCTCTAGACCATTTAGCTTGTAGTGTGTCGATTTACTGCGTGTTCTTAAGCTCGGTAATTAACTCGTTCAGACAATCGTTGCCAAATAGCGTCTGACGGTTTACAAATCAGAAGATGAATTCGTAGTGATGAATATGTTTATTCGGGACACACCACAAAGCGAAGCGGAGAAGCAGTGAATAAAACGAATGAAGAGACGTGAACTGGAGAAGGCTTTTGAGCCAACTCCATGGATTACAATGCGAACGAATGGGCGAAACGAATTGGAGAAGGCTAAGAGCCAACTCAAAGAGATAGAACGTGACTAAGAATATATAGTCAGACAAAAATAAGGCAGACATATGACAAGCGAAATAGGCGTGCACACACATGAATAAAAGCGACGAATGATTGACAAAGTCAAATGACAAGTGGGACACACATCATGTGAGCTCATACAAACCAGACAATGATAAGAACGAATGGTACATATAAATTGTTGCTATACAAATGGCTTGGTTAAATAAATTAATCGAAAGGGCTTAATCAAGTTAGATGTAAGCGAACTGGAATATATGTGGAGGCACTACAAGCTGACATCCGATGTCGTTTTAGTCTAACTTCATTCAGTCTAAGATCTAACAAAACCTTACCCATCATCTTCGGTAGGTACAACCTACGAGGTGGAAATCCATTAGTCACAGCTTCTCACTAGAATTCCAAAAGTTTGCTGACAAAGTTACTGAATAGTAAGCACATTGTATAAGTCTATAATATTCATTATAGACTTATAGAGATTGCTGTTTATCACTTTTCAAATCATGAATCAATCATTTCTAATGATGGTGGTCTAACAATGACGTATTTTATGATTTCAATGATAATGTTTAACATTACACTATAATTTCCGTATTTGTCATATATATATATATATATATATATATATATATATATATGCATATATCGATTATCATGGAACACTTCAAACTTACGCACACACCTAATAGTATAATTGTCGATGCAAAAAAAATCTTCATTTTTTCAGAGAGAAAACCGCCCCCCCCCCACCACCAAAAAAAACTAGAACCTAAAATGTTAAACTGGAACTTTGAGCATATATTTATTATTCCTTTTTTTTGTTGTTGTGGGTTGTTCTGTAGGTAGGTAGGTAGGTAAGGTAGGTATCTATCATCATAAAGTTCTAAGCAAATCATGCATGAATAATCAACTTAGTATACTCAATTGTATCAAAGTGTGTTGTTGTTTTTTTCTCTCTTGATTTTACCATATCTGAGAATTAGCTTAACACATATATCGTATATCGTGGGACACCCGAGTGAGCAACGCTGTTATTAGGAAAAGGGTACTAGGTAAGAATGGCAGATCAATCGATGAAGTGGTGAAACTTCATCATTTGAGGTGGTTGGTACACGTGTTGCGTATGCCTAACCACCGACTGCCTCGTCGAGCTTTGTTTTGTAGTGTAGGAATAGGTTGGAAGAAAGCTAGGGGCGGCCAGACCAAAACATGGCATAAATCCATGAAGTCATTGACGAATGGACTTAGCCATGTCGGTAATTGTCGACTACCTGGTTGGGGTCCGCGAGATGATAATAATCGATGGCTAGAGACCTTGAATGACATGGCTCAAAATCGTTCGCAATGGCGCCGGTGCATTTATTCTTTGTGTTCTCTCAAATCCTAATCTTCTGGATTCTTCAACACCTCTACTTTTGACTTTCTAAACTTATCTCACTGAATCGTATTTCTTGAATAATATCTTCTAATCCTAACCTCTCCGATTACTTCTAATACCTTTACTACCTCTACTACTATTGGATTTGAATTGACAATTACATCTCTGTGCTGATGTGGTATGGCAATATGAACTGATGTACTTACGTACGAAGTTCTACGTTGCAACTGACTGACTGCCTGACTGACTTAACACATATTGTAGCATTTTTTTAAAATCCAACTCATGTCAAGAAAAAAAGTAATGTCTTTATTAGGTTTTATATTTTTTCAACCATCGTTTTGTCGTGTGTGCATGTGTGTGTTTGTTTGTCAAACCCCAATGCTATCAATTAAATAATATGGTATGTAGCATAAACGATCTATACATTTGTTCAATTTTCCAATCTGATTATTGACATTTTGCGTGGGTTGTGTTCTCATTGTAAAATAGTTAATTTACATAGTTGAAGAAAATAGAAAAGTTCAAAGAACAGTTGCTTGAAACAAAAGGTCAATTGAGAAGACTGAGGCAGGCGCTGAAGATTGTATTATGCAAATTTTACACTCTTAGTCAATTAAAAACGAAAACATTACATTGAATACTACTCTATTTGCACACCATCTTTGAGTCGTGACTTCCAACACTCCATCCTTCTTCTTCGATTCCTGTTGTTGCTTCCTTTACTTCCTGTTGGTACTCTATTTATTTCTTGCTTTTGTTCCATTTGCTTTCCGTTTTCCTCTTCTGACCGTGAGACTTCTTCTTCTTTCACGTCCCTTCTTATACTACTTATATCGTTCGTATAAGTAGCACACACCACACAAGTATTTCTTAACATTTTAGTTTTATACTTTTTTTAAATCCTGCCACCATCGAAGGAAATTTATGCGAGACCATTGTTAAAGTATTCTATTATTGACACTACTGATAATTTCTAATTTACTCATTCCATTGTAGGAAAGTAAGTCCTGATTGTCTGAAAGGAATGTCAGTAGTATGACTCGATCCACCATTAATTTGCTCACTAAAAGGAGTACCAAAAAAGATACACGAACCTTATACAGAGTCTACTCAAACACTATTGATCGAAATGAAGCTTATGGCGAACTGTCATCAGAATTGATTACCTCGGATGATGTTCGTTTTATGTTTTCTGCTTGATGTTGAGTCGGTTTTACGGACAATACTTTCATAGTCTGAGTTTTTAGGAGTGGATCTTCTACCAGGCGATTCACTTGTTGACTTGGGATATGCCGAAGACGCTAACAAAATACAGAGTCTTCTGACTACCCTATGCAACAATGCAAGCATGTTCGGGATGTGATTTTCCCGATCGAAATGCAGAATTGGGTTGCATCGGCACCTGAACTAGTGGTAGAGAGTAAAGTAGTTGAGCGTGCTGACCGCTTCACTTAACTTGGAAGTTTCATCGGTGCTGATGACCTGACGTGTGATGAAATCTCAGGACGGATACAGAAGGCTCGACTGGCTTTTCCAACTCTTGTCGTAGGTGAGATATCCGTCTGCTAACCAAAGGATGGGTTTACTGCACATCAGTTAACTTTGTCCTACTTTATGGTCGCGAAACATAGCCGGTAAGAGTAGAAGAAATTCGTAGGTTACTGATTTTCGTTCATAGGTATCTCCGAAGCATTGCTCGTATATCTTGGGACTAGAAAGTTAGCAATGCTGCTGTTAGGAAGCGAGAACTAGGTAAGGAGGGCAGATCAGTAGATAAAGTACTGAAACTTCATTAGTTGTGGTTGATGAAATACGGGTTACGTATGCCTAACCACAGATTGCCTCGACGAGCTTTGTTTTGTGGCGCAGGGGTGGCCGAACGAAAACATGTCACTAATGCATGAAGTCATTGACAACTGGAGTGATCTAGTGATTAGAGACTTTGAATCATGGGGCTCAAAATCGTTAGCAATGGCGCGGATCCATCCATTCCTTGTCTTCTTTCAAATTCTGATCTTCTGAATCGCTTGTGACGTTTTCCTCTGCATCTGTAGCCGTTCCACAGTTACTGCTCGTCCTAAGCCTTGGTAAAGGTTGGCTACCTCATAACTTAGAAAACTAACTTGTTGAAAAGTGCTAACCGAAACAAATAATTCAAGTCAACTGAACTCTGCCCTAGGAGTAGGAAGTTCTTCCCTTAGAAGAGTTACTGGAACTCATGTTGTAAGGCGAGTTTTTAGGGAGGTCATGAGGTCGATGCCTCTTCATACAGCCACATGCAGTATTCACATGTGATAGAACGGAAAAACTATTCGGGTAGCTGCGCAAATAAAAAAAATGCAACTTGGTGGTACTCGGAATAAGTGGAACCGATCGGACGCAAACTAGACAGAGAAAATTAATTTCACGAAAGATGCAGTTATACTCCGTTCTTAAAGAAGAAAATGCCCTACATACAAGATGTTTCAGTGATTCTGTCAAATGAAGCATAGAAAACACTTATAGGATGGGAATTTCATAGACCTAAGATCATCAAAACATTATTCACGATAAAGAAAGACGGAATTACAACAAATGATCTTTTGTCCTGTTTAAATTTATTTCACTGCGTTACGCTTCTCAGTTCGTATTTTTGATCCTTGATCTTTTCCATCCATCATCCCTAATACTGCTACAAGCTTCATTGCCATCGAATTTAAACTAGCAATTACATCTATCTGTGCTTATGTGTGGTATGTTGTGCATACGTACTAAGTTCTCTGTTGTAGCTGACTGACTGACTGATTAATATCTTTGAACTTCATTCAGATTTTATTGAGTTAACAGTCTCAGCAATCAATCAATTGAATATAATTGCTTGTATTGTTTGTATTTTCCTGTCTTCTACTGAGTTTTGGTAACTAGAATCATTGGGATTGAAATTGTACTCATTGAATAATGCTCATATTGTGTGTATATTTATTTTTGTAATGAATGGTTTTGTCATGAAAACATGGCGATATAGTGAATCAGTGAGCCAATGAATGAATGAGAAATGGTCAAATGAAAATGTTACTTGATGAGAATCGGAAATGTCAAAAAGAATGAATACATGATCATTAGTGTCGGAATGGATTCATTTTGTAAGAAAGAAATATGTATATAGGTATGAATGAATGAGTACTCTTAAGTATAAGAATCGATAGTCAAATAGACTTTCTTTTCCTCTCACTGAAATAGTTCAGTTTTGTGAGTTAGTGTGTATCATGTACTGATTTTAGATTACACATTACAAATATTTTTACACATTTTTGAAACCATGAATCGATCAGTGTTAGACTACCATTAGAAACTTGGAAGCACCGGACGGCCGTTTCGTCCTGGTATGGGACTCATCAGTGGCAGTGCGCATCCACAACTCCTGCACCACGCAGCATTCGAACCCAGGACTTTCGGTATTGTGCGCAAACGCCTAACCATCCTGACCACTGGGCCGGTATCTAACGGTGTTAATGTCTAACTTGATCAATTCATGGAGTTGCGCAACCTCATACACAGTTTTCGGTAGTTACTGTATACACCCGAACAGGTTGAACTTCACTGGTCACGTCTTTCCACTGGAACTCGGAGACGATTCTCACGAAGCCAGTCACTAGTGAGCGCAGGTAATTTGCATTACGGGGTTGTGAAGATTGTTAAGTTACACATTTTTGAAACCATGAATCGATCAATGTTATACCACCATTAAAAAAAAGTGTAACTTAACAATCTTCACAACCCCGTAATGCAAATATTTTTACGACAAACACTATTCATTCAAATTTTGAATATCAATTTCAATCCATTATTCATCATAAAAATTTTTTGTCTAAAATGTACATCTCTCCATCTTCCAATATATATATATACATTTAGGTAGTTTTGCCTACGTTTATTTTGGCGGAATATTCTTTACTAGAAATGTTTGCTAATTATATGGCACATCCAAATTTATTTTGCAGGTACGTGTACTTTTCTTTTCAGTAGATACTATTGAAATTATAATAATCTATGCTAGATTTTCAAATGTGATTTGTGTATACGTTCATACTCTGTCACTTATTACAAAATACTAACAATATTATCAATTCAAATGTACACTGATGCTTCTTTTGAAGATGACTCATAATTAACACTAACTTTAGTTTGGTACCTCTTGATAAACTATGTTACGCATGAATGTAAACATGTCAATTTGATATGCTTGAACTATTACAAGTTTACGTTGGTCAGTAAACAAGACCTAGGATCGAGGGGATCCGGCGACAAGACATGCTACTCTAATCCGAGTGTCCCAACCTCCATATTGAATAAAAGGAGAAGACTAGGTATGAAGTAGAACATGTATTGTACAAGCATCCAGAAAGTACAAGGTCTGACTCCAGATGAGAATCAGGATCCCGGACTAGGGATCCGGGTTACAAAACGTTACAGATAATGCGTATTTATACATTTAGGTGGAATAGGAAACAGCATCGAAGTCTGTGACATTGGGAGTCAAGGTGACCAATAGGAAACAACATCGGAGTACGTGACATTGATATCTAGGACGATCATAAAATAGACCAGTAGAAATTAACCAATAGGAATTAGCCAATGATTCTCTTAGGATATTGGATGAATATCCTAACAAGTTGTCTTTACTTTTACAAAATAGCATGCACCAACAACGATCTTATCTGAGATTGAAATTCAAATGTGCAAACTTTGTAACTAGCTTAATTTGTTTAGTTACCACTGAGTGGAACCTGCTACTGCACATGGTAGCATGGTTTTTTTTGAGGACAACCTTGAGAAATGCTGCTGCAAAACAACCTTGAAAAACGTATGCCCAGCTATTGGTTAATCAGAATGCAAATAATGTGGATCAATATAATAGATTATGGGTAGTGGGAAAAATTATAACAAATTTGAATTTTTATATAATTAAACTTATAAGAGGTTGGAATTGAGCTAGAAGTAATCGAAGAATGCTTTGTACAAACTCTCTGGATGAATGCGCTTTGATTTCAACAATCACAATTGTTTAATTTATATTCAAAAGTTCACAAATTCGGATAAAAATATCATTTTCTATTGAATTTAGTTTTCTTGTAAGATGATTTATTTGCTCTTTCTTTAATCTTGCTCATATTTCTCAATTTTAAAACGTTCTCATCACTGAATACTAGTAGATTCTTTTACTCTTAACTCCATATACAAGCTATCCATCATGTATTTGATTTCAAGCAAAAATCTGAATTGCTGCCATTATTGATTGAAGTATAGTGTTTTGTCTTCCATATTTTCAGCCTCCATCAATTTATGATACTGCAGCATGGCTATCATCTATATTGTGTCATTGGTAGTTGTTATACATGTCTCAATCCTCCTATCCACTGCAAGACCTAATAAATAAATACACTGATAACAAGCGTCAGATAGGTTACTTATACATTTCTGTAAGTCTAAAAAAACTATCAGAAAATCAAAAAAAAAATCCTGGATCATTTTTTCGCATGCTAAAATTTTTGAAAGATTCTAATGTGAAAAGATTTAATAATTGCTTGTTCAGCTAAAGTTTAGCAAATAATTGTCACATTCCATACATAGTGTAAGCTTGCTTATTCAAATCGATTAGAATCGTATTTTTATTTTTCAAATCAAATTTATCTGAAATAACAATTCAGTTACATGTAATAGTTTTTTTTTTACAAACGTTATAATTTGATCCCATTTCTCTGGCATTTGTTCTGATAGTTGCATCTCATTGTACTGATATATGGCGTGGGAACTTGAAGTGATGCATATTTATGCCACATTATACATTGTGTATGATCGCTCGACCGTACCTGCTACCTTGACGTGGTGGTCGGGCTTGCCTATCGTGATCACCCAACCGAGCTATATTGTCTGGAACATATGTTCCTGTAGGTTCGTTCTACCATGCCAGGCAAATCCGTTGGAGAACGATGAGACTAAAAGCAGCGACTCAAGGTCTGAGGATGAAGTCGTACTGCTGACTGTAGAGAGGTTCGACAGCAGTAAGGTGCTTCCCTAGGACAATCAACATCTGCAGCGATGTTGCCTTCTCACAAGGAAGAAAGGGGTTAGAGAAGGTAGACCCTAAAAATGTCATACTTTACCTTACCTCACGTATTTCCGTCCCTGGCGGTGAGGCCTTTTAAACAAAAGTGGAGCTAACACTTCAAAAACTCCTCATAAAAAAGGCGTGCGTGACCGGCCTCAAACAGTTGTCCTTTGGGCTCTGCGGTCACGCTCCCAGGTCTTTGAAACCAACGCTAATATAACTTCCCTTACAGATCCCTCAAGAAACACCCTTCCAAGGTGTGGGAAGCTAGGACGTGATATCCGCCCTCATGCCACTCACTGCACACGCGACCAAATCGATCACAATCAAATCGTTCCTTCACCTCCTAATAACTCTCTTATCTCCACGACCAACCCTTCTCTCATTCCCTTGCCACCTCGCACTGCTAATGCAAACGATTCGAGTTAATGAAACGTTATTCCTGATTTCCTGAAATCCCGTTCTAAACTACATGTCGGAGCTTACGTTATTCGAACCTTGTGTTAAATAGGGCAACAGGCTTCATTAACTAGGACTCTAAAATCCCGTGACATTGATGTATGTTCAGTCTCCGAAACGTGCATACTAGGTCCGAGCAAAATCATCAATTTGATTTCATCTTGTCCAGATAGAGAATCAACTCGGTTTACGCTACATTGTAATTGACTGACTGACTGACTGACTGGCTAGCTAATTTCTTCACTTATCATTTAAACTAAAGAACTTTTTTTTATTTATTTTCACGTTCATTCATATATATATATATATATATATATATATATATATATATATTTGTTAATTCCTTCTTTATTTCACTTGATAAGTCAGTCATGCTTACATTGTGTTATTTTTTTCATATCCACCCAGTTTTGTATTATTGATCTGGATTATAAGTAGTGTTGTATTTTATACAGACATTATTTCACTGTGTTGTCGTCTCATTACACATGCATACTTTTAACTCATTGATTGTATAAAATCGATAATTATTACCTTACTAAATATTTTTTTTTTGATCGAATTGATCAAAGAAATAAATTCGTCATATATCAAATACTAAAAATCATAATTTCAGCTTTTTTGTATGGTAAATTTTAATTTTGTTCAGATTTTACGTAATTCTCCTTGTCCTTTTTATCATATTTAAACGAAGCCACCTCATTTTATAGTGATTGTTAGATTCTCTGAAATAACAGTTGAATTCTCGTGAATGATGCATACGATGTCTATTTCAAGTTAGAAGACTGTCTTGATTACTCGGAAATATTTTTGTATATTGTAAATAAATAATTTAGATGTGGTTCTACAATAATTGTAATTCATTAGGCTTACATTAGGCTTACATTCAAAGATTCTACGATACAACACAATATGCGCCAACCAAATCACTCTTGATGGAGATTCTTTGGAGAACGTTAACACATATCTTGGCAGCATCATCGACAACCAAGGTGGATCCGATGCAGATGTAAGGGCGCGGATCGGCAAAGCAAGGGCAGCAATTCTACAGTTGAAAAATATTTGGAACGCCAAATAAATATCAATCAACACCAAAATCAGGATTTTCAATACAAATGTCAAGACAGTTCCACTGTATGGAGAACTACCAAAGCCATCATCCAGAAGATACAAGTATTAATGAACAGTTGTCTTCGCAAAATACTTCGAATTCGTTGGTCAGACCATCATCAGCAACAACTTACTGTGGGAGAGGACGAACCAGATTCCATTGGAGGAGGAAATCGGGAAGAAGCGGTGGAAGTGGATAAGCCACACACTGCGAAAAGCAGCGAACTGCGTCACGAGACAAGCCCTGACTTGGAACCCTCAAGGCAAAAGGAAAAGAGGAAGGCCAAGGAACACATTACACCGTGAAACAGAGAAATACATGAGAAGAATGAACAAAAACTGGAAAGAACTGGAGAGGGAAGCCCAGAACAGAGTTGGTTGGAGGAAACTGGTGGGTGGCCTATGCTCCATTCGGGGTAACAGGCGAAAGTAAGTAAGTAAGCTTACATTCAAGGTGATATGAGAACATGAACGACCCAAAGTAAAAATGAAAGATTCAACATGGCTGTCTATGCAAAATATATTTCAACCAATAAGAACATAGTCCATTCGTTGATGATTAATTTAACCAATACGATACAAAAAAGGGATGAGCTGTGACTACTAATAAGTAATATAGTCAGTCATAAACGAAAATCCTACAGTGATGCACTAGAATACAACCAAATGCTTACTTGACGAGATGTCTACCACATCAGATGTTTGTTCTAACAGTATGAGCTGTAACAAAAAATTATCCATATAATATTCAGAAGACGATTGCTTTTTTTCGGTGAAGCAACTCTACTGAACTCTAAAAATGTAGATTTACATAGTTTTATTGATGTCAGCTTTTTTAGCTTACCAGTATGTGTATATGTTATTGAATATTATTTATAATAAGGCTGCCTATTGTTTCTTTTAATCGTGTTTATTTTATTTTTTTTTGTTATAGCATTACTGATTATGTCGATCCTGAATGGCGTATGATAGCATTTGTTCAATGGTATCTCACCACATTTCACGCTGGACATCTGGTTAGTTTTTTCCTATCTTGTTTGTGTTTCTCGCTTTTGCTTTCTTTAGTATATAGAGAAATGATCATTTTAATGAAAAATGTTCAAAAAAGTTTCATAATTTCATATTTTTCTCCTCTATCTTTCTCTTTCTAAAGTTATCTCATTGAATGATAGATACTTCTTGAATCAGATCTTCAAACTCTACTCTTCTCCATTACTGCTAATACTTCTACTATCCTTACTACTATGGGATTTGAATTGACAATTGCATCTCTGTGCTGATGTGGTATGGCAACTTGAACGAAGTTCTACCTTGTAACGGACTGACTGACTGACTGACATGTTTCAATCAAATTGTCGACAGTTAGAATTCTTTTTTGCCTGTAACAACTTAAGCCTGTGTTTTTCTGTTTTTCAACATTTTTATCAGCATAAAAATTATTTTTAGTAAAAAATCAAATAACAAATTAACTCATCAACTGCTTCAGTATTTATTCAACCGTGATTTCTGATAATCTTCGTTCATCCTCTATATGCTTCTTTGTTTTGGTGAATTGAAGTTGCGTTTAGTAGTTGTTGTTAGGTTACGATGATAATCTATTTGAAAAGCCAATAAAATCGAATAATTCTCACGAATCCTCTCACACGAATCATAATCACCTACTTACTCACTGATGACTGATTTTACTAGATAACTACCAGAGTCCTAGTGAGAACTTTTCACTGCTAAAGTTTCACCGTGTCCAGTTGAAAGCCGTTACCCACTAACGATGATAAAAGATGTTTGTACAGTATCACGGGTGGAATGGATTTTGATATGTAAACCACTGGATGTCTGTTCAGTAGTCTATATATAAAGTGGATATCACGAAACCTGAAGGTTCTTTGGTCCCATAGTAGGACGAAACAGCTAGTGTAAACTATAAAATCCAGTAGCGATCTTCACAAACCCATTAAACTGAAATTATATCAGATGACCAACTACCTTGTTGACTTAGAATATACCGATAAAATAGTTTTCTTTGGTAAAGACGCTGACAAAATGGAGAGTCATCTAACTACCCTAAGCAACAATGCAAGCATGTTCGGGATGCGGCTTTCCACCTCGAAGTTCAAACAGTTGCTTCAAGATTGTCTTGCTAGTGATAGGGAGTGAAGTGATCAAACGTGTTGACCGAAGAAATCTCAGCATGGATACAGAAGGCTTGATTGGCTTTTGCCAACCTGCGTCACTTATGGCGTAGGCGAGTTGGTTGATGTCGACTACCTGGTTAGGGCCCGCGAGATAATAATCGATGGTTAGAGACCTTGAATAACATGGCTCTAAACCGTTTGCAATGGCGCTTGTACATTCATTCTTTGTATTCTCTCAAATCATAAACTTTTTCTCTTTTAAGTTTATTTCGCTAGATTCTACTTCTTGAATAATATCTTCGAACCCTAATCTCTCCAAACACTTCTGATAACTTTAATACCCCTCTACTACTATGGGATTTGAATCGGCTGTTGCGTCTCTGTTCTAATGTGGTACATGAACTGATGTACGTACGTACGTACTTACAAAGTTCTACGTTGTTATTGATTGATTGACCCACTACCTATCTACCTATTGTTTTGTGCTTCGAAATAATTAGGCCTATTTGCATTCGTAATCCATAAATCTACATCAATCATGATTTTACCATAAAGCATTCATTCCACTTTTGTTGAATTTTAACAGTCTTGGCAATCAATCAATCAATCAATTCAATATAATTGCTTGTATTGATTTTTTTCCTGTTTTCTACCGAGTTAGTTTCTGGAATTGAATCATTATTTATCTGTATAGAGTTGAAATTATTTTCATTGAATAATGCTTAGTATGTACAACTTTATTACTTACTTATTTTATATACTAATTCATGAAGAAGTTTGCTCATTCTGGGGTTTGTTCCATCACTTGGAATAACATACTTTCACCTGGTTATAATTCTCGCTTTTATTACAACCCAGCTATTTCCTAATGCTTAGTATTCTTGGACACCGATTCACTTGAGATGTTCTTCTAAAATCAGAACGCGGTTGAACAGGAAATAGATAATTTTCTCAATAACCAGGGTTAGATGGAAGATAGAAGGTTCAAAGGAAAAAGACGTTAGTACATTTATAGTTTTCTTACATGATAACGTTCTAGAATGTTCACTCAGTATCGTCTGACGCTGATTGGATAAGAAGTAGTCAAACATATTTAGAACAAACTGTTTTTTTTTCACACAATTTTATTGAACCTAAATTTTTTTTAAGTGGAATCATGTGATCAGACTATTTTCCACAGTGTTACTTCACCACTAACCATTCTAAAAGTAAATTAGTCGGCTGTCAAACAATAAGTATAAGAGACGGTCACGTGTCTAAATGTTTTCATTAACACGAAAACTAGATCACTGTGCCTAATTAAGATGCCAATGTATATAATTTTTAAACAACGTCACAGCTAGAGCATTTTTTTTAGAGTATGGTAAATTTATTCTATTTAGTTGTCTTCTGTTGTATTGTCGCCTACGAGAAGGCAACAAAATTCATGCAATGAGGTAAAGATAACGTATAATTTAATTGTATTTGGAAAAGTGTGATCAAACCGTTATTACAATGGTAATTGTGTAGTGAAGGAGAACACAGGTGAGGTCAACCGAATTGTATTTATCTCAAAATACAGAGTTAATTGGTAAAATAGAAAAACCATATCGTAAATCGTAAATTTGCAAAATATCAATCCATCATATGGAACTGGACTGTTCCTGTTGCAAACATCAATCCATTGTGTGACATTTCACCACTGTTCATGCGTTTCATACAAATTCCATTGTTTTCTAACTCTTCCTTTCTTGATCTTCCACCATCTTCTGCTGCCAGACATTACGTTTTTACTTACTTATAAGTAGCGCGCACCACAATTGTTCTCTCTCTAGTTCAATTATCGAAACTAGTGACTTATTTACCAAAATGACTTTAACGCTTATTGGTTCTCCAGCTCCTTCCCATCCAATGTTCAATGAGAACGCGAAAATAGAGAACTGATTAATGCCTTAATAATGTACTTTATCCGATCATGACTCAAAACTTATGCAATAATTTGTCTGAAATACCTGATCGCGCAGCTTCTCTGTTTCACGAGTACAACGTATACATGACCGTAATCGTAGTCATCATTGATATAAATAGATCTGAAGCTATAATACACAACAAAGGCTAAGTGATCAAACGAAAGCCTAGAAATATGAGGATACAAAACTTCAACAGTTCAAAAGTTTACTAATTATAATGTCACATTTTATTAAACCAGAAATAAAATGAATTCATCATAGGTATATTTGTAAAATAAATGAGATTTTTGTTTACTTTTTTTTTTTTTTCTACAAAGGATACAATTGCTAAAAAGCCATATAATCCTATTATTGGTGAGACATTTCATTGTAGTTGGATTATACCATCGAATTATTATATGCACAATGAATCATGTATACCAGAATTTAATCAAGATGCTTGTAAAATGTCCATCAGTACGAACAACACAACTACCAATGTACCTATAGTTATACGATATTGTGCTGAACAAGTTTCTCATCATCCATCAGTCACTGCTTTTCAATTTTCTTGTCCTGTTAAACAAATGAAATTGACTGGTTCATTATGTACCAAATCGAAATTTCAAGGAATGAGTATTTGTGCAGCAATGTTAGGCAAATGTAAGTGGACATTTTTTTCACTTTGATAATGTTTATATTCTTGTTATCATGCTGTGATCTATCTATTCGAAATCCAACCGATTGACTTATTTCAGATATCCCAGTACAAGCCTTGTAGTCGTACTCAAATCTTCAATATATCAGAACACAGCATCGTTAGATGAAGTTGTTTATGGGGTCGAGTATAGAAGGATTGAAGGAAGGAATAATCAGCTTTACAGATAATGCAATATTTATACAGTTTGGTCGAATAGGAAACACCATTGAAGTCTGTGACATTAGCAGTTAGGACGACCGTAATAAATGACCATTAGGAATAGACCAATAGAATTAGACTTGCAAAAATAATTCTCTCGTAGGATATTTGATGAATATCCTAACAATTCTAAATGTCATTCATTCATTCATTATTTTTATGATATCACTTTTATTTGGGTAAAAATCCTAAAACACTTGAATTTTAACCGATTAGAAGTGATCATAGATTCGAAATGCTTGCAACCAATCTTCCCCAAATGAACGTCTCTGGATTAGGGGTGTGAGAAAGATTTGATTTTGACCAATTCGGTCTCGTGTGCTGTTACGGGTATGAGGGCGGTTGTCACTTCCCGGCTGCCCACACCGTGGAAGGTTGTTTCTTGAGGGACCTGAAAAGGAAGATGGATTAGTGTTGCTGCATGACCGCAGAGCCCAAGGGACAACTGCTTGAGGCCGGTCACGCACGGCCTTTTTATGAAAGGTATTTTGAGTGTAAGCTCCGCTCTTAAAAGCCCTTAATGGGCACCCTTACCGCCGGAGACGGAAATCCGTAAGGTAGGGTGAGGTGTGACATTTTTAGGGTCGACATTTTCTAATCCTTGCTTCCTTGTGAGAAGGCAGCATCGCTGCAGATGCTGGTTGTCCGAGGGAAACACCTTACTGCGATACCTGATCCGGTCAGACAAATATACTAAGGTACAACATGCTCACCATTCTGACTTAGCTAGTTTCTTCAATGTAAATTTCCACTGCACACACACACACAAGTAGATCGCTTTATCATCAATCTTCTTTAGTTCCGCTTATATTTCTTTTTTGTGTATATAAATTGTTAATAAATTCCAATGACTTTTTCATGTTGGAACTCTTTTTTTATTATTTTTAAATTCACTGGATACAATTAAACAAACAACTTTTTCAAAATGTCATCAACAATTTCTTCCATCTTCTCTTTAAAAAAAAATGTGATGGAAACGTTTTTTTTTAATAGTAATATTGAAACTTGGTGAGCATAATGATGAAGAATATCACTTTTCCTTACCTACAATATATGCCAGATCAATTTTAACAGTACCTTGGATTGAATTCGGTGATAAAGTCTCAATTACATGTCCTCAAACTGGTTATTCAGCTACGATCACATTTTTAACTAAAGTAAGTTAACCGATACAAATTAGTGGCAAGTTTCTTTTGTTTGTTACTTTGTAATTAATTGAGTTGTAATTCTTCTGCGTCTCTGTGCTAATGTGGTATGGCAACCTGAACTGATGTGCTTACGTAAAAAGTTCTACGTTGTAACTGAGTGACTGACTAACTGACTGATTGACACGAATCGTGAATTTTGTCTACTCTGTGTTATGCTCATCAATTGATATGCTTGAACTATTACGAGTTCAGCTTAGTCGGTAAACGAGAGCGAAGACAAATGATCCATTGACACGATAGGCTACTCCAATCTGAGTGTCACAAAGTAGAGGAAAATATGTTGATAAGACATAGAAAGCGTATTCTTCTACCAGCACCCACAAAATCGAGGTCTGCAAGCGCACAAATGGAGTTTATTTATGCATCTCAGTAACGTCTTTGACAGAGCCAGAAAAATAGCTTACTAAAATAATACATCAACCAATAACAGTCAAGTTTTTTCCCAGGTGTGAAATGTGGTCTCACGGTCAACTGATCGGCCCATGCACTAAAACATAAACTCCAAATTCAGGACCTTAATCAAGTGAGTTCTGTGGATCTAACGTCCTCAACTCTCTGCAATGTTCATATGTCTCTCTCTATACCTCAGTAGTGATAAGTAACAATAATACCAGCTGTATTCACCATTATACCTTTGATTACAACAAACTTATCAGCATATAATATACGAATTTGAGGCAAACCTCTTATTTAATAAATGTTCGACTCATGAATATTCAAAAAAAATACATCTAGAAAGTTTTTTTTCCAAGTAAATACGTTTTTTAGTGAATTTAATTACAAAATACAATTTTACCGCTAAATTGAATGAAATTGTCGGAAATCAAAAATTAACTTGATTGAATGCTCTTTATTAAAAAGGAATGAATCTCTACTTCATTGTAAATCAGGGCTGTACTATATCCATATACAAGAAATGTGATCATTTACTTTATAAGGAGATAATGATATAATGTATGCTTGATATGCTTGATACTATTACTAGTTCACCTTAGCCGGTAAACTAAATTGAAGACGAGTGATCCATTGACATAATAGGCTACTCTAATCCGAGCGTCCTAAGACCCCCGCAAACGGTACCAAAAAGTCTTGATATGGCCTAGAAGGTATACTCTACAAGCACCCAGAAATTATGAGGTTTTGTACAGAAGAAGAAGAAGAAGAGCCTAAAACTTCACAGACAATGCATCATTATACAGTTAGGTCGATCCTGAATACTAACCAATAGGAAACAGCATGTAAAAGTATGTGAACTTGATAGTTTAGAACGACCTTCAATATTGACCAATAGGAATTCACCAATAGAATTAGACTCACAAAATAATTTAACCTCTCACTTGAATCATGATTGGTATTTACCGCTGATTCTATATTTTATGTATGCTAATTGGTAATTTGTCATTAAATTTTGATAATTATCAAAATTAATTCTAATCTATTATTATTATTTTGATAAACAATAGCCACATTATGATAATAAACTACATTGTATTACTGGAGAAATTTACAATACCCATTGTATTTCACCAACATCATCTGATCGTCCGTCGAAATGGTCTGCATCATCACCAACGACAACAACAACAACATCATCATCATCTGTAAATCCAGTTAGTAATGTCAATCATTTGATTGCACGTATCTCTGGTGAATGGAACAAATTGATCGAGTTTGAAGTTTTGAATAAGGTGAATTATGTAAAAGTTGATGTGTTACACTCTACGGTCCAAGTGTTTATATATATGCTGATTATTTTTTTTAACACTTAACTAATCAAACTTTAAAACAATTAGTCCGTTTTATAAATTTTGATCGGACAATGAGAAGATGTAATTGATCTGAACAATGTCCACTGCAACACAAGCGAGGTTTTAGTACAATAAGGTTCAAAGGATTTATACTACGGATAAATTTGAAGACGATGCGAAATTCTTAACTGAAAGATTGATCTAACTGCATTATGCTTCTCGAATCATATCTTCGCTTCCTAATCTTCTCCATTACTGTTAATACTTCTACTATCGCTATCACTCTTGGATTTGAACTGACAGTTGCGTCTCTGTGCTGATTTGGTATAGCAACCTGAACTGATGTAAGTAAGTACGAAGTTCTGCGTTGTATCTGTCTGTCTGTCTGTCTGACATTGATTTCAAACGGCTATCCGTTAAAGTTCATCAATATGTGTAGAAATCAGTTAAGACAAAAGTCTGTTTTTTTTCATTCTGCTGTGAAGAAAAAGCTTTATATCACTTTACCATTCAGAGGTGAAACAAATGGTCTAATCTCAAGACAGAGACTAAAAGCAGCCATAGAGAAAACATACAACGCTGCTAAACTGAGTATCATTGAAAAAACTAAGCCCATGATTTTATATAGACTTAAACATTGCTCGAATGATTACATCACATCCCATTACATTTATCAGTTTACATGTTTGTGTGGACTCACATACATAGGGAGGAGTAATAGGACTTTGCAATCATGGGTTATAGAACCTGTGTACCTAAGTGGCTTCAAAATAGGTTAACTTCAGATTAGCCGATAAACGTTGGAAATAGAAAACCATGTTCATCGATCGCAAAATAAATAATTGAGACAGGGCATAAGATTGACATCAAGACAGTCTTCAAAACATTGTACAGAAATGTTGAAGGACGAATTTTGGGGTTTATGGAGGCCTTGACTATTCGAAAATTAAAACCCCACTTATTTGTGAAGAAATAATTTGGATTACGGGGTTTTGAAGATTGTTAAGTTACACATTTTTGAATGCCTAACCTCTGCACCACTGACCCTGTATCTAACGGTGTTAATGTCTAACTTGATCAATTCACGGAGGTTAGGCGTTCGCGCACAATACCGAAGGTCCTGGGTTCGAATACTGCGGGGTGCAGGAGTCGTGGGTGCGCACTTCTGATTAGTCCCATACCAGGACGAAACGGTCGTCCAGTGCTTACAGGCTTCTAATGGTGGTTCAATATTGATCGGTTCATGGTTTCAAAAATGTGTAAGAAATAATTTGTCATAACCTTGAATTTACCCTGATAATCTTTAAGCCTAGGGTAATGTGACAATTTTCCTATCCTTCCTTATTCTTTTCATATTACGTTAATTTTCTCTCTCATTCATTGACAATTATCACCTTATGTCTATTTGGACTTTTATTTAATTGACCTTTTACTAATCTTCGTATAAAATGCCTTGACAAGTGACCAGATTGTTCGAAATGTATAGCGCGCAAATACCTCACATTTTTCAGATCAATTACGTCTTCACACTGTAATCTAACTTAATAAATGAATCAAACAAAAAAACATACATCGGTAGTTGTAGTTTCTGAAGTCAAACAAACTGTTTACAGTTGATATAGTTCGTTCTTAATAGTTTATCAAATTGACTAATACAACAAGCAAGGCATGTTGACAATGAGATTGACTAGGTGAATATATCGCTGACTACATTTGTTTCATACATGCGTGAATGAGTTCATCGTATATGACTGAATCATCTTTTGATGTGTTTAGTTCCAGTCTATTTATCAATGGAGAAGATGTATAAGATGCGTGTATATCGGTAAAATGCTTGATTTACAAAGACTAAAGCATTCTTATTTTCTAATGTGAAGTTCGCTTTGATAGTAAAGCAAGCAATACTACTTAATAATTTGTAAAATAATTAAATGAAATTCGTTTTTTTCTTTAGGTAATGTGTAAACAAATTATTTAGTTGAATAATAATAATAATAATATAACCGTCCTCATCAGTCAGTCAGTCAGTTGCAACGTAAGAACTTCGTACGTATGTGTACATCAGTTCATGTTGCCATACCACATTAGCACAGAGACGCAAATGTCAAATCAAATCTCATAGTGATAAAGATAGTAGAGGTATTAATGGTAATGAAGAAGACTAGTAGGGTTCGAAGATATTACTCAAGAACTATAATTAAGTGAAAGAAGGTTAGAAAGACAAAGGTAGAGGTGCTGACGAATCCAGAAGATTAGGATTTGAGAGAGCTCAACGAATGGATGCACTTGCGCCATTGCAAACGATTTTGAGCCATGTCTTTCAAGGTCTCTAACCATTGGTGACTTTCGTCTCGCGGACCCCAACCGTCCTCATGATTTCTACCAACAAAATATGGGAGCTACTCCATGACATTTACTCAGAATAAACGATAGTAAACTAATATTTTGTTCACAAAGACGAAAAAAGTAGTTTAAGTGAATTGTTTTGGAAGATGCTTATAAATTAGCCCATTTGCTATGTCTTGTAACCAGGTTGATCTTGTGTGCTGTTATGAGTATGAGGTTGGATGTCACTTCCAGGTTTTCTATACCGTGAAAAGGTGTTTCTTGAAGAACCTGAAAAGTAAGTCTGATTAGTATTGGTCTTAGCGTGACTGCACAGCCATAGAGATAATTACTTGAGGCTGGTTTTTACGTTCCCCTCACGGAAAGCTTTTAACGCGTTAGCTCTACTTTCCAAAAAGTCTTACCACTAGAGACAGAAATCCATGGGGTTGAGGTGAGGTGTGGCATTTTTGGAGTCCACCTTTTTTGCAGTATCACTGCAGATGCTGGTCCAACTAGGGAAAAACCTTGCTGCTACTACTACACCCCTCTATATTCAACAATACTACTTCGTCCTGCAACCTTAAGTTGCTGCTTTTAGTCTTACCGTTCTTCAGTCGACCTGTCTTGCATGGTAGGACTCGAAGGAACGTATGTTCCAGCCGATGTAGCTCGGTTGAGTCATCACAATAGGCAAGTTGGACTACCACATCAAAGTAGCAGCTACGGTTGGGCCATTCACAAAGTTCATTCTCCTGGGGTTTTTTTTTATTGTAATCTTTTAGTCCTACAAGTTTTTTTCATCAAAAATATTTATTTCTCTAAGTTTATATTTCTACCTACTTATTATTTTAGAATTTACATAAATGGTCAGTGAATGTTAATCATTTGCCTATTTTTCCTAAACGTCTACGTCCTATTGAATGTCAACAACCAGAAGAGTCTCGTCGTTTATGGCAACATGTTACTAAAGCTTTACAATTGCGAAATTTTAATATGGCTACAGAAAAAAAACATGAAGTTCGTAATTTGTTGTTTGCTCTCTTGGTTTGTATTCAGTTTATTTTTTTATCTTTTAACAAGTGAATTAATCGACTGTAGTTAAAATCGTTCATTGTTGGATGTCAAATGAATGGTCTAGAGGATTAAGCGCTCGTTGCAAGACCTGAAGATCGTAGATTTAATCCTTGCTGAGCTCATATATATGCACACTTTCAGTGTTTTCATATGGGGACGAGACAGCCACATGGATCTACTTAGTTTTCTAGAGATGTCTAACTCAAGTCAGTTCAAACAGTTATTAGACAAGTAGAAATGTGCCATCTTTAATTTTTAAAAGTAATTCTTTATCCCTGGGAAATGTTGAAATTATCTTATGGAACTGAATATGCTGTGTGATATTTCTCGGAATTTTCCCGTCCATTTAGGGTTACACTAATATGTACAGAGGTTTAATTTCCACTGGGGACTTCATTTTAATCGACTCATGCTTATCTTATTTATTTATTTAAACAAACGATCACTAGTATAAAGGGATAGCTAAATATTTATGCGCCACACAAATCAATGAATTGGTTCGTGCTGGAATACTGTCTGGGTGCACAAACTGAAGCAGGTGATTTTCTTAGGTGGCCAAACCCTGAGCCATTTTACCTAGATGTCTAATCCCATGAGACAATGGGGTATAACGTTGGCAGATACATTCTCATGGTAGCCGATGACTAGCCATAGGTTCATATGTCATTCCTTCCATCAGGATCCTGGTGTTTATACACTATTGCGTTTGGAATCAGGGATTTCCAACTCCTTTCGGATGATCCTCTGCACTCACCAACCCGTTTAAGTATTGAAAATTTGCTCTTCGTCCTCTCGATTTCGTAAACAACACCACTGCCACGAGAAGACAGTGATTGAGGCTTCTATGACAGTGACTATATACCCTTGGTTATAAGAGAGCTTTTCAAGAGATAGAGAGGACTTATTCCACCAGCGGTCATATTGGAGCGTTTGGCAGCTATCCATGTATGTCTTCTTTGATTACGATGCTGTAGCTCACTCTAGCTGGCCGGATGAAAAACAGTAGATAAAGTAAACATTAAGGCTTGAAATGAAATGGCCAGTGAAAATTGTATTCTTCTATGCAGCAGTCAGTCAGTCATTTACAACGTGGAACTTCATACATGAGTACATAATTTCACGTTGCGATACAGCGCCAGCACAGAGACGTAACTGTTAGTTCAAATCCCATAGTGGTAAAGACAGTAGAAGTATTAGCAGTAATGGAGAAGAAGATTACGGTTCGAAGATATGATTCAAGAAGTATAATTGAGAGAGATAAATCTAGAAATAGAAAGATAGAGGTGATGAGGAGTTCAGAAGGTTAGAATTAGGGAGAACACAGCGAGTGGATGCACCTGTGCCATTGCAGATGATTTTGAGCTATGTCGGTTATAATGTATCGCGGACCCCAACCAGGTAGCCTAGATCTACCTACATGACTCAGTCCACTTGTCAGCGACTTTATGAATTTGTGCCATGTTTCGGTCTGGCTGCCCCTAACTTTCTTCCAACCTACTCCTACATCACAAAACATCGCTCATCGAGACAGTCGGCGGTTGGGCATACGTAACACTTGTCCCATTCACCTCAACTTATGAAGTTTCACTACTTCATATATTGATTTTCCATCCCTACCTAGAACTCGTTTCCTAACTATAGCATTGCTCACTCGGTTATCCCAGGATATACGAGGAATGCTCCAAAGACATTTACAATTATGGTGGTGTTTCGTTCTCTGAGCTCAGAGAACGAAACACCACCATAATCATCCACCTGAGCTACAAGTTTTCTCCACCATCTCAACATTTATAATCGAAAACTAATAGCCTATGAATGTCCTCTACACTTACTGGCCATATGGATGCGAAATCCATATAGTAGGATGGAGCAAACTGCTGCACAGTAGACTTTTCTTTTATTTAGCAAACGAACATTTTGCCTGCGCCATAGGTGATGTAAGTCTCACTGAGTAAATGAATAGTAAAGTCCTAGACATTCCTTGTTCATGGATTTCTGAGTAAGTACGGTTTTTTTTAATCTACGTCACTCTTTGAATACAATACATCGTCAACACTAGATGTGTGTCATAAAAAAACCTTTCCAGTGGTATTTAATCTTCCGGACATTTCATCTTTCTGCACTCTTATTTGTCTGAACAAAATCCAACGAGATAATTCGAGTCTGACTAATAATAATGAACGAAAAATGTTATTTGGCTGATTGATTGGTTGATTGATTGATCGATTATATTAACATAGTTCATAATGTCTATCTGTTTATTTGTATTTCTCCTCATTCTTTTATTTCTATTACTTTGTAGCTTGAAGAACGACAACGTTTAAGTGAAAATTATCGAGGATTGTATAAATTTGCTTTTCCAGTTAAATACTTTACATGGCATGAAAATACATGGATATGCAAAACAACTTTGAACTAATAATTTACATGAAAATAAAATAAAAACTAAATATTTTTTGCCAATGTATTTTACTTTGTTTGTATTGTTAATTTTGTTTTTTCTTTTTTTTTGTTACTCTGTTTCATTTTCTTCTATTTTCATTTTCTTTTTCCTTTTTTTTCTCTCGTGTATTTACAATTTGTTCATTTTCATTTATGCATTGGAAATGTGTACTTAATTAGTATCGCAAACTAACTAACCGCATTATTGAATTAAACATTTAACCGTGTTCTAATGTAACAACACACCAGGTGTTCAATGTCAAATGTGTTCAATAGTTGAACAATGGTTAAATATTCAATTCCAATATAATTAATGTAAAAAGATTATCATTTCACCTTTTAAAAAGGAAATTACTTCAAAAGAATGCTTTTACATTGTTGATAGTCTTCAAAATTGTACATTTTTTTTACTGGTCATGTCATGTTGAAACGGTTAGTTGTTGATCGATTGTCGTTGAATAGATCAAGTTGTAATCAAAATAGATTTGGTCAATCATTGGAAAATTCAAATTCATACCACACGATATGATTATTGATCTCTTTGATGTTTTATCAATGATAATAATAATAATCTGTAGATATGATTTACTTCACATTGAATTAAAAAAATAAGCACCATAAACTAGAAATTATTATTTTACGTTCACCTTAATGTATACTTTTTTTTTACTTAGTTTACAAATCCAACATATATTAATTTAGTACTCCTTGGTTTTTGTGAAAATTCCATGTGTACTATGTATAAATGAATGAAATGTTAAGTACGATTCAAATGTTTATCATACAAATTAATTATATTTGAGGCTTGTTTCTGTTTTATTTTTATTTTCTTGAAATTTTTTATTTCATTATCAAATATAGTCAGAGAGAGAATAAATACAAGTTCATGAAAATTAAATATATTTTCTCGTTTGGACAAATACTTATGTAGTGAATGAGAACACAGGTGGGGTAACCGAATTGCAATTAACGAAAATTACAGAGTTACTCAGTAAAATCGGACAACCATATCGTAAATCGTTCATTTGCAAAAGATCAGTTCATCCTATGGAACTGAACTGTTCCTGTTGCCAAACATCAATCCATTGTCACTATTCATGCGTTTCATACATTGTGTTCCATTGTTTTCTAACTCTTCCTTTCTTGATCTTCCCCACATATTATGCTACCAGACTTTACGTTGACACTCACGTTATATACTACTTATAAGTAGTTCGCACCACAGCACCACACTCATAGTTGCCAAATGATTAAACTAATGTCTTTTATGGATAGGGATATACATTTTCTCACATGACACATAATCACACACATTAATTTCAGCTGTAATACTTACTCATAACTAACAATTTTATCATATCATAATTTGCACATTTTAATTATTCATGCACAATATAAATGAAGTTATTCAGTATTTATCTAAATTTTAGAATATGCAAAGATTCCATCCCCAATTGGTCAAGTGTCAGTTTACTGACTATATAATTGTTTCAGTCAGTCAGTCAGTAGATCATTTCGGGTTGTTATCATACCACAACACTGCCGCACATTGATGGAATGGTCAATTCGAATCCTATAGTAACAAAGGTAGTAGAAGTATTAGCGCAGTAATCAGAGTGGTTATGGTTCGAAGAAATTATCAAAGAACTATAATCCAGTGAAATAAACTTAGAAAGAGAAAGATGAATTTGATGAGGAATTTAGAAGGTTATAATATGAGCGAACACATAGAGTGAATACACTTGTGCGATTGCAAACGATTCTGAGCCATATCATTCAAAGTCTCTTACCATCGACTACTATCATCTCGCGGGCCCCAACCAAGTAGTCGACACCTACCAACATGACTCAGTCCACTTGACAGTAACTTCATAGATTTGTGCCATGTTTTTTTTGTCCGCCTCTAGCTTTCTTCCAACCTACTCCTGAACCACAAGACAGCTCGTCGAGGCAGTCGATGACTGGGCAGACGCAAAACATGTCTCAACTGATGGAAATCCCTTACTGCATTATTAGATTTGTCATCCTTACCTGGTACGTGTTTCCTAACACAAGCATTGTTGATTTGCTGGCCCTAGGATATAAGAGCAATGCTTCAGAGATACCGATGATCGAACACCAGTAACCTACGAATATATTCGACTCTTACTAGTCATGTTTCGTAGTCATGAAATTATGACAAAACGAACTAACGCGAATTTATCCTTTGCTTAGCGAATGGATATCTCGCCTACGCCATAAATGACGCTAGTTGGCAAAATCCAGTCGAGAATTCTGTATCCGTGTTGATATTTCGTCACACACCAGGCCATCAGTACTGATGAGACTCCCGAGATGAATGAAACGGTCAACACTGCAATCCCTTATACCATTTCAGGTGCCGATGCAACCCAATCCTGAAGCAATATTTTGCATTTCAATGGGGAGAATCACATCGCGAACATCCTTGGGTCGCTGCCTGAAATAGTCAGAAGATTGGATTTTGTCAGCGTCTTCACCAAATAGAATTGTCATCGGCATATTATAAGTTGAGAAGTCAATCTCCTGGTAAGAGTTCAACTTCTGAAAAGTCAGACGACGAAAGTGTCGTCTGTAAAGGCAAATCGATATTTAAGTTGAATAAGAATGGAGACAGTGGGCAACGCTGACTGGTTTTTTCGAATGTGCTCTTCACGAGCACTAGTTGGACATCAAGTTAGTATTGATATCAGTGCCTATATTAGCCAAACCGATCCCTCTGTGATTGTCACAAGAGGACTTTTGCTTTCATAAATTAGGATAATCAGTGATTGGGACCGATTAGATGGGATTACGTCCGGTTCCCAGATTCTACCGAAGACCTCAGTCAATGTAACTTCTAAAACAGGATCACTATCACTAAAAACATCAATAAACAATATGATAATAACAACAATATAACTCTATTAATAATATAGTTGTTCACCTAGTTATCTAGATTCTCCTGAAATAAATGAGATTGGCACATTGAACATGATATGTTTTCACGATTGCACTCTGTCCTACAGTTTAGACAGAATAATGTTTCTAATCCATGGAGAAAGAATATGTACAAACTCGAAAGAGAAGGAGCTGATTTTGCTATGATCACGAAAATTGAAGTTGTACGTTATTGGTTCTTCTGTTGACTCCGACAGCAAAACGATTTACGCCCTCAGTGTCAGTCCGTTTCCTAATGTCTCCTCAGAGCGCGATCTCGGTTTAGTAACCACTGAAAGCCTACACACCAGCTGGCAATACATAGGGGATGCAGTCAAGATAAGTGCAGATCTCTACTTTATGCTCATAAGCTTGGTGCTCTCACCCCAAAATTATTCTTAAGGCTGTCTAAGACATATGCACGCCCACACCTTGAGGTTAACAACGTCAATGCATCACGTCTCCTTAAAAGAGACACAGGTTTCTCGGATCGAGTGAAGAGATGAGGAATAAAACATATGAAGATATACTCCGGCACTTGGGATTAATCTCTCTGAGTTACAGGAGAATCAGAGGCGATCTGGTTATGGTTTACAACATGTAGGCACGCCAAACCAACCCATTGTGAGCACCTTAAAGAAGCATCACCACCAAGCCCTTAAGGGTTAATCTTCGAAAAATTGCGCTTCAGAGAGCGAACACTTAGGTTTGTGCACGTTTTCTTATTAAGAGTCGTTGCAACTCGGAATGCTCTCCCGGCCAAGGTGACCACAGCCCTCTCAGTGGACAGCTTTAAGAAGAGAATTACTAAACACGTACTCACATCACACATCTCAATCGTCGACAAACTGTGCTTGATGCATGCCTTGAGAGTTGCTAGTCGTTATCGTTGTCATCTCCTCAGAGCACTCAATTAATCTAATTAATTATTTCTGTTTCCTCTCCCATGCTTACATTACGGTCCTCTTACACGATCTTCACGACCATTAAATGAACTAAATTATCTATTGATTTACTTAGTTCTGAAATCTTCCTATTAGCATTAAATTTTCTACTTATTATTCTTCATATTGTAACTGACTAATCTCCGGTCTAATGATGTGATAGCTGCTGATATATAGAAACTCTACTGAAGTGAAACAAACATATTCATTCAAATCACGAGACATTCAAACTCACAAACAACTACCAGCTGACTAGAATCAGGCAGTCGAGTGGCAAGACCCACATCCATTGGACACTTCGGAAAGAACAAGAATTGAGCTCAAAGAAATCAGCTGGTTTATACTAGCTCGTGAAAAATACATTGCATACTGGTGTGTTGCACACTACTCAGAAAATATTTTTTCAGTGGTACGCAATGGTCTCGAAGCGGTGTGTTGCCCCCGGAAGTTACTGATTTAGGCAAGAGTATCGGATCTGGATGTATATCCCGATCAGAGAGTTATGAAAACTATTAGACACGCGGAAGACATCCGTAATCCACCTGCTTTGCAAATGAAAATTCAAATATGAGGGGTATGTATTCTTCTGGTAAACTTTGTCTTCAAAAAAAATCATCCGGTCTTGTCGTCTTCGTTGATTATATTGGCAAGACCTTCTGCACTGTAATAAGTAAGTGGTTCCTTGATAATAATTAGTTTTTCATACAGCACTATTTGTTATACTGTGGTGTGAGCTACTTATAAGTAGTATATGACGTGAGTGTCAACGTAATGTCTGGCAGCGGGAGATGGGGGAAGATCAAGAAAGGAAGAGTTAGAAAACAACGGAATTTGTATGAAACGCATGAATAGTGACAATGGATTGATGTTTGGCAACAGGAACAGTCCAGTTCCATAGGATGAACTGATCTTTTGCAAATGAACGATTTACGATATGGTTGTCCGATTTTACTGAGTAACTCTGTAATTTTCGTTAAATACAATTCGGTCGCCCCACCTGTGTTCTCATTCATTACAATACTTCTTGTCCATTGAAAAATCAAGTTGATCGAACTCATGTCTTTAGGTGTATCATGCTAATTAATAATAATGATGATAATTTACCTCCAAATAACAATATGTTACATCAGGCAAACCAGTTCAGAAACAAGATCAATTAATTACAAGTGCTAACACATGTATTGCGGTAGGTTGTTCAGTTAGATGAATATTTTACAATGTACACTGACTTTCCAAAAGAGGGCTCATATTGTCTACATAAAGTTATAAATGATGTTTCAACTTCTAGAATCTACAATACAATAGTTGGAGTGAATTATGTTAGTTGCTATGCGGTGAACGACTGTTTGTCGAGAATCAATGCAAGTTAAATCTAGGGTTGTATGAATCAAAAATTTGTTAGGTAAATGTATATGGATCCTCTTGATGATGTTCTCCAGATAGTAGTTTAACAGTTTTCTGGGAAGAACAACTGTAAATCTCCAGTCGTTTCAGTGCTATCATTTAAGACGTATAACGAGTTGCCGAAAGCGATAGAGAGGAGAAAAGCAGAAAAAAATATTTGTGGTTAAAGCTCAGTTATGGATCCATAGATACTTTTTTGAATAAAACTTTAAAGATATGATTACTGAGATCTACCTTTTTCTGTACTAGATCATTTACTAGACACCTTCATGGAACATAAATCGCAT